ATATAGTTGCAAATTAGAAAATGTGTTAGCAGGAGCATTCAAAAAATTTAATATAATACCAATTTTGGATTGCTAATAAATTGCACTGTTGTTGTGTAAAATTAACAAATTACTTAACAATATCTAACAAAAATAAGTTTATTTTTTTTTATTAATTAGGATTTTTACGATAAAAATTTTCATATTGCTTAAGTTTAGACTTAAACATATCTTTACAATTTTTTTTATGTTAAGAGTATTGAAAATGTATAAAATATCCCCAATCCCCAAACGCCAATTGGGGATTGGGGACGGTGAAGCCCTTTTTTCAGCTTTTCCTAACATGTCTAACCATATTACTACTCAGGGTAAAAATAGTCAAGAATATGTAGTCAAAACCAAACCCAACCCTATGTTTATGGGTCCATTTAAATGACATATTATTTAATTTATTTTCAACCTTTTCCTATTCTTAAATATTTAATAATATATTCTATATCTATTTAATTAGATTCTTTAAACAAAAGATATAAAAAATATATATATTAATTATTTTGTATTCGTTGCTAATAAAAAACTTTAAATTTAACCCATAACGATTCATATTTTCTTAATATAAAACCTTTCTATTGATATAACCAGTGCTTATAATCATATTATTGATATAATTTTCCTAATTTCTATATATTATTTATTTGAGGAATTACGCCGAAAGACAACCTTCTATTTTATTTGACTTACTTTTATTTAATTAATTTTTAGTACTCCTTTTTATTCTCATTTAAATGTCTAAATAATACAATTATTGATTATTATTTCACTCTAATTTTAGAATCATTGATAAATTTTGATATATTCACTTATACTATAGATAAATAAAATTTAGATATTAAATATAGATATTTTACATTTGATTTATTATTCTATTTAATCAATCTATGATTAACAGATCATTTTATTAATTATTATAATGAATTGAATAAAAAATTGAAAATTGAAGTAAAGGAATTGTTATATACTATAATATTATTACAATATTTATTGTTTTATACAAAATGTCAAATTAAAGTTATTTTAATGGTAATAAATAGTTATTAATAATGAGAAATATTCTAGAAATTGAAATTAATTTTCTTATAACAATAAATATTGATTTAAAATTATTATTTATATTTTAAATGAAATAATTATTTTTATAGATTTTGTATGAAAAATAAATATCAATCATTCGTTCCTTTAATCAGATATGATCCACTATTTGTATTTGATTTAAGATGACCCTTCTTAGAAAGCAATCTAAAATAATTAATAAAATTTAAACTTAAAAAATTTATTTTGATTTTTATATTTAGGAAGAATGTATTCTTTAAGTTTAGTGAAATTCTTTTTCAATTTGATTTATCTTTCATTTTCTCGAGCTAGATAATCTCCGAAGCGTTAAATAAATTAAGAATTAATTGACATATGTTTAGATAACGAATAAATCTTTGACAAAATGAAATAGCTATATTTTTTGTAATAAACAGTAAATATATTATAAATAAATGGATAGCACAGTTTTATCATTAAAATAAGTAAAACTATTGATAAAAATGTAGATATTGTATTATTATTTGAATTTTAACTTTCATATTTTGTAGCTGCCAGAAATATTGTAATTGAACAAATTTATCCTGATTATAAATCTAAATTATTCAATTTTGATATAATATATGGCTTATTTTTAGCAGCAATTGTCTAATAAGAAAGCAAACAAAGTCCTAATAATGATGTCTTTAATAGTATATTATTTTCAAAATAAGTTGTGATTAATATAATAATAGCTTTTTACAACAATTTAATTTGTTCCCAATAGTAATTATTGTCATTGTATTCGTTAAATAAATAACATATATGTTTTCTTAATTTAATAAGATAAAGGATATCCCTCTTTAAATAAGTTATTAAAAATAATGAAAATGGAATAATACAACCATAAATTAATAATAATGGAACAATTATAAAATAAACCCATTATTAATGAATCTGTGTATCATATAATAAAGATACATCTCCTTAAATATAATTAATGTTTGATATTTATCTTGAAGATAATGCGGAACAGAACCTAATTAAACAATAACATTATACATCTTGATCAATCCTCCATAATTAAAAACATATAAACAAAGTAATGTATTTGATAATAGACTATTATCCATTTAACTATTAATTATGTTATGATATACAAAAGATAAGGCTAATATCAGTTTAAATTGTAGTAACATCAATATTTAAATAAAGATTATCTTGACATAAATCATTTCTATATCAAGATTTGAAAAATAACAATCTAAATTATTTACCATAAAGTAAAAACTATTACTAGATTATTCAATAAATGTAAAAGAGAAGGAAAAATTAATATTGAATGTAAAAATAACTGAGAATATCCATAAATAATTTAGTAACATTTTTAATAAAATTCCTTCATGATCTAGTCATAAATTATAATAATAACAATTACCTTAATTTAATTTAAATATAATTTTACTAAACTTTTCAAATATTCTTAATTAAGTAAATAATTAATTTGATCTCCTAATACTTTTCAAGGATAAAAAAATTGACAATAAAGCCCTATAAGTTAAAATTAATAAATACTGAAATAACGCAAATGAAAACGGAAGAATAATGTTATCATTCTATGAACATGATAAACAGGTCAAATCTTACTGATTTTTAAAAAAGCTTCCTTCTCCTCTCACATTAAATATATCACACATTTCACAAAGTGCTCCTTTACGTCCCATGCTACAAATGCTATCTCCTACTTCCCATCCTCCTTAACAATATTCTGGACTTTTATAACAAGATTCTGTATAATCTGATAGATAGTTAGGTCTCCAATAACCCTCATATAAATTAATCATATTAGATGTTATATTCTTGAATTTTATTTTATCATAGATAGAACATTTAATTGAATTATATGTCACACTATAAAATCCTTAACTCCAAACACAAATTTAACATCCATTATCAACATAAAATTCTCCTAATTAACATTTAAAACTCTTGGCATTCATAATATAATTAAATATTTTTTATTATTATGAATATTAAGTTTTACACTAAGATAGAATTTTTATGTAATCATATTCTGATTGATATGGATCAAAATTAAAACTTAATATGCCTAATTCAAAATTATTGTTAATAGATTGATATTATACAGTAGTATTATATCTTTAGTCTTGTATTTCAGTACCATTATTTTAAATAATAACACTAGATACATTGCATGTAGAATTTAATTATTTATAGAGCAACTCTCCTTTACTATTTTAAAAATAGAGACTTATATTTTAAATATAAGATTAATAGAAGAATCCCTTTGTAATAAATAATTGGTAGATATCAATTTTTTAATTACTTGGAATTATGAGCTACTTTGTCTAAATTTTTCTTCCTTATTCAATTATTGTGTATGGTTTAATTTTTAATATACTTGTTGCTATGTTATTTTAGATTTATTTTTCATCAGGCATTTCTTTTGAATTTATAAAGAGTTTTAAATGTGTAGGACTTTCAATAAGGTTATTTCCATATATAGAAGCTTAATTAAATAATAGAAAAGAATTATTGAAGTTTTTTTGATTCAAATTATTATTATTCTAAAAATATATACCTCCTCCTTCTTATGCTTTATTATTTAATATTTATGTGTTTTCTATTCTAAATAGATTTGAGGTTATTTATATATATAAACCTCCACCTTATGTCCTTGCAAAATTAGAGGCAATTTTACAATTTTTAATATATATAGAGATCTCAGTTACTTTAATTGCAACTCCTTTGGTTCCATTATTATTTATGAAATTTGAATCTTTAATTAAAATTTAAGATTCAACTGAATTATTTCCTACAAAATGTAAACAACCATACTCATTTACGAAATTATAATTACAATTTAATTTAGAGATTTTTAATTATTGGAATAAAGAAATATCAAAATAAACAATACCATATAAACTTGTTTAATAAATATTATCCTCTATATCTATCATATCTAATCTGATATAATTTAAATTACTTTTACTCACTATTTGTATGATTGCATTATGTTAATAATTTGATTATTATAATTAATTTAAATTTAGTGAAAAGTAGTCTATTGGTTATTCGATTTGCAACAAATTATTTATAATTTAACATCCAAGTATGTAGTAATCAATTTGAAAATTAATAGGTTATTAAGATGATTAAGAATTTGATTAAAAGAGATATCCTTTTTTAATATTAATTTACTTTAAATAAATAATCGATTTAGTTTAAATAGTTTGACTAATTTGAATAAGGTTTTATGTTTTAATGCTTTAAATATGTTAAATTTTCAAATTAATCATACTTAGTCTTTGTACATTAATTAACTTCAGAAATGGAGTGATATACATTCCTTCAATAGTTAAATCCTCTATGTAAAAATTACAATTTTCTAAATAGATTAATGAATTATCTTCACTTGTAATTTACAATAACTCTGATGATGTTAATAATCCAATTATTTAAAAATATTTCTCCCATTCTTTTTAATTTTATAAAATTCTGATATTTATTAGTGAAATTTAATTTTAGCCACCTATTTAATTAATAAATTGAATGCGAATTATTTAATTTATTAATGAAATACAATTAAGTATCTATATATCTTAGATAATTATATTGTTTTTAAGTAACGAAGGCGTTATTGAAAAAATAGATGTGGACATTTTATTAATAACATTTAAAAATTATGCAGATAATATTTATAGACTTAATAAGCTGTTTTGAGAATTTATTGTTAAGCATCCTGAACTTTCAATTTCTTTCAAACTAAATCTTGTTGAATTTATTGAGAAGTTTGAAATCATAATTATGCCCTCATTTAATGTATCAATTTCAAATACAGAACTAGCTGATACCAATATATCTTAAAAAGAACAATTGGAACAAGAAAACAAACTAGTTTCAATGAATGCCACTCCTCCAACTGATTTAATATGGTATATCTACATTATAAAGTTATTAGTCTCTTCTTAATCATTTTCATTATTTACTTTGATTGGATAATAATCTTTCCATATATTATAAGGTAAGATATTATGATTTGTTATTTATATGTTACTAAATTTCGAAATATTAGATCTAATAATAATAAATGAATTAGAGGAATTCGTCATTGAATTGTAAAAGCAATTTAAGTTATTCACAAATACATTACTAGAAGTTGAAGAAATATATAATAATAAAGCTGATTATTTTAAGGAACCTTCCTAATATACATGCATAAAATTATTCTAGTATATTAAATTTTCTATTATAATTTCAATCTAATTATCAGGAACAATTGAAAGCAATGAAAAAAATTAAATCTAATTCAATTATTGTAATAAATTTCCTTAAAATCTTACATTTTTTATATAGATTGATCCAAGAAGTAGTTTTGATTTGCTTGTATCTATTTGTATTAATGATTCATCAATACTGGATGAATTTATTATATCACAATTTTCTATTTGAATATTATCAAAACCTCTAATTAGTAATAATTAGTTTTAGATATTAGATTTTTAAAAACAATTACTTGAAAGGAATACTTTTTATTAAACTGCTTAGTTTTTTAAAATTAAATTTATAAGTTTTATATCCAAGTTATCATAAAGATAAAACAATAATATTTCGAAATTATCAACAATAATAAAATTATTTAAATTTAACTTTTAACTATTGAGATTAAATATTTAGCATAACTAATTAGTTGTAATTAATTTACTATTTTATTGAATTTAAACTTATGTAATAAAAATCTCCAATTCATTTGAATAAGAATTTTAAAATATGCTGATAAGATTAGAGTATTAAAGTACATTTTTTAATATAAATAATTCAGCAATAACAACTTGAGTGTGATTATCATTTGTAACCTAAAGAGATTCTATAATTGAAGATTGAATAAATTAATTATCTATAATTTGTAAATTATGAGCATTCAAGCTAGAACTAAATCCTAAAATTATTGAATTTACTAAATAATTAGATTTCAATAATAGATTAATCAAATTTATAGTTATTAATTATTAACAAAAGATTAATTTGGAATTCTAAATATTATTCCTTTATAGTTTTACATTTTTCATATCAAAAGCTGACACTTTTGCATAATTTATAAATAAAGAAAAAAGTGAAAAGTTATAGAATTTACATTAATCTAATATTAAATTGTTAATTTAAATCTTATCTAAACTCTAAGAAAAAAGAAATAATTAGGAATCTATAAATGTGCAATTGCTAATAAATAAGGAATCTATAATAATTTCTCCATCAAATCTTAGTAATACTAAATTAAATAGAGAGAAATTTTTAAAAGTAGAATTAGTAATTGAAAAATTTTACATTTAAATTGAGCCTAATTATTAAATATAAAATAAAGATGTTACATTTGCTATATCACTATCTTTTATTCTAAAATTAATCAATGTTAAATTTATAGCATTATATAAATTTTCAAAATAGAAATATTTTTCTAACGATTTTAAAAAAATAAATTCTGTATTAATCATAGATATATTCTCGTAATCATAAAAATTCATACTTCTTTCCCCAAGATAAGAAAATTAGTTAATAGATATTAATTATAAATTAGCATTCCTTAATGTAAACACATCCTTCTTTATTGATGCTTATGCTACCATATCCTGATAATTAACACATAATTCAGTATCTATTTCAAAGAAGATACTAAAAGTTAATGACCTTAAGCCAATTTAATTCATATACTCTATATTTTCACCTAAAAAGGACCATCTAGGAAACTTATCTAAAAAACAATTGTTTTGCCAATGCTTTAATTAAAGTCCATTATTACAATTACCATCAAGGCAATATGATGCAAATTTAAGATAAGGGTCATAAATAATAAAAGGGTCAATTTTAGGTATAATGCATTCTTATGTCAACATAGCATTATTGATATCTATAAAAAAAAAAGGGTTAACAGTCTAAATTTATAAGCAATTTATATTACTTTTATATTTGAGAATTCACGTGTTTAACAAACTTAACATAGTTGAGGACATTCAAGACAATAAAAACCCTATTGAATTCTAATCGAATAATCAAAATAGTTTGTATTGCATTTATCACAAATATATTACTTATCCTGAGTAATACACTTAATGCAAGATCTACCACAATTATTAATGTAATCTTCATCATTACTAAGTTGCTTATCTACAAAAACAAAGAAATAACCTTTAATCTTTTGAATCCAAAGGTCAATTTCATAATTTGATCCAATTTCCTCGTTCATATAACATTACTGATCCTACAAAATAAATCCATCTATGCATTCTATACAAAAAACTTCTTAATTTCTATCTAATGCACAATATAGACAATTTTTTAAATAATTATCACATTTATTAATTATTCTCGTTATTTGAAAATTCTCCAAAGTTGAAATAATACATTCTTCTTAAGAATTTTTTACAAAAGAAGATAAACACTCTCTAATTTTTGGAATCTATTATATACATTATCCAATATTAAAATCAAAAATATAACCATCATTACATTAAACACAACCAATTCTAATATCTTCCTCTCTCTCTTCAATTAATTCTTAATTTAAATTATAAAGACTAATTTTCTAACTATTTAAAATGTATTCAAAACAAAATCTACAATTGATTAGAGAACATAATTTGCACTGTTATGCAAATGATGCATAATATGGTGGTTTACATGATTGCTGAGAAAACTTTACAGCCTGAAAAATACACTTTCCATTAATTGGTTCATAGTTTGTTGAACATCTTAAACAAAATTACTAATCAATATGAATTTCGCATAGAACACAGTTAGAAATAATGCACTTTTAGCAAGTTTCTATGTTATTAATATCCATAGTGTTAGAACAGTAAGACAAGAATCCTTAAGTATAAAATTAAAACATTTCAAAAATCTTCTCCTAATTTTACAAGTCAAATTAATTAAACAAATTGCCTAGATCACAAAAAAGACACAATATTAAATCAGATCCATCAAATAAATAATAATTCTCTATACTAATGAAAGGATATTGATTTTTTAACGAATAAGGAAGATAAAAATCCTTGTAACAAATGGAATTTAAATTCCATTGCTAGTTCCCAACACATTCCAAACAAGTCAATAAATTATCTTTAATAATTGAAGGACTAAAAAGTATTAATCAAAATATACCATCTTATGCATTCTCTATCTAATTAAAAATAGCCCATTTTACAATTTTACTAAGCAGTTTATTAATCAACTAAATTTATATTTAAATCTTCATTATTTATACATTTATTTTCATAATCTAATTAAGATAAGGGGCAACGACATTATTAGTATTCAGAAAAATAAATTCTCTATGATTCAACAGAACAAGATAAACAATTTGATATATTTGGACCATCACAATCTAAACAACTATAATGACATTTTTTAATCCTATTGTCTTCTTTACAATTTTTATAAAATAATTATTTTAATGTAACAATTAAATAATTTTAAGAGTCTTTAATAATATTCCCATAACTTAAAGTGAATTATTAGTTATTAAATTATATGACCTATTCTTCAGCTTCATATATTTAAATTCCATTTTCATTGTAGAAAGTTATCATAATATTAAATTTCTTATCCAATAGTTCTAAATGAAAGTAATGCCATTATTTAATATCGTTTTTTTGATATAATAAATTCTCTTTATATATCATATATACTATCCAAATTATCTTTTGTCAAAATAGGAAAATTATAACTATAAGTTTTTATTATTATTTTTGTTTCAATTGAAGATATGAGATAAAAGAATTAAAATGTTGAAATATTTTCATTTAATAACAGATTATTTCCTATATTTGAACTCATTTTCATTATTTGATAAGTAAATTCATTAGATTGTTAATTAACATCATATACTTTAATCCATCCACTTAAAGCAGAATAATCACAATTAATATTCTCTGACATATAAATTTTATAATCAAGATCATTTAAATCAAAATCTTCTAATTATGCTTGTTCATTGATTTTACAAATACAATCAGCTAAACTCTAATATTCTTCGATAGCAAACTGTTAAAAATCAAAAGTAGTAGGAATTTCATCAATAAATAAATCATATGAAACAATTTATCCAGGGAACTAAGAATAAAATGTTCCTTATTGAATCAAATCAAGTTTAGATTCCACTACTTTAAAGCTCTCTCCCAATGTAAAAAACACTTAATATTCATTGAAAAATGAAATGTTTTCTATAGTTTCTTTCAATATAGTGTTTTCTTATTGAATGATAATCAATTCTACTTTTTTTTTTAGAGGCCATGAAATAAACTAAAAGTGATACCAAACATTTTCATATTAAAAAGGATCTAAGTATTTATACAAGTTAAATTATTCATCTTGTTCACTTATAAACATTATTGATTTTACTATTTATTTTGAATTGTAGTTTAAACAATCAGAATATATAAAATTTAAACTATTTGATGCAACATCATCCATTTTGATTAATTAAAAGCAATTACTTTAAAATTGTCCAATTCCTTCTTTTATACTTAGAATATTTAATGGATTATATTTAGACCACATTCCAAAAGCAATACAACTTTCTTGTGATAATTGATCTTCCTATATTGTAATTATTTTTCTATAAATTTAATTGTAACTATTAAGTAAACTTTTCATATATTATGTAGTCACATAAAGGCATAGCAGAAATATTATCATTATTTATTAAATCAATTATTTTAATTAAAGAATGATTTCTTAATAAAAGAAATTTACATTAAGAGTGAATTAATTATCATAGTTTAAGTTATTAAAAAAATCTATTGAAATGATTCTGATTTAAATAGTCTTTATTTAAATCGATTATGGAAAATAAAAATACAAATAAATAATAATGCTATTTGAATAATCAATTTATTGATTTTAAAAATGCATTAAATTGTGATTATTTTTCAAAAAAACATTTAATTATATTGAACACTACAATATATTTATAAACTAATCTTTCATAAATTTTGAGTAATTAAAATACCAATTCATGGAATTTTTATTAATATTATATTAAAAATAGTTAAAACCATAAAACAATAGAATATATTCTAAATGTAATTCATACAATTTAATTAAGATATAAGCTTTATCTTAAGCCGAAATTGTTATTGTAAAACTATATGTATTTAATTAAAGAAATATATTGATCTTATTTTAAATAGAAATGGAATCCATTTATTGAATTGTTGAGGCTAAAGAAATGATTAATTTATACATTGTTTTAAATTCATAATTAAAGAATCCTTTTATCATTTGACATAACAATAAATTTGGTTTAATTTTATAGTTCCTAATACTTTTATTTAAAGATTTGATTTACAGACTAAAAATATTAGGATTTATTTATTCTTTATCTCTATTTGAGTTGTTAGTTAATTCAGAAAATTTTCTTAAAATGAATAATAATTCAATTAATAAATGGCAATTAAGAAATAGAAAAATACTTTAGCACTTTTTAAAATGGGATGTATAGAGATTTATTGGAATTACACTATTTAGATTGATGCTTAATGGAATTTTACTTATGAGTGTTTTGAAAGCAAAGATTTAAAAAAAAAACATGGAAATTATTAAGCTAATTCAACTTAAAGATGGAATTAATTGATTTAAAAAAATTTCTCAAATCATTTTCTTTGATTTAAAAAAACGAATAAAGTTTCTTTATTTGTATTAATTAACTAACAATGAAATGAAAAATAAAATAATTTAAGAAAAAATTATAGAATTGCGAATTTTTTGTATGTATATTAATTTTTTTGAAGAATTTTATATATTTATATACTTAATTATGATTTCATAAATAATCTGTAAAATTTATGGGCATTTCTTCAATTGTTATCCAATAATATTATTCAATTTCATTTAGAATTTAGAGATCTTCTGATATTAAAAAATTAATGGCAACACTTTTTCTTCCAAATTTACCTTTTCTTCCAATTCTATTAATGTATAATTCTTTCTATTTTGGGAAATCATAATTGATTATTAAGGAAATTACTTAAATATCAATACCTTTTAATAATAGTAACAATACTTATTCCCTAAATATCAGTAGCAATCAAGACTCTTTAATTTCCTTATCTAAAATCGGTCATTATTCTATCTCTTTATTATTAACTCATATTATCATCGATTAAGGCTACACTTAAATTATAATCCCTCAATTTATTTGCCAACCATTCACATTTTTATTTGGTTGAGCAAAAGATAACTGATTATGTAACAGTTATTATGTCATATATACCATATAAAGTTTCAAATTTCCATTCTTCTTTATCTATTCGAATAAAAAATTACTTTATCCCTTCTAATGTCAATTCATTTCTTTATCCCTTAATTATGAGAGGTTTGTTTATAAATTTTTCAATAAAATCTAATATATCTTGTGATTATGTTTCTGTCACTAAAATATTCTAGGTCTTATGTTCCAAAAATTTATAAATATCATAAACTTATGGTTTGGTTTAATAATCAATTAATATTTCATCAACCTAATTCAGAATTATCATTTTTAAATGACTAATATTGAGTATCTTTCTCTGAATTAGATTAAAAACTTAATCGAGTGAACTCGATACTATTTACACTTCTTTTTATAGTATATTGACGTTATCCGATAAGGAATTTACTCCAAAACATAATATATAATTTTAAATATTAAGATAATTACCCAGAGCTATTAGAGTTTTAGCAGTATATTCTGCCTTTTATCTTGTTTTTGACAAAATTAAAACCTAGGTTTAACTAAACAGAATAAATAAAATAAACTTCTACTTGACTGAAAAATCGATAATAGATAATATTGATAAAGCAACAACTGTTGTTTTGCCTGTACTCCTTAAACTCTATAATATAACATCTCTTCCTTATATAATTGGAACTAATGCTTTTTGCTGAATTACCGAAGGTATAGTATAACCATATGCATATATTCCTATGTTTATTATATATATATACCTTTTATTAGTTCTATTTTTAACTACATTGATTCAAATGTTGGATATATTATTATTTCCTCATTACTATTACATTCTACATTATTATATAAATGATATTTATCCATAAAATACTTATTTATTATATATAATTAAGTGTTATTAAATATTTTAAATAGAATTAATTCTGATCATAATGATCTCTTTATCTATACACTAATTTTATATCTTTTCTAAAATTAACAATATTGAATATTTATTTTTTTGGCGCTATTGTTATAATTATTATTAAAATGAAATATATATATATTCATTTTCTATAAATCTAAAATTTGATTAATTTAATCATTCTATATTATTAAAAATGCAACAAGACTAGGTATTTAGATTTATTATAGTAGATTGATTGGTAATAAAACCTAAATTAGTAATAAATCAACCAATAAGAATAAGAAAAGCAGTAAAATGATACTAATCTGCTTAATCAATAGTAATAGCTAATCAGTAATGAAGTTTCTCAATTAAACAAAAATTAGAAATCAATTGTTATTGAAGTAAGCAACCCAATTGAAATTAAAAAATCTAAATTAAAACATTATTTAGTATACACAATAAAAGGTATCGATGCTTGGGGAGAATTTTAAACATAAAGAAGATATAAAGAATTTTATGCTTTAAGATTATCATTAATATAATTTTGGACAGGATTTTACATTCCATCACTTCCTGATAAAATAGTAAATCCAAATAAGGATCAATAAAATGAGAGGCTTAGATTATTAAACCATTTTGTTTAAAGAATTTCTTAGTTAGAATATTTGTATTATTCTGTTTAATTTGCTAAAATATTTTTAAGATCGAATGAAAAAAAAATATGTAAAGTATAAAGTTAAGTGATTTAAAATTTAGATTTTAAAAGGTTTAACACCACCTAGTTTGCTCTATTAAATTTAAACTAGTAAACAAGTATTTAAAATAACTTAGGAGTAATATAATCAACAAATGTTAAATAATTAATTACAAAATATATAGATGTTTCTATAAAGTTCTAGAATTATTTTGAATAAATTATCTGATTAGACTCAGTCAATAATTAATAACAATAAAAAACTAAAAAAATAAATTTAAACTCAGCTTGAATAATCAGAAAAACTCATTTTACAAGATAAATAAGAAAATGAAGAAGAAAGAAATACACTATATGAAATAGATTTATAAATAAAATCAAATCTAAATAATTTTGTACTTAAATTTTATTATTTAGATAATAAATAGAGATATGTTTTTAGAATAAATTCATGATTTAATAAAAATTGAATAAAATGATATAGAGGCTTATTTGGAAGGAATATATTTAAGAGAGAAAATAGTATCATAACAAAACATTGAAAAAATAAAGTTAAAATATTGGCAATTTGAAAAAAAGGAAAATGACTATCTATATTTAAATGATCCTATCAGAAGGAAATATAATTATGAGTCAAATAATAATGAAATAGAAAATCATATAAAGTAGGTATTTTATTATTTTTATCAATAAAATAGTGCAAAAAAGAGATCAATGTCTTTAATCATTTTAATCTATTTATGATATCTTTAACTGTTACTTATGTATTTGAGTAATTTAAAAAAGATAAAAATTAATTTTATTAGAGAATAATAAAATAAATAGCTAAATTATAATTAGAGAATTTATCCTTTATGCAATAATTGTGGGGTAAAATAGGTAATCTTGCATAAATATAAAGATAAAAAAATGAAGAATTAGATATATCTATATATTAAAAGTTTAATATTTGAACAAATAATTAATATTATTATGTTGTAATTGTCTGAAGTATTATAATAATATAATATAATATAATATAATATAATATAATATAATATAATATAATATAATAAATTAATAAATATTAAAAAAAGAGGCACTCTATTTTAATAAAATAAATAATATTATTAAAAAAAGCAGTAGGAACAAGTTTCGATTAGGGGGTTTGAACACGAACCCCAAGTTAAATGAAGAAAATATTTTTATAATCACACAAGAGATTCAAATATGCCTATGGAAATCATTATTCTAAATAATATTTAATTTGTAGTTTAAAAATATTCTCATAAAATAGAAAGGATTTAAAAGTAATTTTTTAAAATATAGACTTGGGAATTTTAGTAATCAATCATATTGCTAAGCATTAAAATAATTAATGCCTATTTATGAATCTAAAGGTATTATTAAAAATTGTACTGTATAAGTCTAGTTCGATTAAAATTGAAAATAAGCATTATTTTATACCAAAAAAAACTTTTGGTTAAACTTAATTAACAACACATCACTTTAATTTTCTATTTTTAAAATTAAGAAAATTTTTTTATCCAAATTTTAGTTTATATAAATTTTTGATATATTGTAATATATATGTGTCAGTAATCATCTGTTTCAGTCTGTTCATCCTATTATGTTTGATATTCAAAAATTGGAGCTTCTTCTATCTCTGAAAAGTTATAAGTTTAGGAGGATGATATTGATTCTATATCATAAATAACTCTAATTATCATTTATCTCATTCTTTCAAATTAAAAATCTTAAAATGAGGATACTGAACTATGAAGTGAAGAAAGTGAGAGTTATGAAGAAGATTCCATTGATTCTTATGTTGAAGATTGTATAGATTGTTATGATGATTCAGATTGACGGGTTAATTGTTGATATAGTTATAACAATTAAGAATATTAGTGTTCAAGTCTTGAAATTTAATGAATATAATCAGAGTTCATATATGTTGGCAAATTTAATTCAATCCCTTCATGAAAATTTAATTTACATATTTCTACCGCCAACTCTATATCAGATTCTTAGCTTGCTTACACGACTTCATTTCTACCATAAAGTTTTAGAAGCCCAATTAATTAAGAATTTGCCTCAAAGCATTCGTCCTCCTAATACAAAAATAATTGGTTCTCTTCTAGAAATGCTTTATGAAAGTTTCGTCTTTGTTCAAAAATCGCATTTCTTTACATCTTTCTAATTTTATTGCTATAAATTTCTCTACGATCATAGACTATATCCATGAGTTCCAATTGAAAATATTTTTTTTATACATCATTTTATTACTATTTATGAAAAGCTTCATTGTATTTATTGTTTACACTACTTTCTTTTCGTTTAAAAAACTCTTAAATTTTTTCTTGTCTTAGCATTTCGAATTATTCAATAATTTGTTGCTGTTAACTGTTTGCCATTTTCAGCTAGAATTGAGCAATTAAAAATAATATTAAAAATATTGTTATAAAGTATATTTATTTTCAAGCGATTTCTCACCTTTTCCTTTAACTAGAAATTATTATTCATTATAATTTTTATTTGTTTCACTTCAATTAAATTTATTTGTATCTTGAATTTTCGCCAATTAATTTTAAACAAAAATATACTAGTAAAAAGAAGTTATTTGTTAATAAAAAGGTACTCATAAGAAAACTAAATGAGAGTTAGGTGAATTTTATTGACAAATTGATCAACTTAAGTGTGAAAAAAAATTGTTTTTATATTAGCTAACATAATATTCTACTTAAATTTAAGGGTTATTCTAATTTTTCACAAAAAGTTTGATTAATTTTGAAGGAGCAAAAAATAACTTTTGAAATCATTTTAAAAAAATTTTTCTTAAAATTTTTTTCAAATTTATGCTGATTCGAAATTTTTGAATTGAAAACATAACTATATTTGATTTTGCCAATATTGACAATCCATTGTTGTTTTTGAAATTTTGCATAATCTGTAAATTTAATAATAAGTAAATCTGGAGTTTTCAGCAAAATAAAATTTATTATTTTAACATAAATACAGATGAGGGATGAAACGTGACTTCTTCTGATACCATATAGTAATTCAATTTAACAAAATATATTGCCTTCCTTATATCAAAGAGACAGGTAACAGCTAAAATAATGTCACCAGATATTTTACAATTTTGAGTTTATCATTAACAATTTATATTATAATGATATGAAAATAGAAAGCCTTTCTCGCTTATATTAATAAACTTGTGTACTGATTAAATGGCAAAGACTTCTTCAATTTCTTCACAAAATCTGAAACAAGCGGGAAATTTTGAAATTTTGTTAAAATCCTGAATTTTCAAATAAAAAAATCATACTAAATTTATAGTTAAAATAATATTGTAATGGGAATAGCAAAAGAGTAAGCATATATATTTATCTATTTCTACTTTAATGTTGCAATTTTATTTTTTGTTTTAGTAATATATTGAGATATATAAATGGGTAGGTCAAAATATCACACCCTGTACTGGGTATTTCTAATTTAGCGCTCAAATTTTGGAAAATATCGTTAAGGATTAGAATTATGTGTCATTAATTTCTTAAAATTAATTATGTTTATTTGTTATTTTTTTAAATCAAAAAATGACGGTTATTCTAAAATTCTTAATCTGATAAATTTTTAAATTTTTCAAAGTATTCACAAATGTTATTTAATGTAAAATGCTAGTCATCTTATTTTTTCACAAAACACCTGAATATTCTGGAAAATTTTACTAGAAAAAAATTTTAGAACTAAATTTTTAATTAATGTTTAGAAGAGTTTCTTAGTTGTATCTACAAATGATAATGTATTATTATCAATGATATTTAGTGTTGGATTAGTTCAATCCACTTGTGAAGTCTTCAAAACCATTACAACACCAGATACGGGAGAACATTTTATTGAATAAGATTTATCATCGCTCATTTCTTTAGATTATGCTTGGGGTGTGTGGAGTAAATACTCTCAATTTTATATTTCATCTGATGATTTAGCCTTGCCAAGCTACTCTATGCATATTGTTTCAGAAAAACAATAGGATTTAACATACTTAGTTTATTACATCACACTTAATAAAAAAGATAAGTCATTTTATCATAATTTGTACATTTTTAATAAAGGGTCTTATGTAATACGAGAATTAAGGATAGATTAAGCACTCGCAGTAGAGCGTTGGGTTTTTTTCTATTTTTGTTATAAAGAATCATAGGCAAATTTTAACATATTTTTATATGTTTAAAAGGAGGATTTGAATGTATAAAAAATAGAAGGGGGTCCTTGTGCTTTAGATAAAAAAGATTTCAAGGAATATTAATTAGGTGGATCATTGTTAGTAAAAACCATAAATAAATATAGTTCACTCGGGCATTTGAGCCTTCCGAAATATACTAGTTGAAATAATTTTCTGGATAAATTAGCAATATAGATTTAAGAGAAGGCTCACAATATTATTATACAGACATTCCAACATTTTTAAATAACTTAGAGTAGAATTGCTAAATTGATGTGTGTGAGATGATGGTGGAAACTCTTATAACTTCCTTTATGAAGAGTGGGGGTATTCTAAGAAAAACTGTTACATATTTTGGAAGAAAATTTATGATATCTGGGTGGGCGATAATAAGAGAGTTGTCAGAAGTAATTAATAATTGATATTTAGCTCAAAAATCTTGAGAGTGTATTATTCAGAGCTTCATTGAGGTATTCTTATTTCCAGGATAAAAATCAAGGTGATAAAGCAATATACTGGAAATATATTCAAAATTCTCTTAATTAAAACTTAAATGGGTTTCAGATTACAACTTATCATCACTATCAATCAGAGTCTCTAAATTCATATGAAACATAAGAATAAGATTCTTGGTTAGTTTTGGATTAATACTATTATGAAGCCTTGACATTTTGGCATTGGTTTGTTTACTAAGAGGGAGTTGATGGAACTAACAATATCAGATTGTCAATTTATATGGGTCATGGAAAATAAGAAAAAACATTCATAATGAAATAAAATCATCTAGTTAAGGCTAAACTATATTTGAATATCGGAGGAGACAAATACAATCAAAATTTCAACGGAGCAATTCGTGATTTAACCTTTAAATATTGTTATAATGATGATACACCAAACCCAAGATGTATACATAATTGTTATCATTAGAGTGTCATTTTACTTGTAAATCATGTTTTGGTCCTCTAGAAAATCATTGTATTTCTTGTGAAGAAATTTAAATATCAAACAGAAAATTCTCAAAGTCTTAATGTTTATGTCAAGAAGGATATGTAGATGTTGGCACAAAAAATTGTAAAAGTAATTATATGGTTATGTTTTTTTAGTTAGAGGAGCAATATTAAAGAATATAAATATATAAGAAGCAACAACATTTGAAAATTTTGGATGTTAAAGGTACTAATTTTAAGTGAATATTAATGGAGACTGGTATTGTTTAGATTGCCCTGGTACTATTACACCATTTGCATTATATTGTTTAGATTGCATATAAAATTCGGATTCTTGGTATTTAAATCCTAGATGCACAACAGATTATTTAATGCCCTTTACTAATGATACAAATTATGTTTTTTTGAAATAAGAGAGATAACCTTAAGATTATGAATATTTTCTGATAAATCTTTAAGGCATATCACAATAACCAGTACTGGAACCTTGCTTTGGATGCCTTGGTTAAACTAACAGCAGTTTCAATTTCATTGAAAAATAAACTATGAATTAAATTTCGAAAATATTGTGCAAGAATTGTTATCAACCAATTAATGGTGAATGTGTAAAGTTTTAATTAAATTGCAATTAATGTGATGATAATCATCATTGTTTAAATTGTTTATCAAATTATACCTTATTTGAAAACTTCTGCTGGGCTTGTCCTATTGAGTGTCCTGATTGTAACTATAATATGACTGGTTATTATTGTAAAAGCTGTATTCAAGGATATTATTTTAATTCAACACTTGAATAGTGCTAATAATGTGGCTAATTCTGCAAGATTTGTATTTTCTCTCTTGAATTAAATCATTTGCAATGTGTAAGATGCAACCATGATTCAGATTATTTTATATCTGTAGAGAAATTTAATTGCAGAAAAAAATCAATGCCAAATTGTGAAATGGAAGCTAGTGAAAATTATATAATTCATAATAACTTGAGTTACATATCAAATGCTCAGCAATACAGCAATTCACTTGATATAGTTGCTTTTAAAGAAACCTTTCCAACATTTTAGATTTGTTTAAAATGTGAGAATGGTTACATCAATAAACTTTTAGTTCAAAAATAATATGAGTGTGTCTCTATTTAATCTTTAGGGACTCTTTTACCTGAAGAATTAAAGCTAAAAGTTCTTTAATCTTAAAATAATAATTTTTAGTTAGCTTTAATAAGTAAACCACAAGCTCCATCACTAAAATTTTCAATTATTTATGGAGATCGTGTAAGTATTTATACCACTCTTACAATCATATCAAATTCAGTCACAGGTATTTCATGTTAAGATCCTAATTGTTTTATATGTGTTAATAATTATATTCAAGAACAATAATATTGTATGCAATGCTATAATGGATTTTATTCCAATACATTTCTTGGAAGATGTTATCAATGTCCTTCAGATTGCTCCACTTGTTTAGAATAAAATAAAATCTATTAGGATGCTTGGAAATGGCAATATAAAATTAATTATCATTTTAGAAGTTATTTATTGGAAGGATTACACAATTTTAATGTTTTTGGAGCTAAATTAGATCTCGAAAATTTTGAAGTTATATGCACAGCTTGTCCACAAAATGGAATTCTTTACAATAATAAATGTTATCCTAAATGCAACTGTGATTCATGCATAATTCAAAATGATCAAGTAGTCTGTATCAGTTGTAAAAATCAAAACACTAAAACAGTTTATGATGGTTATTGTCATCTTTGTCCCAAATTTTGTGAATTATGTAGAGAAATTACATAGGAAGAAAAATTAAAGATCAATCCATATTTTTAACCTACAGACATCAACTTACAAAAATATGCATAACAATGTATTAAACCTTAATCTGAACCTCCTATACAGGGGATTTTATATTATGATCCAACCTTAGGCTAAGAAATTAATTGTTTAAATCCTGAAAAAAAAAATTGTTATCTCTACCTAGAAATTCCACTCAATATTTACTGTTCTAAAGAACTTTTTGAAAAATAATATGCTAAATTAGATTCTCCTGAAGATTAAGATGACTTTTTAAGTAAAAATGCACCAATTTCTGCAATTTTCTCAACAGATACTGAAAATCATTTTTTAGTAGAAACTGATTATTTATATAATGAATTGAATCAAAAAACTGTTAAATTGGTCAGATATATCTTAAATTTATTGCCTAACTCTGGAGATTGTGAAATTAAGAAAAACACCTACATTCAATCGCAAATTCGTAGAAATGTCTTTACTGTTAAATATTTAGAACTCATTTTGGAGTCTTAAAACTTGTTGCAGATTCATCTTAATGATAATATTACATTTTATGAGTTCACTACAATCAAATTTATAAATTTACAGATGATTCCAAACCATGTTATTACAACAATAAACATTTACAATCTCTATGGTGTATCATTTTTCATGGAATAAATCAAAATTAACAATATCAAAGAAGGTTAAGTTAGGATTAAAATTGAAAATCCTACTGACATTACCATTTAAAATTTTGAAATTTCAGACTCTAATTTAAATAATCTCAATGGCATTATTTTTTATTATTTTACTTAAAAATTAAGAAAATAATTAATGTTTAAAATTGATTAATTTATAATCTAAAATTGTTAGATAAATAATACTACATTAATTTTTTATTTATTGGATGAACAGAATGGAAACTAACAATTAATAGTTAGTAATTTTAATTCATGGAGTAATTATTACTCATCATCTATTGTTTTCTACACTGAATTCATCAATTAAATTAGATAAGCAACTTTAACTTTTGAATTATTCAATTCTGATCATGACGTTTTAATTAACTCAGGTTTTTTAAATATACCTGGAGCCTTAAATGTTGAATTAATTAACATGACTGTATCTAATGGAACTTTCAATTCTTAAGTGCAACTATTCAAATTGCCTCTATTTAAAATAACTAACATGCTTATATCTAATAACACATTTAATAGCTTCGATAATCGAGTAATAACAAATATACTTGATACTTTGTATAAAGATACAATCCAATCAAATTTACTCATAATTAATAAAATAACATTCAAAAATAACTACTTTAGAGGTAGCAAAGTGTTTATAGAATTGCTAAAAAGTGATAATTTCTAGAATCTAGAAGTAAATGCTAAAGAAGTGATACTTGATTCCAATTAATTTGTTTTTATGGATTATAATGGATTTTTAACATCTGCTAATTCATCTTTTTACTTTGATTTAAACCAAATCATTCTTGAAGATGTCAATATAATCAGAACGTTCACTCTTCCTGAGATATCAATAAATAACGCAGAAAAGATAGTGCTTAATAATATGAAGGCTACATTAAAAGAAGAGTTTAATATTAAATTATTACATCAATAAGAGTCTTGTATCTAAAAGAATTTAGAAATAGGCTATAGCAGTATGATATTTATATATAATACTAAACACATTTAAATTTAGTAAATTAAAATTATAGGGTTGATAGTTATAAACTTGCCTATTATTTTGATCAAATCATTAGAAAAGACTAATTTTAGGCAAACAGAAATTATAGATATTCAAACTCTTAATTTGTCAAACAATAATATCATTCTTACTAATTTGGCAGAGTCGCCTTCAATTCTTAGCATAAATTCTGAATAAGAATAAAAAATCAAAATAATTAACATTACTGCTTTTAATAATCATCATCATACTTATTAAGATAACTAATATATGAGATAATCATCAACAATTTTTATTGAAAATCCTAATTCTAATATTCTATTAAGTGAATCAAAATTTTCAAATAATATTATAACTAACAATCAAGGTTCCAACCTTGTATTAATATGCAAAACTTTAGAGATTTTGAATTGTTCCTTTAAATTTTCGAATTATTTACAATTTTAATACTTAAGAAAACGTTTAATTTGGGGGTACAGATTAAATGAAGTTGTTTATATGGAAAATTTATATTTAATTTTTCCTATCAAATCAAAAGGAGGGAATGCTTACTTGCAAGCAGACAGCATTATACTTAGTAATGTTTCAAGTCAAAATTCTTTGGCTTGGTAAGGAGGATCCTTTTACTTTGGGACTTAATCAAATGGTTTAATTTAGATCTTGAATTGTAATTTTAATTTCAGCCAAGCTAATTTAATCATGACAGAAAAATCACAAGGTGGTACTTTGTTTGTTGATGCTTCTCAATCAGATTTAAATTTACGAATATTTAACTCCCATTTTATTTCAAGCTTTAGTAGATAGGAAGGAGGAACAATTTTTATAGAGCCATCAAGAAATAAAAATTTTATACTAATTACATAGAATGTCATTCGAAATGTTTATTCTTTGGCAAATGCTTTTTTTAAATTACCCATAATATTTACAAGTAATACTCTGGTTCTAAATGTAGAGATTTATGATTTATCTATTCAAAATGATTATCAAGGATTTTTGTCATATTTAGCCAGTATAAATAATTTAAGTGAATCTGAATTAAAGATTCAAATTCAAAATTATTTGATATCAATCGAGAGAGGTAATATTACTTTAAAAGATTGTAATTTTATTGATATATTTGATTATGGAGTCTTAGATATTAAGAATGCATAATCAATTAAATTAGAAAATGTCTTAATGTAAAATTTTACATTAATTGGCGGGAGCACTGTTAAATTTATTTTAAATAAAAGTATCTTTTTAATATATTTATAGAATATTTAACCAATATTTAATTCTTAAACGTAAAGCTTATGTCATTTAAGGAAGTGGTAGGAAATGTTACAAAACCTTCTGAGTCAATCACTTCTCTTCCTTAAATTTTTTATAAATGTATTACTACTTATTCCTAACCAGGATAATTAAAATAATTTTACGATCAAAAGAAAAAGGATATTTTAAGTTATTCCAACTTATATGCCTTAATATAGAAAAAAATAAACCCTATATTTATCATTGAAATTGATTCAATTTCAATAAATCATTATATTTCTATTGACATTTTAAATTTGTAAAAAATAATATGCTCTAATTGTTAAAATGGATTATTAAGATTTACAAATGTTGAGGAGTAATCAAAGAAGAATCTTATCTATTTAAAATAAATAAAAATGGAAGACAATGTTTGTGGTTAATTAAGTTGTTTAATAATTTCATCAAAAGAGATCAATTAATTAAAATCATTTTCTGATATTAAACCGAAAAGATTATTGAATTAGATATAGCAGTATTAAGAAATGAAGCTTGTAACTGTAAAGCTTGAATTTAGTTCTTTTTAAAATAATAGTGCTACTTACGGGGGAGCAATATTGATCTCTGGTGTTAGTATAGTAATAACATCTTGTTAATTTTTATTAAATTGTGTTAAAGAGACAGGAGGTGCAATATATTTTTAATATAATAATGGATCTTAATTCTAAATACTTAATTCTTTATTTTCAAATAACCAAGCATAGGTTGGTGGAGCTATATTTTTAGAAAATTATGCCATCCAAAACAAAGAAAAAACTAATATTGTTTATTCAAATAATTAAGCAGCTCTTTTTGGCAATAATATAGCTGATTTTCCAGCTAAATTAACTCTAAAATTTTGTTCTAAGCTATTGGAAACAAAAACAATAGTGAATAACCAGAGTTAAGTTTTGGATAAGATTGATATCCAATAATATTTTATTGGACAATAATAAAAGGAATTCTTAATGCTTCCAAGTGGTCAGCCCATAAATTAATATCATTATTTTGATGAGTAAATCCAAGATTACATTGCATTAAACTTAACTTTAAGGATAATCCCTTTAGGAAAAGAGAATGGCTAAATAAAAGCATTAAACGGAAGTAAATGTAAAATAAAAGGAAGAGAAATAATAAATGGAAAAGAAGGAGAATTTAATAATAATTTTACTAGTTTTACAGAGATAGAATTTAATACAACAAGTTAGGACTATAATTTAGATTTTTTGAATATATATTTTGATCCTAATTATACCTAATAAGACTATTTGTAATTAGAGATAATGTGTGATTCTGTAAAAATTCCAATCTTTGATGATCAGCCACCTTATTTGTTGAATGATTATTAAACAAATTATGGATTAAGAGTGAATTTATAGACATATCCTTGCCAAAGAGGAGAATATAAGACTTAATCTGGAACATGTAAATTGTGTGATCCAAATTCTTATCAATACAATGTAAGAGCTGGTGAATAATGTAAAATAAAAGATTAAATAAAAATGGAAAAGATAACTTCAGCTAGAATTATGCTAAGACCACAATATTGGAGACCTTATGAAAATAATGATAACGTCGAATATTGTTTGAATATGCCTGAAAATTGTATAGGAGGGTGGAATCCTGGAAATGACTTATGTTCAGAAGCACATATTGGGGCTTTATGTGAACAATGTGATATCTACAATGTTAGAGGATAAGGATCTTTTTCTGTTAGCACAATTTATAAATGTGGAGATTGTAATAATGTTAGTAGTAATACTTTCAAAGTCATTCTTGTTAGTATTTGGACTATGATCTCAATATTATTATCTGTAAAAGGGACAATTGAAACTATTACTAAAGCAGTTGTTTAACAAAAGAGAGTAAAATTAAAAATAGCTACATATGATCCTAGAACAGGTTATGGAAATGTTTTAATCAAAGTATTAACTAATTATTTTTAAATTATTGGTGTGATTTCAACATTTTAATTATCTATGCCAAGCATTTTGGAATCCTCAGTTAGATCAGTTGGCAATCCAACTGAAACCATGAGTTTATCTTTAGACTGCTTTTTAATCTAAATTACAGATATCGATATCATTTATTTCAGAATGATATGGGCTTTGGTTATGCCTTTCTTATACATTCTAACCTTCATTTTTATATACATGATCGCTGTCGTTATTAATATAACCAAACTTAACAAGAGTGCCTTTACAACTACAGCCATCTATCTGTTCATTTATTTCTAACCTACTTTAATTGGAGGATTTATATCTTTATTATCTTTCAGATAAATATCAAGTTTCTATTGGATTTAAGGTAATGTTGCATATAGATATGATACTTAAGAACATTTAAATTGGATTATTACTTTTATATTACCTTCTACTCTAGCCTTAGCATTAATTATTCCAGCTTACATGTTTATTAATTTATATATCTAGAGACAAAAATTAGAAGAAGAAAATACTAGAAAAAATTGGGGATATTTATATAATGAGTATTCAAAAAATGCTTACTTTTGGGAAATTGTAAAGATACTTTAAAAAGGATTCATAATTATTTTTTTAACATTTTATGAGGATTTAGTAATTATTAAAGGAGCTTTAGTATTTATGATTGTTTTCCTATACTAACTATTAACTAGAAAATATCGCCCTTATCAAATTCTATAATTAAACATAATTGACGAATTAAGCACTCTTATTTGTGGCACTTCTATAGTACTCTCTATTACCATCTATTAAGCCAATATATCAGAAAACCAAGAAATTATTTTGCCTTTTTATATCTTTCTGATTGGCTTAAATGCAACATTCATTTTAGTCATTTTGTGGGGAATATTTTTAGCATAATTAGAGGATTAATAATAAAATATAGATAAAATCAGAGATAAAATTAATTAAATATTCCCAAGATTAGTAAACTCTAATTAGATTTTAAGGAAGCTTCTCACAAATAGGGCAGAAAAACAACAGAGAATTAGATTCAGATTTTTAAAAATTAAGAAATATTTATTACAAATTGTTCATGCCCATCCAGGATTGTATAAACTACCAATCTAAAATTATTAATTACACTAAAAAAGAAAATCATCCATTTCTTCCAGAGGTTCAGACTAATTGAAAAATTACCAATTTAAACCAAAAACTTTTTCTAAAGTATATCCGATTTATTTTGAAATCTAATAATTAGAATCTTAAAAAGGAGAAGAACAAAATCAACAGATATGATAAGAATAATAAAATTATAGATTATTAAATTTTAAATATTGAATAATTATGTTATATTTATTAAGTTTAGAGTTAGCAACATTTATAAAACTAAAAATATATGATTAAAAGGTAGAGGAAAAAAATTTAACACTTATCAAAGTATTTTATTGTAAAAATGTGAAGCCTGTACACGAAAAGAATTCTCTTAATAATATAATTTTATGATGTTTTTGCATGGGTTATGTATAATTTAATTCTTATTCGTATCATTTTTAAGGATTTCTTTATAATTCTTCCAATTAAATATAAGTTCATTTTAATTGAAAATTAAACTAATAATTCTAAATTATTTTCTTATTTCAAAAAGAATTGCTTTATTTGACTACAACTAAAATTCTTAAGTATAATAATTATCATATCACATATTAAAGAACACATATATGGAATTAATAAAATTTATACTTCTACAAATAATAATTCTTATTTTTTTCTTCAATATAAAATTATAAACTAAAATTTTGATTCTAATCCTAAATAAGAATCGTATTTTAGAATAATTATTTAATATTTTCAGAAATTATTTATTTTCTAAAATTTTTATAAATTCGAAACACTTAAGTTTTATCATTTATTTATTCAAATTTTTAACATTTAAAATGAGATTTGCTCTTATAGCATCGTAATACTTTGATCTGAACATTTAACCTAGAATACAAAAAGCTTTGTTTAAAATAAAATAAAACCTTTTTTATTATTGGTAAAAGATCACAATTAGATTAATAATAAAAATAAGACAGAATGAAGAATGAAATCAAATTATTTATTCATAGCCTTTTTAATAATTATATTGCGATTAAGAAGAATGAAACCTGAACACACATTAAACATTAAAAAGAAAAAATTAAACAGAATTTACTAATTATTTAAGAAGGGTGAAAAAATTGGAAAACAAAAATTTTAACCTTTGCCTGTAACTAATATTCCTGTTATAAATTTATAAGAATAAGAAGACAAAGGATAAAGAAAATGAAAAACCAGTTAGGAACATGGAAATGAGAAGAAAAGGAGGATGACGTCAGTTTAGAAATAGAAAATCTGATAATAAAAAAATATAAAAGAATATCAAACTTAGTTATTAATATAAGGATGGTAAGATAATAAAATTATCATCAGCCTATTTATATTAATAGAAGAATAAATTAGACTTAATTAAAAAAAATAATAGTTATTACTGCTAACTATTTATATTTTGTGAAAATGCAAATATTTTATATATTATTATTGAATGATAAATTTTAATTTTAAATCAAATTCATATATCTAAATTCTTCATTAATTATAAATATCATTATCATGTGGCTAGAGAGTGTGATATTAATGAGTTAAATTTTGGCTGGCACTTTTGAAATATTAGATTTAAACCCTTAAAACTAAAGATTAAAGAGAATTATCGCCATACGAGAGAATGATTATTAATTAGACTATTGTTTTACATATGGCTTATGGTCAAAGTACAATCCCCTTGGAAAAATAAATTAAGTAGGATTGTTTGGATTATTTGATGGCTATTGCTATCATTTACATAGTGCTTTATCTTAAGAGACATAAAGTTTAAATCTTATTTATTATGATTGTTTAAACAAATAAGAGAAAACAATTAAAAAGACAATATAATTTATTAACAATGAAGAAGAACAATTATAGTTTGATTTAATTATAGACACATTTGAATACGAAAATATATGGTACTTTATGCAAATAGTTTAATGGCCTTAATTAAATAGATTTGAGTTAATTATCACTAAATAATAATAATTAAAAATTCATGAAATAATTTAAATTAAAAGGCCTTATAGCGACAAGAATTTGATTTTGACATTCGGAAGCAATTTAATTGTAGGTAATTCTAAAATAGCAAATATTAAAACTGGAGAAACCTTTTAGTATTTTCCAGGTTTTATTCGTATAGAAGATTATAGTGAATAAAATTTATCTCCTTAACTTGATTTTATAAGTATTGCATCTGAAAATTATAATTCATTTAAAACTTGTGTTTGTCAATAGAATGAAAATTTAAACATAAATGATCAAGTTTTATCTGATTATCAATAGAGCTTCTACATATCATAAAATTCAAATTGTGATTCTTTCATATTATAAGGCTGGATTAAAATTATAAAAATAGTATAGGTGTCAGAAGAGTTCATATATTAATTAATTAAGATTGGTGCAAACATTGAAAATTCAATTATAGAAGATTAAAATTTGTCTCCTTTTTAGATGTATTATTATTTATCAAAAAAAGGAGATCATATTGAAATAACAACATATAGTTATTTATTTCCAGATATTTTAATTGACTTTAAAGTTAACCCTTTTCTAATTAGAGATTAATTAACAATTACTAACAGCATCAGTCTATGGCATTTTATAAAAGCAGAATTAAGATTTAATAAAATAAATATAGAATTAATATTTTATGATAGAGAAAACTTTGGTCAAATTACAAAATAATATGAGGTAAATTAGTTTACAAATTATTAATTGAAGGTGTAATTTGGAAATGGTTTATAATTATATTAAAATTAAATAGAAGTTGAATTAAGATAGTTTCAATTTTATAACTGCTATTAATAACTAAATTAATAATATTGTCATTATAGTTGTCTAACATGTGATGGTCCAACAAATGAAAATTGTTTATCTTGTTCTGAATCTTCTCAAAGGATTTACTTAAGTGAGTTTAAGGTGTGTATATGTCCATATAATACCCTAGATGAATTTGAAGTTTGTTAAACTTATATAGATTCTGGTTTAACCCTTTTAAATACAAATAAAATTCCTTAACAATGTTAATAAGGTTATTTTGAGATAGATAAAGAGTGTTATTAATGGTATAATTTTAATAATCTTTTAGTCCATCTATTGTTAAAGAGAGTATAATTACATGTCTTGAATGCTACAGTAATCCTCTTAATTGGTAGTTTGATCTTACATGTTAGACATCCCTCATCTTATTTCCTTTAGGAAGCATATAAGATTCATTAATTCCAATAGGTCAAGATTAATATTATTTTGATGGCACTAATCTCAATTATAGATATGATTATTATGTCTATTCATCTAGAATAAACTTAGAAAACATTGAGAATATGTATAAAGAGATGGAATTAATTTTATTCGGCTTTAAGCATTTTTGTTAATAACAAGAATATAGAATATCTAATTCAACGTTGTGTTACTTATGTAAAAATTAACATTGTTTAACTTGTATTACTACTTTAACTGGTTTGTAATGTCTTTAATGTGAAAATAGTTTCATCCTAATTAATGGAATTTGTAACTCAATAAATTTTACCAAGGACGATCCTATTTGTATACCTCCTGATTATATATCATATTCAAGATAATGTAAATAATGCATTATCAAAAATTGTATCTATTGTTTTGAATACTTAAGCTACAGTTAAAATTTTTGTTCCTTATGGCCTTTTTCTTAAATCGATTAGAATGATTTATAATATGTTAAAATAGGGTGTGCATTATGTGAAAATAATTACATTTTTGATTTTACTATTAACTTATGCATTCTTTAAAAACCTCAATTACAAAATTGTTTACGTTCTTTTATAGATTACAATAATATAGAACTATGTACATTATCAAATGAACAAGATTTTTCTATAGCTCCTGAAATAATTTCATGCTAGAATTATATATAAAATTGTTAATAATGCTCTTTGAATATTAAAAGCAAAATATAATGTGTAGTTTGTGAAAATGGATTTATTGTAGAAAATAATCAATGTCTTCCTAATGAAGAATTTAAATTACCAGATTATCTAATTTAAAGTTAAACAAGTAAAATTCAAAGTTTTATGCTCTAATTTATTCCGATATTAAATATATATCAATATAAGAATTATTTATTACCGAAAGAAAATTAGTTTGAATATTGTGGCTCTGATTGTATAGATTGTGATAGGCATTCATTTTATAATTGTAATAAATGTCCATTAAATTATTTTAAAAAATAAATAAAAGCTGAGAGTGGTCGAAATTGCTCAGATTGTCCTTAATTATGTTAAGTCTGCATTTCTCGATCTGATTTAGAAATTAAAGTACTTAAATAAATAATTTTAGGCTGTTTAACCAAAATTTTTAATCACTTAAGATAATGAAATTTTTACAAAGAAATGTATTAAACCTTATATAGATTCTGCAATTTATTTCGATTCATATAATTAGATATCTAAATATTGTTTTAATAAGTAATGTAATGATTCTTTTGCATTCAGATTTTCATATCAATCATGTGATTTTTCAAGATTTAATCGAAACTATGAACAAAAAATCAACACATAATATTGCAATTCGGTTGGAATTTAATCTATTGATTTCTACTTTACTTTAGAAATTCAGTCAGATGAATGCTAATTATTTTTTCCATTAATATTTAAAACTCAACTTAAATAAAAAATTTTTACTTTAAGAAAAATTCTTTTCAAAATGTAATCTTAAAAATAAATTTTAATTCAACCTGTTTTATAAACTTAATTTATTAACTTTGATGAAGTTGAACTTAATAATTTAGATTTTTCAACAAAAGAAAATCACTATTTTATTCTAGATAATAATTTGAATTCAATAAATCTAACATTAATAAACATAACTTTTGATTTTAGTTTATTTAATAATCTTAGTTCATTATTTTAATCTGCAAATTTTGATATAATTAATCTTACTAATATCACAATTTCAAATTCTATTTTAAACAATGCTTCAATTTTTAAACTAGAATAATAGATTTAAAATGGATCTGTTAATATTAATAGTTTAATTATATTAAATTGTACCTTTAATAATTCAACTTTATTTTATATCTCTAATATTTAAACTAAAATAATTATTTAAAATTTTAGAATGGAAAATTGTCAATTATTTCATTCATAGATTTTTCATTTAGCAACTTAGATATTTAGTTCAATTTTGCTTAGTGTAACTGAATTGTCAGTGTAAAATAATCATATACAAAATTCTATGTTTATTAATTGCACTAATTTTATAGAATTAAGGCTAATTCATTTTAAGTTTTAATACAATAATCTTTCCAATTCAATAATAATAGGTGTTCATTTTAAATTTGAATTAAATTAAATTTTAATCAAATAAAACTTATTTCTTTCTTCATAATTTTTTGTTCTAGTTTAGAAATTATCTGTTGAAAAAGTAAATTGTTTATTAAATAACATAAAAATAATTGAAAATAAATTTTAAACATCCAACTTAATTATGATATACTCAACATTGGCAAGCAATGATCTTTTTCTCTATGTAGAAAATACATATATAAATCGTAATTCTAAATTAACTAGTCAAAGTGGATTTGAAAGCTTATTTCATTTAAATTGCCATTAATTATTTTTTAAGATGATAATTGTAAATAATAGCAACCTTATAATTTTATTTTTAACTGAAAATTAATACATATAAATTGAAAATCTAAAATATTCTGATTCATAAAATGATTATAAGATACCTTTACCTTTTACATTTTCTGAATAAAATTTAAATCAAACAAATAAACTAATTGTTATTAAAGGTATAAATTTCATATCAATTTATGATTTGAAGGTTGAAAATTACACAAGTTTTGATGAATCATTAATCGATATAAGTTAAAGCTGTTAATTGAAGGAAAATAAAATTGGATAAATCCATCTTCAAAATATTACATTTAAAAATAATATTTTAATATAAATACATTAAATTTATAGATTGTCTCTATTGAGTTTGGAATCTGATTAATTAATATAAGTTTTTATTTAGAACATTACTTTTATTTAGAATATTTTTCATTCTTACGCAAATTTTGAATTAAGAACTTCAGGTAGTTTGCTATTTATTTTTTCTTCTTTAAGTTCTATAGAGATTTATAATTTTTTGAGCTATTATAATGTTTTAACTAATTCGTCTAGTGCTTTTGTTACAATATGTTCAGATCAACTAAAATTTAATAATTACACAATTCAATATCAAAATTACCTAAGTTAACAATAATGGGATAAATATTATGATATTAAATGGATGGAAAATCAAAATTATGAAAATTTTAACAATGTCATTTTTTCAAATTTAAATATAAGCAATATGGGTGGAGCAGGGAAATTACAAGCTTCAGTTATTTACTGCCTTAATTGCTTTTTTGAATATATATTGTCTTAAAAAAGTTTCGCGTTTGATATTACAACTACTGGGTAAGGTAATATCAGTTTAGTAAATTTGACTGTTAAAAATGCAGAAAATAATTTGGAGTCAAGAGAAAATAATTAAGGATGTATAAATATTAATTCAGTTAATAGTTAATTGAATTTAATGATAAACAACGCCAAGTTTGTAAATATATAAAATAGAATGGCAACTTCAATTTTAACAATATCTCCTTCACAAATTTCTAACTATTTAATTTTAAAGAATGTTAAAATTGAGAATTGTTTTTCTTTGCTAAATCCGATTATGAAAATCTAATTCTCATAATTAATAGCAAATAAAAATTTTGTTAACCTGAAAAATTTAAACATTATTTAAAATTTTGAAATGTGGAACTTCTATTTTTCTAAGATTAAGACTTTATCAAATCAGGAATTAAATGAGATTGTTAATGAAAATAATGCATTAATTTCAATTGAAAGTGGAAATGTATCATTAACAGGAATATTAATAGAAGGAACTTATATTTCCCCTATAATGAAATTTTAAAATGTTATTCTACTTTCAGTAGTATAGCTAAGAATGGAGAATGTTATTTTATTGTATTAGTTAACACTTATAGATGTTTCACAATTAGTAAAGATAAAATCAATAATAAAATTTTAATAGATAGAGATTAAGAACCTTTCTGTTTATGAAATTTTAATTTAACCTAATAAGAATTAAGATCAAAAATATGATTTTAATTAACAAAAACCAATTGAAAAGTCATTTTTACTAGATTATTTTAAAGAAAATGTTTTGTTGTTACAATCACTTTATTAGGATTATATTTCTATTTTCCATATCAAAAGCTTTTCAAATTAAAATTCTTTTTATTTTAATTCAATTAAATTAATAAATAACAATTGTTAACAGTGCTAGAATGGAATGATGTTTTTCTAGATAGATGAGTTAAAATAAATAAAAATTTCAAACTTAAATTGTATTTTTAACAAAATTAAAACATTTGGTTGTCTTTATTTTGTTAGAAAAAAATACAATTAATCTAAAATCATTATCTATAATTCTAATTTTTTATTTAATACAGGTACCTAAGGTATAGCAATTAGCTGTGTAAACACTTATTTAAAAATGTTTTCAGGTAATATAGTTTATAATTCTGCTTCTGGAGTTGGAGGTGGTATTTATTTTGAGAGTAACTAAGGTAATTTTATTTTTAATAGATCAATTATTATTTTTAATAAAGCAAAGAGAGGAGGAGGTATTTATTTTTAAGGAAGAAGCTCATTAAATTTGAATAATTTTATCAATTCTTTATTATTATTTAATAAAGCTATAGAATAAGGTAATAATCTTATAGAAATACCAGCTCATTTGGCTCTCTAAATAAATTCTCAGGATATACCTTCATCTTCTCAAAAAATTAATTAAATTTAAACCAACCAAATGAAATTATAACCTTATAAAATAATTGAATAAGGATAGGTCCGTGAATTTAATGATTTAATAATACCAAGCAATCAAATAATTAAAAATTTTGAGATTTTCGATTTAAAATAATCTAGATATAAATTATTCATTGAAAACATTCATTTATATTATAAAAATAGTAGAAATGAAATATTGTAAAATATCTTTAATTCAACTTGTTAAGTAAATTAAACAATATTCACAAAAAGTCTATCCTAAATTGAAAATTAAAAAAAAAACCAAATTTTTTAATTTGGTAATGAAAAAAATTATTTTGATGTATCTGCTTTAGAATTTACTTTAGATCCATTTGAATAAAATTATGAATATTTATAAATTTCAATATTTTGTAAATTTATTGAATAAGAAAATGGTCTAATGTATAAAATAAATGTAAAAAGCATACAATGCTAATTAGGAGAGTTTTATATTAATGAAGGATGTCAAATATGCCAATCAAATCAAGGATTTTATTCTGTTACTTATAATACGACAAAATGTTCAATTTTTGATAAGACAAAGTTTTCAAATATTACAGCAAATATGATAGAATTGCTTCCTGGATATTGGAGACCAGATAATTTATCAGATTTTACAGAAAAATGTTTTAAAAATTAAGCTTTTTGCTAAGGAGGATGGTTTGTAGGATAAAATCTTTGCATTCCTGGGCATATCGGAGCATTATGTGAAGAATGTGATATTCATAATATTAGAGGATTTGGTAATTATTTTAAGAATTAATGGGATTAATATTGTTATTATTGTTAAGATACATGGAATGATTTATTGTCTCTTATCCTTATTATTTTTTGGTAATTAAACTATCTTATTCTAGGGCTTTTTTATCAATTGGATTATCTCTAAAAAGTTTTAATAAATCGAATATCTTATTTGCCTAACTAAAATTGGTGAGAAGATATAATAAAATCTTATTTAAATTAAATTAAGGTAAAAATATGATTAATTTTAGACCATGAAGGCATTCTTATTAAATTAATGATAAATTATTTATGGATTTTTTCAGTGATATTTACATTTAATATCAGCTTTTCTTTCTCATTTTAATTTATTGAGCAAACCAGTAATAGTTCTTATTCTTTAGCAAGTTAATTAGATTGTCAATTATAAAAAATAAGTAAAATTCCCATAATTTATTTAAAACTCTTTACTTTGATAACTTTTATTGTATCATAATTTAATATTATATTTATGGCATCATATTGGTATTCAAAAAGGATGAAATATAAATATGATCTCAGTATACTGACAAATACATTACTTTATTTGTATATTGTAAATTATGCAGGTTTGATGAAAATGTATATATATTTATTTATTTTTAGGTTATCATCTATAGTTTCAGTTAGAGAAATATCTAATATTCTTTACATTTAGGGTGATGTCACATTATTATTTGGAAATTAAAGTCATAAATTTTGGATTTACTATTTTATTTTACCAGGATTAATATTTTTTGGATGTGTAATTCCTATAATTATATTCTTGTTTTTGTTAGTAAATAGAAATAATATTGATTAAATTAAACTTAGAAAACATATATGCTTTTTGCTAAATGAATACGAGAATTAATCTTACTTTTGGGAATAAATCAAATAATTAAAAAAAGCTTTAATAATTTTAATTTTGACACATTTTGAAACTTAAATTTTATTTAAAGCTTCTTTATTAGGGTTGTGTTTGTTGATTTATTAAATATTAGCAGCTTATTAAAAACCATTTGTTACCAATAAATTTAATTCTTTAGATTTAGAAGCCGGATAAATTTGCTCCATTTCAATTTTTTTGGCTGCGATTAAATACCTATGCGAACAATAAAATAAGATTGAAGCTTAAATTGTTATTTAAATTTTAATAATTGCTTTATTTATGAAGCTGTGCTTTCCTTTTGTAGAAAACATCTTTCGAATTTACAACAAGAAATATAAAAAACTATTTTTAACTGTTTTATTGAATTTTTTTTAATTTTTTGGTTCAAATTTCATTTTAACAATGTATTTAAATAAGACTTTAAAATAATAAAAAGAAAAAGAATAAAGATTATAAAATAACTTTATAAAATTAAGAGACTATTTAATAAATTTTACTAAAATTTAATAAAGAAATACAAAGTATATGTATTATTAACAATTGTTTAGATAAATAATCTTCCAGAATAGTTTAGATAGAATTTAAACAATTAGATCAAATAGATCTAATTTTGAAAAAATCTATTTTTTAGGAACAGGGGAAGAGAATAATCATATAATTTGACTTAAAATTTTTATTTATATAATTAAGATTATAAATAAATTTTGCTTTTTATTTTACGAAAAAAAATAAATATTCCATTTTAAGCTAAAGTTTAATTTAATAATCATTTTACCATTAAAAAATCACAAAATGCAACTTCAGGGTCAAAATTCTTTTTCAAACATATTTTTTAAATTAATAAATATACAAATTTTAAAATTTAGTTCATAAAAGAGAGAGCCTCTAATGATTACAAAAATTGCTTAGAGTATTCAATTTATTTGATTTTATAATTTAGAATATTCTTTTTGAATTATTATCTTTATCTCTTATTCTCCAAAACCTCAACTCAATAATTTAATATTTGATTTTTAATTAATATAGATTTTTTTTGTGTTAAAATTTTCCTTTTTTAAATATTGCATTATGAAATGAATAATTTAAAGTTTAAAAATTGATGAGAAGGAAAAATGATAAAGTTTGATGATTGAATATCAATTAATATTGAATAGAAATTAAATTTGGATTTATGTAAAATAAATTATAAAATAGAAAATATTGGGTCATATTACTTCCAAACTCAAAGAAATTATATGTAAAGCAAAAGAACATAATAAATTATACAATTTAATATGATGAATAAAATTTTATTAATTAGATAAATTATTTATCAATCATTTTGGTAATTCATTTCAATTCTAGAAGACTAAAATTCTTTAGATTTGGTAATTTAAATTTATCACTGAAAAATTTATTATGATTTTTTCTGTATAAATTATTCATAATAACTAATAATTCATGTGATTACCTATTATATGCAATCATCCACATATCACATTTATTACATTAATAAACATTCCAATCAGTAGTTGATTAATTATTCACTAAATTATGATTAGATCCCATAGAGGATAATAATATTTAAATTTTGCTTTCTTATCTAATAGATCCTTTATTAAAAGGGCCAATAAGAAATGCTTCTAAATCAATTTATCCCCATTTGATGAATTCCCAAGATATTTTATATCGTTTCTAAACAATAAGATATAAATTACTCTCAAAAACTTTAAATAATGAGAACATCCTTTAGTCATTCCTGCTCCTCCATTACAAAGCATATTGCCATGACAATGACATTATAAGATTTTCGTTCTCTTTTCATCATTAAAATCTCTTTTAAGAATAAATGTTACACAACCACAAATACATTGTAATCTTGGATAAGTAAATAAATGTTAAGTTAATTGATTAGAATAAATGGATAATATATTTAAAATAGGTAAATTTGAAATATTAAAGAACAATAATTAATTATTAAAGATGTTATGCACTTCATAAGCATTGATTCTAAAAAAATAACTAAGAGTTAAAAGCAATGCTTATCTTAAATAAGATGAATGATTTTCTACTATTAAAAGCTTACCTTTATGTAAAAGAATTTATCTAAGATAATCTAACATATGAGGAACAAGTTAAGCAGCCTTTACATAATTAGGTAATTATGCAATATTTTCTAATGAGNACTTCCAAACTCAAAGAAATTATATGTAAAGCAAAAGAACATAATAAATTATACAATTTAATATGATGAATAAAATTTTATTAATTAGATAAATTATTTATCAATCATTTTGGTAATTCATTTCAATTCTAGAAGACTAAAATTCTTTAGATTTGGTAATTTAAATTTATCACTGAAAAATTTATTATGATTTTTTCTGTATAAATTATTCATAATAACTAATAATTCATGTGATTACCTATTATATGCAATCATCCACATATCACATTTATTACATTAATAAACATTCCAATCAGTAGTTGATTAATTATTCACTAAATTATGATTAGATCCCATAGAGGATAATAATATTTAAATTTTGCTTTCTTATCTAATAGATCCTTTATTAAAAGGGCCAATAAGAAATGCTTCTAAATCAATTTATCCCCATTTGATGAATTCCCAAGATATTTTATATCGTTTCTAAACAATAAGATATAAATTACTCTCAAAAACTTTAAATAATGAGAACATCCTTTAGTCATTCCTGCTCCTCCATTACAAAGCATATTGCCATGACAATGACATTATAAGATTTTCGTTCTCTTTTCATCATTAAAATCTCTTTTAAGAATAAATGTTACACAACCACAAATACATTGTAATCTTGGATAAGTAAATAAATGTTAAGTTAATTGATTAGAATAAATGGATAATATATTTAAAATAGGTAAATTTGAAATATTAAAGAACAATAATTAATTATTAAAGATGTTATGCACTTCATAAGCATTGATTCTAAAAAAATAACTAAGAGTTAAAAGCAATGCTTATCTTAAATAAGATGAATGATTTTCTACTATTAAAAGCTTACCTTTATGTAAAAGAATTTATCTAAGATAATCTAACATATGAGGAACAAGTTAAGCAGCCTTTACATAATTAGGTAATTATGCAATATTTTCTAATGAGAAGATTATGTATTAAAATTAGTAGAGATCAGAAGCTTTTAATTATTATGAATCTGAAATTACATTAGTAATTCCCATCTCAATTAATCTATATAAGTATCAATATCTTACTTTTCTTAATTTAATTTAAAATAGTTTTAGTCACAAATAAAGAGCTCTTGAGTAACTTTGAAGAAGGATAAATGAATTGGTTAAGTTTATTCAAATGCAACTTTTTTATCATTATAATAAACTAGTTTATGATAATCTTCAAGTAGTAGATCAAATGATTTTGTATTAAGTAAAGTTTATTAAGTAATTTTTTATTCATTATTAGTTACTAATAATGCATGAACATGTTCAAATCGTTTTTAAACACTTTCAATATTTGGTCTGTGTTTTTAATCTCGAACTAAGACATATTTCAAGAAATCTATTATATAAAAGTTATTTCCTAATAACTAATATAATAGATTTAAAATACCTATTATTTGTCTTCCGAAATCAATTGTTCAGTAGGTTAAGTTACTTATAAATAAAATTAAACCCATTCTTTTTTATAGAATAATAATTCTCCTGTCAAAATTTCAAATAATAAACAACCAAGAGACCAAACATCAGAGGATCTAGTTGTTCCTACTTTCTTTCGTCTATCATATGTATCTTATTCTTTTTTTGAATTAATAGTTAAAGTTAGCATTTCAGGAGATTTTATATATTCTGTACCTCTATTTCTAACACAATATTCATCTTCTTCATTAATAAATATGCTAGATTCTCCAAAATCTGTTAGAACAACATGCATATCATCTAATAAAATATTATCTGCTTTAATATCATAATGTGTGATATTGTGATGGTGTAACATTTATACTGCCTATAAAACTTACTTATATAAACTTAAATAGACTCCAAGATTTTCCTAAAGAGATCCTTTTTATTATTATCTCCATTCTTTCAATGAATAAGGGTATTTTTTCATTACAATTATATAATCACTTGAAGTTACTCCATAATCATAGAGTGTAGCAACTTGAGGATTTAATCTAAAATTTTCCATACATGCTATTTCTGTAAATAAACCATATAGCACACATCTCTTAAATTAATTATTAACAATAATTACTTCATATATACTTTTTGGAACTCCCATTTATTTAATTGCCACATACTCTGGCTCTTTTAAATTAGTTTTACATTGATAAATTACTCCATAGGCACCAGATGCTATTTTCTACCAATCTGTATATTGTGTCTTATCAAACAGTTAAATACATAATAACTTTAATAATCTTATTATCTTAATATTTGTGATTTTTTATAAAACTAATTTAATTACATTCTAATTTTAAGAATTATTTAAGTGATGATGCAACAAAAATAGAATATTGGGTTTCCCATTTATGATTGGATGTTAAGAACAATATAAATCATCTAATATTCCTCTTATTGGTTTTATTAATAAACAAATTAATAAAGATAAACAATTAGCATGCAACTCTTCATCTGAATATATTTTTCTTAACTTTCTCTCACTTAAATAAAATAAATCATCTTTTGCTTAATTACAAATATTTAGTTTAAGTTATTACTACTATTACTATGGCTGTAATTCTTTCTCCTGTTAACAATTTGGTAAATTTAGTTTTGGAACTGGTTATTTCTTATCACTACTATTTAGGTTTATATTTTTTTGTAATAGCATTCTTCTTTAACTTTCTGATAATTAAGCTTGAATACATATTTCTGATTTAAATGGCATTGAATTACCTCTTTTATGATTTTATTAAACCTCGTCAGGTTAAACTTTTTGTAATACAGTTAAATTCTACTGTTGTTTTGATGATGTATTAAATTATGGACTATGGCTATAGGATTAACTTGAAAAATTATCTGTTTTCAATTTCCCTTCTAAATCCAAAGTTGGAACCAAAACCTTTTTTAATAAAATTTAACTATTTTTTTTAGTTTACTTTTGATTTTCTTCTTGTATTTATTCTAATTACTATTTATGCACAGATTATAAATTTAATTTTACATTAGGTCTATCACTTAATTTGGAACTTAATCTCTCATTATTACTGGATGAATCTATTTAACTATTTTACTATTTAATTAAAAAAATCAATATTAATTTACTTCTTATTGTTGCATTAAAGATTAATGATTTATGGGCTTCTCTCTAATTTATGTGATGTCAAATTCTAAATCGATTTCTTAAGTTAGAAACTCAACTATTCTATATTGATAGAACTTTCTTGAAATATCTTCACTTCTATTTTAGGCTATGCATAACAAACACTTGATATATAAATTCATAAATATTTAACTAAATTATTTTGACTATTTTTCATCTTATTTAGAGCTTAATTCCTACTTTTGATTGAACTCTTAGATTTTCATATTTATTTCCTTCAGATCATTCAAATTACTTTAGGAATACAATTTTATAAAATTTACATAGCAATATCTGATCATAACATTTGATAATTCTTCATTTGGATATTAAAAAGATATTCCAATAACTTCAAAAGCTTTTTTATAAACATGAACTCTCTTCACTTATGGTTTTTGTAATAAATAAGTATGATGTTCTATAAATTTTTGAAGTATTTTTAAAAATTAATTTAAAAATCCTTAAAATATTCTCACTTATTATTTATATTCTTTATCATGTTTTTAAAATAATATAAGTATAGATTCATAGAATAATAATATTCTCATAGCATGTAATTCAAAATTTTCTTCTTTATTTTAATTCAGTTCTTAAAATATATAACTACTAAAATTCTTGATCATTTCTAAGAAAATTTCATTCACAAATACATTAAGTAAAAATTTAATGGAGGAATCATTTATAGCTCTTAAAAATAATCTTGATATAATGCTAATATAAGTGGAAATAATTTAAGGATATTTTTTAATGAATGGCTTCTATGGTTTAAATTTTAAATTTGAATGTTATTATTATTATTGTTATTATAATTATTATTATTATTAGGAGGAAAATTTTAATTAGGAAGGTTAAAATTATTATTGTTATTAAAATAACTAAGTTTAGAGTTGAGTTGATTTTTAATCTGGAGATGTTTCAAATATATTAATAGATTTAAACATATTAGTAATAGTTTAAGAATAATGTTTAGCAGATTTCGATATATATTGTGATTGATTAGGAGTTCGAGATGAAGATAGTTGACAATTAATAATATCAATAATTTACCTCTTTATCATTACTAATATCTCAAGCATATAGTCTAAAAATTGAGACAACAAAATTCTGTTATGAGTATAACTCAAATACTTCTCGAGAATTGCCAATAAATCATATTCTAATTCATAAAAAGCATTATCATCCATATTCATCGTATTTAGAATGAAATTGAAACGATATTAAATGTGTTTTAAAAAGGAGAATTATGTAGTATTTGAATGTCGATAATTGCATACAACTCTTTGCAATTCATTTTTAACAGGTATCATCATTTCTGGAATATTTGCGACTGTGTAAGGAGACTTAATAACATTAATATTATCATACCTCTATACTTCTTTCTGATTCATCAATTTCAAATGATTATTCTTTATATGAATCTTATTATATTTTAATATGCTATTAGTCACTATTAAATAAATCTAAAATTAAAAAATAAATCTTCTATTCACTTATTAATCCATTATCTGATTTTAATTTACTTTAATCACAGAGTTATTTCTTTGAATATATATCTGTATCAAAATCTTAACATATTTGTTTTGATGATATTTTATTTTTTTAAAAAGAGTTCGAACACAAATAATTTAAAATTGTAGAATATGGACATAATTCATATTGTATTTTTTTGATATCCTTCAAAATGAGATAAAGAATATTTCCCCAGAGTCTACATATTTTATTACTTTTTTAATATTTATTTTAATCCTATTCAAATGATTAAGCAAGTGGATCTTCACATTAATTTAATATATTAGGCCATTTATTAATTCCCAATCTTGTTAATGATTCTAATTATTATCTTCTTTATTTTAAGAGTAAACATGATAAATCTTAAGTTAAACAATAACTACCCAATAATTATGCTAAATTTTATAATCTAAATTAATTTTTTAAATATTTACTCTTCTTTAGCATTCAATTTATAAGATTAATCTTCTTCTTTATGAATTGCTTAAGAACCACTTGTAAATTTGATTGCAGAATCAATAGAATGTGAAAATCTATTTGAACATGTAGAATAAGATTTAAAAGGATCTGCTCTTCTTGTTGAACGAGTCATTATACCTACAATCTCTAAACTATTTTAAGGTAATTTTAAAGGAGGAATTTTAAAGTTCTTATTTTATTATATTTAAGGTTCAACTTAAAAAGATTTTTCTTAAATTTATTAAATTGGTTAAAGATTTTACTCTTTTGAATATACTGTTGGATAATGTGTTAATAAGAATTAAGTGAAATTCATATGAAAATCACCTGTAGTACTTTTGGATAATTTTAGATAGATTGAATTAGGAGAGTTTAAAGCATTTTCAAAATTTTCAATAATTTCTGTTAAGTAACTAAAATTATATATTTATTATTACCCATCCTAATAGATTTACTATTTTAAACCAGAGTTTTATAAACCTTTATAAAATAACATTAACACATTAATACAAGAATGTTCATGTAAATGATCCAATATAGCATTAATTATTATCTGATTATCCATTTATCCAAAAATGTCATATATCTTTTCAGAGCATTGTTAAAATATATTTCTAGGTTTCTATATCAAACTTTCCATATATTCATTTGATTTGATTTTTGTATTTTATATTGTTGGAAATTAGATTTCGTTACTATGACATAATAATTATATTAGTTTTTTTGCAACTTAACCATCTCTTAAATTTAAATTTTGTAATAATTATAGAGTCTCTGGAGTAAAATGATGCTAATTAAATATATTCATAATTTATATTAATAATTAATTTCAATAGAAAAATAAAATCAGTTCCTTCAATTTTCTAACTATTGCTTATATTATAGAAAACCTACAAATAATACAATATATTACTTATTCCTCCTTTTGGTTATAATTAAGTTAAAGTAAAAGCATCTTAAGGAATTACTGGTATAGAATCAGATGAGAGAATATCTAAAGCTTTTATCTTCATAAAATCACTAAAATTGGTTCCTACTTATAGTTTTTCTTTTTCACTAGGAGATTATTAAATTAATTATTCATTAAAAGTAACAGTTTTCTTTTTAACTATTTCTTATTGAGTTTCATTCTATTTATCACTAAATATCACAAAATCACTGATGTGTTAACATTCATTCACTTACATTGATTATTTAAATGCTTGGTTTTCTTATTAAAATTCTATTCTAGATTAATTTTTTAAATTTTAAAAATTTTGTAACATTTATTCATATCTTGATGAATTATTTGATGAATACTCTTATTCTTGTTTATCTTTATCAACTTAAGTTTTATCATCTTTATAATCACTATACCTTTAACTTTATCCTGAAGATATTTTATCAAAACTTTTATTATCAAATATACTTTACTGAGTTTTAATTTAATTTTTATTTTTTTCACTTTCTTTTGTTGCAATTCTATTGCTAGGACTTTCTTTTTAAAAAGGTTAAACTACAATTGAGTTTTTAGTTCCAATAGGACTAAAAGTTTATTGTTATTTAACAATGCTGTTATTTTTTGGACTTTTAGTTTTTTATGTTGAAATACTATTTTAGATTCTACTATTATTTTTAGAATAATTTTCTAATGACTTAGAATCTCTCGACTATCTAGATTGAGGTTAAGATTTAATTATTTTCTCAATTGCATCTAATTATTCAATTAAATTGCTTTGCTTTATTGGTTCATCATATTATATTTTAGATTGTTTTTTTTCACTTTCATTATTATTTGTACATTGTCTACTAATTATATTATCTTAATCATTATAAAATAACATATCTTAATAGTTATTAAAATTCTATATTTATTATCTTGAACTATTTAAATCAAATTCAGGTTAACAAGGAGAATGCTATTGGGGTCTAATTTCTTGATAAATATTTGGAGATTTTAAAATAGTTTCTAATTATAATGGTCCAAATGTATTTCTGCAATCAGATCCTTTTAGACAATCAAATTATTATTATTCAATACTGCTTTCAAATGATACATTAATTTTTTTATTTTAATTTGCAGAAATCTCAGCTGGAATAATTGAAGATAAATTACTAATTGTTATTTGATTATTAACATCATCATCTGTTTCATCAACTCCTTTTAAATAAGCTGGTAATTTTTATTATTTTATTTATTTATTTATATCTTGAAATGCTTATAATTTATCTTATTAATTCTAAAGTTATATATACTTAGATAATTATTATTATTATTATTATTATTATTATTATTATTATTATTATTATTATTATTATTATTACTACTATTACTATTATTTAATATTAGAAGCAAGATTAGTCTTATTAAAGTTAACATTTTCATCTTAAATAACTTCTTATTACTAATTAATTTTTTCAATTTAAATTTATTGAGTTTATGCAAAAGTATTAAAATAATTTTTTTCATTTTTAGTTTCAAGTGTTTCTAACTATTTGTTAAAATTAAATTCAATTTTCGATTATTTAGGCTATTCAAATAATGGTTTATTTTACATTAACTCTAATTGTAAGTTCTTTAACTTTTATAATTCATTTTAAGAATTCAGGGTAGCTAATATTTTATTATTGTTATTTAACATATTATTAATTGATTCTTTATTATTTGAAAGAGGTTCTCGATTGCCAATAGGTGAATAACCGTTTCTTGATGTTTAAAATACTGGATATTATTTTTCTTAATTAAGATTAGTTGGAGATTAAAAATAATTTTAAACCATTTTATCTTAATACAAATCTGGAGTATTTTATATTTAATAATCTTAATGTCTAGTTGTTTTAGAAAATTCCTCATTTAATTTAGATTCTTAAGGTTTTAAGTACTCAGATACTTGATTTTAATGTTTTTAAATAGATTCAATCTTATTATTCAATTTCTGCAAATAATCAATTTGTTAATTGAATTTACTAATATTTTAGAGTGGTGTTCTATCTTCAACTTAATATTAAGTAACTTACATTTAATATTATGGATCATAAGTAAATTTTTTAATTTCTTAAATTTGTTTAATCTTTTAAGTTTGATCTTGTCTAAGACTTTAGAAGTTACTTTATTAATCAGCAAATGATTATGATCTATTTTAGCTTTCTAAAGATTTTAAAAAAGTTAATTCATTTTATCTTTATTAATATTATTTATTAGGGTCATAAGTTGGATTGATAAGATTTTCTTGAGAAGAAAAGCTCTGTTTATTTTGTATAACTATCTTTTATTATTATTATTATTATTATTATTATTATTATTATTATTATTATTATTATTTGATTAATTCTAATTATTATTGTAATAATAATGCCTAATGTTCGAGATATTTCTACTTTTTAAATTCTTGTGTTTTTAAATCGTCATATCTAACTTCTCTTATATCTTATTTAAATCTTTCTGGTTATTAATTGACTTATATAATAGTGTTTGAATATTTTTTTGTGACTTCTTAAATATCTCTCAAAATATTTTGTTTTAAATTATCAACCATTTCAGACAATGGCTCTCTTTAATTAGGCTTATGTTAGATTCTTAATGGACTTATGGATCCAAACCCTTTTTAATTAGCTTATCTTATGCCTGCTATAATTCCTGGAGATTACACTCTTTAAATAGGACTCCTTTTATAAATAGGTGTATAACAATCTTTTTAAATAACTGGTTTAGAAAATGGACTTCTAGTTGGACTTCTTACAAAGTTTTCTTTATTACCTGTATAAACACTTTATGTTCTTTAATTTCTACTAAATTATCTATTAGTTTAAATATTGCTTCTATTAGAATAAGATAAATCATTTTCATGTTATGCAAAAAAATTAGTTTGAAAAGGCACTTCACAAAGAGGTAATTAATGATCAGTTGATGAATTTTTTTTAATTCCAACTATTTTTTTGACTTACGGTTGAAGTGGAGATAATCGACCTGCAGTTTCATTAATTAGAGTAGTTAATTATTATACTGCAACATTTGATTTTGGATTTCTGAATACAGGACTATGACGAAGAGTATAACAGTTGTTTAGCATTATTATTTAAAATTAAATAGTTCATTTTTAACGTAATTCAAAGTATTTCTATACTTTCTAGTCAATCCACTAATAAAATTCTATATTTTAATTGTATTTTTCAAACCAAGGAGATTTCTCAAAATTCTTAGTTATCTTTTCCATCCTTTCAAATAATTCATGTGCCATCTAAAATTTTTATTATAATTTAATTACTTTTCTGGCCAAATATCCAATAAGCTAATTAGGAAGATATTTAACCTAAGGATTTGAATTAGTTATTGCACGTACTCTACATTTATTATCATTTATAGGAGTCAATTCAAATATATAGTAATTTATTATTAAACTAACTAGTTTTTTATTTGCTTAAAATTTAATATCATGTTTTTATTGATATTCAATATTATGATCAATAGATTTACAAACAAATACTATTGTTCCATTTATCATAAGTCTATCAATTCCTTCTCCAACAAATACAGCTCTTCTATCTGAAATAAATGGAAAATAGACCAATATATCACAAATTTTACAAGTTTTACTCAATTATTTATTCATTGAAGATCTTTGACAAAATGGAACATAATTCTAATATAAATCTATTTCATTAATCAACGCCATTAATTTTGTTATATTGGCTTCAAACACAGAGTCTAAATAAACAGTAACTGTTTATTCTTCCTCGAAAAGTTTATATTTAATTATTAAATTTTGACTTTGTTTTTCTATTCTCCATCCACCTGATTCTAATTCATTTAGATTTTAAGTGAGTATCATTTTTTTCTCTTCTAAATCTTCATAGAATTCTTAATATTTTTTCTCCTTGAACCATTAAGCTTACTTATAATTTAACTTTAAATAAATATCCTTTGTGATTTCCAAGGCTTCATCCAATAATGCTTCCTGATACAGATTTTTAGCATGTTACATTCTCAAATCTATTAGATTTAATTCCTCTTATTCAGGATCTATGATTATTTTTTCTTTTTGTTGATTAAACTTATTTTTCAAATGAATTTCAGATTCAACAATTTCTTGTTCAAATTGATTTTGGATAATTTCATCATCTATATGGTTCTCTTCTTAAATTACTTATAATTGACTGTTTCTTAAATTATTTTAAGGATTTGCATAATTTTCTTCAATCGTAACACTTACGCACAATTTCACTGTTTTCTTCTTAGTAGGTTCTTTTGGTGCAAAGGATTTAAAAGACTTAATTGCTTGAACTTTAGAAGGAAACCGGTCTAAGATATTTGGATGATATCTTACATTCTTCATATTCATTTAGCATATTGATAATTTCAATTGATTTTTCTGAGATATCGTCTAATTAGCATAGTTATTAAGATAACTAAGTTTAAAAGATTGATTACTCTTGTGTTTGGATCAAGTTTTTATATTTGTTCTTTAAGTCCTGTTTTAAAATTAAAGTAGTAATCTATAATATAGGTACAATGATCAAAGGCTTAGCATTTGTTGAGTATTGTATCAAACTTAAATTTAAGTATGATAATATACTTCCTTTCGAAATTCTTCATATATATAATCAATAGTTGGCATCTGGGATTCATCTTCACATAGATAATTTTTCATGAAAAAGAGTTTATAAATAAATTAAAATTAAATATGATAGTTCTTGAACAAAATGAAATGTCATTTAATATTGAATATATTATTTTAGTTGTTATAAAGTGTATTATAATAAATTGAGTCATATACAATATTATTAATTTTGTTTTATAATGAGTATAAAGTAAGTTCATCCAACAAATGAAGGGGAAGAATAGAATGAATTCAAAAAGGGACTACAGTAATAGATTAGTTATAAAATTGTTTAGCTCAGTTTAGACTTTCAATGATCTTCGTAGAAAAAGAGTATAGGTTCGAGAAGCGACATTAATTTTATCTCCGAAACTGTAGAATTTCATTTCATTAATTTAGCTAATAATATTAGAATATGTTACCAAAAATAAGTTAGTTTACAAGTTAAGATTAAATTATGGAGGAAGAAGATGTTTTGGTTTTAGATGGCTTTAAAATTAAATTTAATAGGGCCATCAGAAGATTATTAATCATTCTAAACTTTTCCAGAATGATCACTTATTTTTAAAAATAGAAACATAATAAGAATGTTACTTAAAATTCAATTTAAAAATAAGTTATTCCCTTTCTTCCTCATCTTAAATTTATTCGTTTGTGGAGAGAGATGATGAATTTTAATACTGTAATTGCAAACCTTGTTTATCCCATATATATTACATATTCAGAATTTGATTCTTATGTATAATAATCTTTTATAATAGGATTTTATAACCATAGTTACATTTATTATAGATTTTTTATTCTTTGTTGATATAATATTTGAATAGATGATATGTCAAATAGATAATAACAATATTCTCCTAAAAACATTTTCATCAATATTTATTCATAATTTAACTGGATGGTTAATTTTTGATATTTTAACAATCTTACCATACAAATTATTTGTAAAAAAGATGGAAGATTCTTTCTAATTAAGAGACTATTTTAATTTGTTCAAATTAATAAGAGTGTTTAAATATTTCACTAAAACTGATAGAAAAATTCTTTATCATTCAGCAGATCCTAAAAAGACAGAAATTTCAATTTAAAATGAATTATCTTTTTTTGATTATTTTTCATTAATTGATGCTAAAGTTTTAAGTGTATTAAATATTTTCAAAAATATGTTAATACTTATAAGTGCTTTTGGTTGTTTATGGCATTATGTATAATATTATGAAGGAATCTCTTTTAATGAAGATTATGATAATTGGACTTCATATATTGATGGACTCTTTTGGGCTATTTAAACAGTTACTGTAGTTGGATATGGAAATGTCTCAATTTCTACTTCTATGTAATATAATCTTGTGATCATTTGGCTCTTAATTGGAGTAGGATTCTATTCTTTTACTATTGGTAATCTAGCTCAAATCTTAGAATAATAAACATCAGCTGAAATATAAAAAGAAAACTTAGAAGATTTAGAAAATCTAATGGATTCTATCATTATCCCAGAATGGTTATAAAATCAAGTCTCGAACTTTCTAACTTATAATCTAGAAAACAACTCTTTTTGGAATTACAGAAAGTATATTTTAACTATAATAATTAGAGAATAATAGACTCTTTGCCAGGATAACTTAAAAAATATACAATTTGTTTTTCTTAATAGTAATTAGTTGTAAATACTAATCTATTTAAATTGGATATTAATATAGCCTCAAAGTTATTGCCCTATATGACTATTTTCTATTATTAGAAATATGAAACTATTTATTACATTGGATCTCCTAGTATGGACATCTTTTTTCTAATTACAGGAGAAGTATAATTGGTTTAAGATAATTTTAGGTGAGATTGTGTGATGAATAAGGTCGAAGTCTCTTAAATATCATAGAAGGCAGTATCTTTGGTGAAATGGAAATATTAGATCAAGTTAATAGAAAATAAAGTGCTATTGCCTCCAAAAATTCTATTGTAATCATTTTTCCAGTTTAGATATTTCTTGATATTATTTAAACAGATGAGAATTTGTCTTTTGAAATTGAATAATTAGGTTTGAGAAGAAAAATTCTCATTAAGGAAAGTCATATCAGAATGAGATGTAATTATTTTATTTTATTTCCTTAGAAAATCAAAAGGTTAGAAGAGTAAGTTGTATTAGTTACAAAGAATAACGTAAACCTACAGATATTAGTAAAAATATTATGGAAAAAGAATTTAAATCCAGAATTTCAAAAGAACCTTTTTAGTTCATTTAAACTAGACTACTAAAATATATTTTTGGAAGAAATTAAGAAAGAAAATGGAGATTATTTCATAAATTTAGAGATGTTGTATAAAAAGTTATGAAGTTTAATAAATAAAAGAGGGAACTTAATAAAAGAAGAAGAGAAAGTTTCTTAGGATTAAAAATGATAAATAACTTTAAAGTAACTACTGAAAAAGAATAATTTATAATTAAATAAATATTTAAATTATAAAAATAAAAAAGACAATTAATGAAAACTTTAAAATAAATAATTAACCATGTTAAATCAGGAATTTAAGCACCTATGCTTATAACACCTTCACCTTATTTTTATTGTTTATTAAAGGAATAGAAACAATTAATTTTAGAAAAAAAAGAACTCGAAAATTAAAACAAATTTCAAAAACAATAAAAGATTAAAAAAATTAATCCTTATTATTAATTAAGATAATTAAATGATTTTTGGAGTAAGCTACAAAATGAATTAATTTCATATAAAAATATAAGAGGAGAACTAAGATATTAATAAATGGAAGTGGATGGAATATATTTTGAAATTTAAGGTTTAATTAAATCTATTATGTGAAATTCTATTGAGTATCAATAAATATTTAAACTAACATATATAAAATCATTTTTCTTTCTCTTTACATTATTAAATTATTTAAATCAAGTAGTCTTCATAAATGTTATCAAACTATTATAAATTATTATAAATTACAGTTTTTCGATATTTGTAAACAATTTTTTATTCATTTGAAACCTCATTTAAACATTTATGAAATTATTTAATATAAGATCTATCCTTTTAAAAGCTCTTGAGCTGACGAATATTTTCAAAATTCTACAATTTTTCTGGAATTTACAAAGATTTATCAAAATTGGAAAATAAATGTTTAGCCTAAGTTTAAGAAAAATCAATACTTTTTATCGATCATCATTTCTGACATCTTTACCATTTATTTAAATCATAGATGGAAATCTATAAACCAAAAATTAAAACATGAAAGAACAATTATTAATTGGATTATTGAGTATTGTTAATTTTTGAATTTCATTTAAATGCTTTAAAAATAGATGAATAAAATTAATACTTCTAATTTGGCTAATTGTAATAGACTATTAATATAATTATCTTTTAAAACTAATTCTCTTAATTTTGAATATTCTTTTAAAATTGGTAATTATGTGTCAATAATAGAATCAAAAAATACATATTAAAAATGAATTTTTTCAATAATTTAGCTAAAATTTTAAGTTGGTAATACCATAGCTGATGCAGTGCCATATATCAGCAAAAAAACATCCTAAATATTATACACAAAGGTATACATCCTCAACTTCAGCATGTCCTCCTTCTACAAGTTGATGTTCAAGACAGCTTTTTTTATTTAATTAATTATTTTTTTCTAACAATTAAATTCTTTTATATTCAGCAGTCCATTATTTTTTAATTAAAATTAAAATATCATCTTCTTAAGCAGCAGCTGTACTAGTCAAAGAATTCTTTTAACTTGGTATAGTTTCTCTAAGTGGTTGTTATTGCTATAGAGGTAAAGAATTTTTATAAGTGACTGGTTCTTTTTTAATTTATGCAAAAGGTACAATTTCATCTTTAGTTTTAAATTCTGAGGCTACACCAAGAATTTCAAGGCCCATTTAATTAGGTTTTTTTGGTTTTTACTATTATTGAATTTATTATTATTATTATTGTTATTGATTAATAGTTTTTTTTTTAATTGGTTCAGTTTTTGGGATTTCTGAAAATAAGATCTCTTATTTTATTTATTCAATAGGTTTTCCATCTAATATTTTTAAAGACTCAAAAGTTTAACAAATATATCTATAATAATCAGATTTATTAGTTTAGATAGGATTATTTTCAAGGGATAATTCTGATAAATTAAAAATACAAGGAAAAGAATTAATCTTATTTTGGGACATAAATAATTTTTATAATTAAGGAATTACTAAATGAGAAATATAAAAATACCTTATAAATGATCTATATTTTCAATTTAATTCATTTTGATATTAAGTTCAATTAAAGAGTTTAATTCTTCAAGCGCTTCCAATTTGGTAATAAGATTGTTACCAACATTCAAAATTTTAAGACTTTTTAATTTATTTAATCCTTCTAAATTAACAATTCGATTGCTATGTAGATCTAGAACTTCTAATTTGCTAAGATGATCTAAATTTTATATTCTTCTGATTTAATTTTTAGGTAACAATAAAACTTTTAATTTTTAAACTTATTTCAATTCATCAATTTCTTTAATTTAATTATCATACAAATCAAGATATAAGAGATTGGGTAAGGAAACAAGATTTTGAATAGAGTTAATTCTATTATGTTAAAATGTTAATATTTTTAACTTTTCTTCTCCTTCTAATAGAGGCATATGAGTTAAATCTAAGTAATCAAGACTTAATTTTTCTAAATTATTGGCTCTTTCCATAGGTCTTCTATAACAAACCCATATGCCAGGTATTTATTATAATTCAGAGAATATAATGTTACCTCCATTTTCAATCTTTTTGATGGTTCCATTTTTAACTAAATATCGATACCTTAAGTAAGTAAGAATTGATTGATTACCTTTCATCAATTTCAACTTAAAGTATATCTTGAAACTCTTGTGAATAACAAAGTACATCATTTTTAGCTTTCTTTTTAGTAATTTCAGGTAATTAACTTGAAAGAGGTGTTTGATTTGATTAATTTGGTTTGTAAGTTGTTTTTTTAGAAAAACCAGTGGAATAAGTAGCATTAGCTTCAGAAGATCTCTAATTCTTATTTGGAGACATAGAAGATTTTGTCTAGTGAAAATAATTTGAATTGTTACATATGCATAGCGTGATTCTTTATTCATTAAAATAATAATGTATAAAAATCAACTAGACTATTATACTTCAAACTTAAAACTTATTGATGATATTACATCTAAAGAATTTAAATAATATGAAGTAGGACATCGAAAGACTTATTCAGAACCAGATTAAGTATAATTGAAACGATAACCTGATCGATTAGGTAGTTATTTTATAATGATCATTAGAAATATCAATTAATCAAAGCTTAATGTTGTAAATGTACCCAAGTATCTTTAAATATATTAAAATTAAAATAAAGGAACTAACGAAACCATTAAATTTTGTTTATGAATCAAATAATAATTAATGTTTGATTAAAATATTTGTATCATCAATAACTGATAGTCCAAACATATTAAATAATAGTTTACAAGTGATTGTAAATATACTCATATATAGATTAGAATAGATCAAGATTTTAATTCACTGAACCACCATCACATATTACCAAATTCAAATGCGATTATGTGTATTTATCAATCTACACTGATAAATATACAGATTTAAAAATTAAAGCTACTGCTGGTGTTCTTTAATCTAATAATAATAGAAGTCTTTAAAAAAGGTAATAAACTCCAATGCTTTAAATTCCAAGAGAATTGTTCACTCCTAGAGAACCAGGATGTTATACTTATAGAAGTAATTTATCTAGTATTAAATTTAATATCTAATCTAGTATTACATAAACCTAAAACTAATTAATCATCATTTATTCGATCAAATAAAGAATCCTAAGTCAAATTTAAACTGATATTGGATTTTAAAATTAAGAATACTAAATAAAAAAATTCTTTGATTGAATAAATGATGAAAAAGAAATCTATGATATAAAATAATAAGAAAATTCATTTATTGGAATCTTCTTACTCTCATGAACTTGATAGATTATAATCTAGAGTATCGAGATTAAGAAATTAAATCAAATTCCATATAAGCAATATTGATTTATTATGGCTAGAATTATTATTTATTACATTGTTAGCAAAGGCTATCAAACATTCATATCATGTATGTTTAAATTTAAATAGAAACGAGTCATGAGAAGAGTTATTACAAATAAGGTTTAAGTTTGTTGCAGAAAGTTTATGAGGATTATGCTCAATAAAATTAGTTCCAGATATTAATATGGTAAAAAAGAAGCTGTATATCTTGATACTAATATTCTATTCTATTTTGGTGCCAAACTAATGAAAAGTAAAGCAAAATTTAGAGCCTATTCCATCTTGAATCATTTTATCTATAGATTTGGACATTTATCAAATGGAATGAACAAATTGTAATAGTTCATATTAAAAATTAAATACATCCAATAAAAATGGAAAAAATTTAAGAAATCTGAAGCCAATTATTTAAATAGAGTAGCTGATCAAATTATTGATAAATGGGGTGTTTTATATAGAGAAATAATCAGTGAACTTTAAAATGCTCCAAAGTCTGCACCAACTTAGGATAAAAGATTACTTTTAGAAACTATATCTGATAATCTCAACAATTATAAAAGATCATTTCTTTAATTTAATAATATATTTGATAAGTTAGCTGGTGGTTCTACTATATTTAGACCAATGAATAATGTTATTATGAAAGACATTATGCATTAATATGTTATTAAAAAAGCCAATAAATTTTAATGATTTATATATTTATTCATATATATTATTAATTTTTACAAGTAGTTTAATATATAGTGAGTCAAGATTTAATATGGCCATGACAGATCTTGTTAAATAAATAAAAAGTTTACTTCAGCAATTATAGATTAAAGTGATTCCATTAATAATTCATCCATCTATTTTATATAAGAAAAACAATTACAAATGGAAAAAATTTAATTGTACAGTTAGGATTAATTTCTCTTATTAATGACTCTAGATTACTATCTCTCTACAATAGAATAGCTGCATTAAAAAACCGATAATAATTTTCTAATTTGATAAAGTTAGTAATCGTGCATACCTGCAAAAAAGAGTGTATGCTTGTTTTTTGGATTATTTTAGATCCAAAAATGAAGACCAAAATTTTTTTCATTGACTTCATATTCTCTATAAAAGAAATCAAAATCAAATGTTAAATTTGCATTTTGTATATTATCTGTTGTAATTGATCTATTTCTCACACGTTTTAAAATTTGTAAGAATTCTTATTCATTCAATTTAAATTTAGGAGAATAGATAAGAATTTTAAGTTAAGAAATATCTTCTATACCTTCATCTGCAGGTATAAAATCAAAATTAAGAAAAGCTGATTCAGTCAAACTCTTTTTTCTTGAGCCATCTCTTATTATTATTTATCCAATTTACTCATATTTCTTTTGATTAATACAATAAATGTATATACTTTAAGATATTCTTCACATGTTTAAGCATGTAAAGCTCCACTTCTACGACGTCTTTCATGAATTGGTTGTTTTTATTATTATGACATATTAAAATATAAATATTTTAATATAAAAATTGGTCATTAAGATTCTTCATCATTTATTTTAGGTGCTAAATACAATTTCAATGATCCCATATCTTCAATTACATATTCTATAACTAATGGTTAATCTTAAGACATTGATAATATAACTTAATTTGATAATGCTGATGCTTTATTAAATAAATTGAAATATCTATAATATAAATATATGATAACCTTACTGCAAAACTTAAATTTACAGGTTCATCAACATTACATTCTACTTTTTCTTCTAATTTCTCTGAATCATTAGTTTTTACAGATACTTATCCTTCTCCAATATCTCCTTTTACATAAAACTTAATTCCATCTTTTGATGTTTCAATTCCAATCGCTTCATTTATATTACCTAATTCTCTACAAATCTTTGTAAATTCATTAGATGGCATTCTAACTACTGAAGAATATTCAGTATCAGGTACACCTAATTATTCTTAATCTAAAGACATTAAATTCAATTAAAATTCACTTATTCTATCTAATTTATTGATATTCTATTTACTTTTTGATTCAAATGTAAATGACAATGTTGTTGGTTCTTCATCTTAAGTTCTTAAAGTTATTTAATCATCATTTCCAGAACACTTTAGAATTTTTTACAAATTTTCGATACTTAATCCCATTGTCAAAGATTTTTCACATCTATACTTTTTAAAACCCTTTTCATTTAATTGCAATGCTACCAAAGCAACATGTGAAGTATCCATTGCCTTTTTATTTATTTACAATATTACTTATAAAGATATTCCTGTTCCATTTGCTTCTAAATTTACATTCTTTACCAATTCTTTAACTGCTTCAACAATCTTTTTGAATTATACTCCATCACTAAACTTAGCTTCAAACATTTATGCCTTTCTTAAATATTTAAATTAATTAAAGAGGGAAATATTGCAAATTAGATTTGCCCGGGTAATTAGAGTATTATTATTATTATAATTAATTTCTAACTTTTATTTTTTAATAAAAACAAATTCTATAAAAATCACTGTTTTTTTATTTTTTCAATTAACTTTTGATTATTCATATCTATTATTATATTTAAATCCAACCTAATTTTTATTTCCCTTTTAATATTTTATTGTTTTAACTATTCTTTTTTTTCAAAATTAATAAAAGACTAATCAAATTTTATCTTTATTAATCTAATTATGATGTAAGAATTTTCTTTTGTTATATTCTACTATAATTTTTATAATATTCTTTATAATAAAGATTTTTTCTAAATCATCAAGACGATTTAATTTAAATTTCTAGAACTAAAAAGGCTGCACAAAACAGTATTTTTAATTATAGAATTAAATGAAAAATCATTCAAATTAAACAAATAAAGAAGTATTTATACTTTAAAAAAAATAGTGAAGATAAAATTTTTTTGAAAAATAATAAAAACTTAAAAATGAAAATTTTTTTATTTTAATAAAACTTTTTGTTGTAAATTTATAAACAATCAGAGAGCTGGACAATCTATTGAGATTACAGTTTTTTTTCTATTGACAAATTTATTTCTTCTCAAAGAGAATACACCAATAGATTCAGTTAAATTTGCATAATAATTGTCTTATTTTTTTTTCGGATCCGTGCAAAATTGCAAGTTTTATTTTCTTAAATAGTCTATAATTGATCTGATCTTTGGATTAGGCTTATGATAGATTTCTAATTCTATAGAATCTAAACTTGAGTTTAAGGAGTCTTGCATTATTATTTACGTATTTATATTAATAAAAAAATTTAATTAAAATTCCCTTTTAAATATTTTAGTTATATAATAGTAGCAAATGATAAAACTGATTGATTGATTTATTTTTTTTAAATCTGTTTTTAAGTACTAATGTCAAAATAATCATAATTAGTGTAAGAATATATGAAATGAGCTGTCAATAAATAGAAATTATTGATTGATATTTCTTAATATTGAATAATTTCTTAAGTTTGCTTCTCTTTAAAAAATATGTAAAATCTAATTTTAAACTCATGAAATTTTCGATAACTTTGAATTTTAACTATGTAGAAGTGAAAAGAAATAATATAATTGTTTAAAATAATAAAAATTATTTCTCAAGTCTTTATAATTGCCTCATTAATAACGAATTTGAAAACAAAAGATAATAAATTTTTATGTCTAGAAATTACATTAAATTAAAGATAACTAATTTGTTAACTTATTTTAATATTTAATTCAAATTTTTTATTAATGTCTTCAATTACAATTTTAGAACATGTTCTCTTTATTATCTGTTGAAACAGAATGGTCTTTTCTATATAAAATAATATTTACATTATCGATTAGATCCTTTAATAGATTTATCAACATTTGCTGGTTTCTTCTCACTATTTGCAAAACTAAAGTTACTCTATCTAGAATTACAAATGAATGTAATTGGTTATGTTTTATTTTTTTATGAATTGAAAGATTAACTTTAAAATTAAACTAATTTTTAGGATAAATTTGTTGAGAATTCTTCATCATCTAGAATTCTGTTTAAAATTTATTCTTATAAAGGACTTGGTTTTATAAAGGAACAGTTTTCATATATATCTTAATTTTCTGTGAAACCTGTATTAGGGTATGGTAGTTAAAATTTAACAGGTTTACAAATTAATTTTGGTTTATTACAAGCATAAGTTTGATTGGATCGATTTGATTGCTATTTTATGATTGGCTAATAATTAGATATTTATGAGATTTCTGTTTAAAATGTTTCATTATGATTAATTGTTTCTTCTTATGACTATATTTATTTTGCTCTAGAAGATGATAATTTTGATTCCAAAGAACCTATTTTAATATTTGCTTTATGTAATTTTTATTTTAAGTTCATTACATAATTATCTATTTTGAGAATATATTAATTATCCTTGAAATATGAAGTAATGAATACTCTTTACTAAATTCTTTTTATTTCTTATAATTCCTCTAAAGCTAATTTGTATTCATGGTTTCTTTCATTTAATTAATTTTTTAACTTAGCTATTTCTAACCTATAAGAAGCATCCTTTTATTGCAATTTATGTATAATCTTTATATTAAAATTTGAATACTTCTTTTAACTATTATGTTGACTATTATTACTAGCTGTTACTTCTCATTAAATTGTTTAATAATTAAAATTATAATACACAACTTTATAATTTTGCTTATTTTTGAAGCTAGACTTATCAAAAAAATTCAAATTTTATATTTTGATTTCTTTATTTTACAAAAAATTTGATATAAAACTTTTCAAATTTGAAAAAATTTATTTCTCCATATTTGTTACTAGTTTAATCATTTTCAAAGAGAAAATTGTTTCTTGATAATATTTTTGAAATTTTAAAGAGTTTATTTTATTATCAGAAATTTTAATAAAAATAAATATTAAAAGTTCAAATTATACTTGATCAATTTCTAAGTATATCTTCAAGTTTTTAAACTTGACAAATTAAGGAGCTTATTAATCTTATAATAATAATAATAATTAATTATATTATATTATATTAGTAAAATAATCATGAAAATTATACCATTTTTATTGGTAATTATTTTCAAAAGTTGGCACCTATAATTATTAATTAATTTAAAATAAACTTTATTTGGATAATCATTCGAATAGACTCAACTATTACAACTACAGAGGCTAAGTTCGCACATATACAAAAATTAAAATGAAATTTATAAGAAATTAAGAATAGATTCATAATGATGCCAATATAAGTTTATATATGAGGCTAAAGGACTTTGTCTGGAGTCTAAGTAAGCTTTATATTGTCCCAAGATCGAGTACAAGTAAAGTTCTTACCCTTACTTAAAATGCTCCGGGATTACATCATCGGCCGCATAGCAAAATTTACAATAAAAATATTTTTTCTAATAAGAGTTTGATTATTGCAATACATATAAATGATTAAAGATCTTTATGTATTAATTTGATTATTTAGATAATGAGAAAAATAATTATATTTCCCCAAACTTTTTTTAAATTAATGATGAAATTAATTAAAATAATTTAGTAATATTAAAAACATTTAGATATTTGCTTTAAAATATATAAGAGCAATTAAAATAATGTAAATATATTAATTATTTTTTTTATAATTATGAATAAATTAAGAATTAAATTACATTATTTTATGATATTTCAACTATAAAAATTTATAAATATTGATTAATTCAACTTAAAATTTTATAAAGATTAAATTTAATAATAGTAAATTTTTTATAAAAATTAGGTTTGAAGAAGAATTTAAATATTAAATCGAAATAGAATTGAATAAAAAATTTTTAATTTATTTTATTAATAGCTATTAAAATTTCATTGCTGTTATTAATTTTATTAACTTTGCAATTCATATGTCATTCTAACTGGGATGAAATCAGAAGACTTATTGAGCATTAAATCTTTGATGTATTTTTCTAATTAGTTACACTCTGTGATTGATTTTTTTTTAATATAAATTAAAAAGTATAACATATGATAGATGTTATGTTCTAAAAAAATATGTTAGAACCATCCACTTTTAGTTCTAATTTAATAAAATAAATAATTACTTAGAATCGATTTCATTTCTTACAAGACTACAAACAAAACATTTTCCTTAGATATCTTTTAATAATTCTTATCTTTCATCACGTAATTCTCCAAACTTATCAACAATGATACCAAAAATCATTTATAAAAACAAAATATTAAAAATGATAAAGAATGTTAGATCAAAGAAATATCTCTTCCAATATAAAGCTGGTTCTTCAAAGGGATTAGCATAATCAGATAATACATCACCTATTCCACCACCACTTCTTAAACCAAAATTAATAACATGAGCAATAGAATAACCCAAAGAATCTGAAGCAAATTTTGTTTCATCCTTAAAATCACCACTAAATGATATTTTTATTAAAAAACCATACAAAACCAACCCTATTAAACCTAAAAGTCCAAAAATTAGTAAATTTTTTGTATTTTCAGTAAAAGCTTTAATAATATTTTACAAAACTTCTGATCTTTTCACTATGTCTAATAATAATATTGCATAAATATAATTATTAAAAAATGCAATTGCTGTTATTCCAAATATAATTATCTATAAATTAAATATTATTTGATTACATTATAAAAATTATCGAAATCAATTAAAAGTAATAAAATAATTTTTCTTAATGGATTTTTTTAAACTTATTATTATTCAAAATTATTTTCCATATATCCAACAAATTCATAGTATTTTTTTTTGTATTCTGGTATCTTAAATCCTGCCTCAGTTTTAAGATTTTAAATATGTTAAACATTAGTGGCTCCTCTTCTAAAATTAACAGCTATAGGGTATCTTTCAATAGCACAAAAGATTATAATGATGAGATTCAATATTAATTGAATTAATGTTATAATCTATTTAATAAATATGAATTTACATTATTTAAATACAATACTAATTATACTTTATTTGAATCAGTAATGATTTCCTTATCTCCATCTACATCTCCATCTCCATTATCTACTATATTTCCATCTGCTATGTCATCAGGTATTAAAATAAAAAATAAAATAATAAACACGCATAAAATATAAGAAATATCTTTTAAGGTTCTCCAATGCTTTTAACCAAAATGCATGATAGGAATTGTACTAACATTTTAATAATGAATCATTTATGCATGATAAAAATTTATATTCTCTAAAAAACTACTAATTCTATCTTCATCTGATTCTCTATTTGTTTCATAAATCAAATGTTATTTTATATTTTAAGTTATATATTTACAAACAAAAGGTTTTTAAAATAATATTCTTTCAATTTAACCAAATTAATTAACAACCTCTATTCTACCTATAAATTCTCTATAAAATTAAAAACATTCATCATTCCTTGATACTTATACTAATTAGGCTTATTTATCTTAATTAACTTCATCAAATAAATCATTATTTAAATTACTTTCATGAATTTTGTGATAAAATTCAGGCTGTTGACTTATTGAAAAAGTTTTTTCTACAATGTTTTTTTAAGTTTAGTCATAAGATAATTAATCTTCTAAAATTAAGTCTTCTTCTATTGGAATATTTTCAATTTAAAATATTTTAAACTTTTCATGATTACTATAATTAGATAATTTTAGACCAATAATAAAAATGTTTAAACCAGTCTCAATTAATAATGAATCTTCTTTAGTTTCATATCCATTAATGCAAAAACTTTTATTACATTACTTTTGTTAACATGGAGCTCTACAATATTTATCAACACATATAAATGCTTTTTTAGGAAATATTCTAGAATTATAAATCTTTTTAGCCAAAGACATCAAAAATTCATTGTTTAAATTTTCTAATAAAAATTTATACACCTATTTATTTTCATTTACATTACCTTCTAATAAAGATATTAATAATTTTATGTAAGTATATAAGGTTTACAATAATTAAAAGTATTTATTTTATACTTTTTTAGATTAAGGAATTAAAGCTATATCTAAATCTTCATTATTAAATAACTCATTAAACCTTAAGAATAAACGAGGATTCTTTGTTATTTCTTTTTTATTTTCATTAAGTCCAGTAGAAAATTCAATTAAACTTAATAAACCTTAATAATATAATTCCCATTTCTTTGAATTATCAACAGATTTATCAGATAAAAAATTTACTAATAAAGTTGTTGTTTCTAAAACAAAATTAAAATTATTAGTTATGGAATCTTATTATTTTTAAATTCTTAAAAATCTTTAAAATTCTATATTTACGTTCTCACATAATCCTTACAAAACTTGTAAAACTTTGATACATATTTTTATATAATTTTTATTATCTGATGGACTTAATTCATCTAATTTTATTCCTACATCAACACTATAAAAATCTTTAAAAAATTGAACAAATATTTTTTTATGTTTTTTTTGATTTTATAAAAGATTTGAAAATCTTTATTAAACTTCTATATTACCAAAATCTAATAAATGATGTAACAAACCTAAAGAATCAAATTATTCACTTGCTATTTAACTATTTAATTATTCAATTGCTATTACATGAATATCACATTCAGATATAATATTTTAGTATATTCCAAATTATTCAATAGTGTTATTGTTATGTTTTTCAGTAATTCTTGAATTTTTGTCTTCTTCAAGATCATCATCTTCAATTTCATCATTTTCATTTTTTTTATTTGGTTTGTTCATCTCCAAAAATATTTTGCAGAATTTAATTAAATAACTAGGATGCTTTGAAAATATTTATTTGCAATTCATTAAAAATTCTTTAAATTTTTCTTCTTTAAGAAAATTTTCTGACTATAGTTAAAGTTCATGTAAAAAGAATAAAATTTGTACATCTTCTGACAAAGGATTCAGAATTTTTCCACAACAACCTTTTTATAAAAAGATTTTTCTAATATAATCTTTTTTTTTCTCTTCAAACTATTCTTTTAATTCTTATAAATTTAATTCCTCTTTTAACCTTTCTTAAGCCTAAGTAGTTTAATCATTAAATTCATTTTATGAACTAAGTGCCTTTTTAAAATAAGTCCAATTCTCACCTTTTGAAACTTAAGAAATTTTTTGAAATTTTAAAGTAGGAAAATCTTCTTATGTGATGTATATTTTATTATTTTAATTACAAATCTCTTTTAATTTTGATAATCTGTCTTTCTAATTCAATTATTCTACATGATCTATTAAATCTTAAAGTATTATGTGTTATCTAATGCAATAAATTTATAATCTATTTTAGAGATTGAAATCATATTGATTTACAATAAATAATTCAATTATTTCAGATATTTATTATATGAATTCTCTTTTCTCTTATATCAAAGGAACAGAATTATTAAGTAATACTGCTCTAATCATTTCTATTATCTATTTATATTCTTCAACTAAGTTGCATTCGTTCTACCTTTCCAAAATTCTAAATTCATCAATAACACAAATAAGAAATTCAAAAACATATATAATGTATTTCCAATACTCTTTATTGTTAAGTATTATTTAATTTCCTAGATTATGATTTTTTTAATATTTCTACATTAGTTATAAATCTGGGATAATTACTGAATTTATTAATTCTTTAAGTTAAAAATTATCAATAAGATCTCCAATAAGATTATTTTATTTCACTAAATTAATGTATAATTAAAAGATACTCTTTAAATAAGCAGTTTTTACAATATAAGGTTCATTTTATAATACTGTTGTTAATTATTCAAACTATAAAATTCTTTAAGTTTCAGATATACCTATATAATAGTTTTCACATGCTTCTGATATCAGATTTAAGGCACTTGAATGAAGTTTGAGTTAATAATATCGAGGAGCACCATTTTGTATTTTTTTATCTTTTTAATTCTTTTCTTCAAAATATTACATGGGATCTATGAGATTTCGAAAGTTTTGAAGAATTAAATGTAAAATTTATTTTTAATTACTTAATTGATTTAATCTAGGTTTTTTAGATGTTTTTGTAAATCCTTTTAAAATTTTTAAATATTATCTTCCAGCTCTCATATGAATTAAATTTTCATTTAAATTCAATAACTTAGAAATATTTATAATTATATCTATTATTGGACAAGAATCACTGTAAAGTTCTAATTTAGAGATAGATAGAGATTTATAAAAAAAATTATCACCTTAAGGTTAAGGCATTAATATTATTTTTAAAAGAGAATCTAATTTAGGTAACAAAATTTATAAATTGGTTTGATTATCTCTAATAAAATTTTCCCAAAATTTTAAAAGATTTCTATAAAAAAACACAACGTGTTCATTTTCTATAATATGATCTGAATTCAAAATGAATTCAATAAAAATTAAATGGATTCCTGCATTTCTAATCATATTTTATAAAGATTTATTATAAGATTGATTGTAACTTTTAATGCTTTCAAATAATGAATTTACCTTCTAAACATATTGAGATATTTGTTAGAAAGATTTTTCAAATTCATTTAATTTCTTATTGCTTTATTAATTAATTTGTACATACTTGACTGCTCTTTTAACATATTATTTTATTTCCTTAGGTCCCTAATCAGTTTAGGTTTCGTAATATCCATTAACAATTCCAAAATATTTACGTTCTATTTCATCATCAAGTATTTCCACTTCTTTAATTTCTTTAAGATCATACTATTAATTATTAAAACTTAAAATTAAATATTACAAAATTTCGCTATTGAGATATGGAAATTTTGTTGCTCCAAATAAGCAATTAAATAAAATTGTATTATGATTTGTAAATAAATCATTCATTGAACTTTCTTTCGAAGTTAGGTATTATAAGACTTATAAATTGGCTTATAAGTAAAATAATACTTTATATATGCTTAAGGATTCTTAAAATATCTATTCTATTAAATCTGAATCATTACAAATAGATGTAGACCATAACAAAAAATCTGCAATCCACGATTAATTAAAGTTGAGATTAAATTTATTAAATTATGAAGATATTAATTTACTTTTTGTTTATTACATATTTTTCAAATTTAAAACAAAAGTTTTCTCTTCTTAAAATTCGAAAGTCTTAAAATTATTATTTTATTGAATAAGCAATATAAAAAAAATATTCGGTAATATTTATTATATTTCTCTATTTCTATTTAATGTATTGTATCCTAAATCAATTGAATTTTTTATTATACGAATCAAACTAAAAAAAAATTTCAATTACATTTTAGAAATTTATGTATAATTAAATGAATTATTTGAATCTTCAATTAATATTTATGGATATTCTTATTACAAGAATAAATTTATAAAAATATCATGATATTTTTGACTAGTTATAATATGAGATGAAAAAGACTTTAGATATAAAAGTTCTCTCATATTTTCTTAAGTTCTTATAGTTTCTTATTAATAATTTAAATATGGTTCTGTTTATTTAAGATTATTTGATGAAATATTTTCATAAAAATATCTACCAGATTCTAATTCTTTATCAAAATCTCCTAATGCTTATCTTAAATAACAAGTATTTTCAAAAACTGAAACTTTAGTCAAAGGATCTATATCAAAATATAATGATGAAAATAATTCTATAACAACTTATTTACATGATAAACTATGTTTGGATTTTAATATTTTATCTAAAAAATTTTCATTAATACCAACTTAATTTTTTATTAAATTCATATTTTTAAAATTTCTACCTCTACACATAATTGCATATAAATTCAAAATATTAAGCAAGTATTATTCATAATTATGATAATTTCTTTCTTAATCATGTTTAACAAAATATTCAAAAGATATTTGATTTTCTACTAAATGAGAATAATATAAATGATGATTGTTACAAAATTTTCTATTATTTTTAGCAAAATCTTTAACTTCAGTTTCTATTTCTAAAATAGGTAATTATTCTATTATTAGACATTTTAATAATTTGCATTTGTTATTTTTAAACAATGCCTTTCTACATAAATTTTAACCTTCTACACTTATATGAGATGATGATAATATAAATAAATTAATGATTGTTATAATGAAAATTTAATCCTCTAAATTCTTCTCTGTTATTATAGAAATTCTATTCATCCATTTTTTGGCTATTACAGGATTGTATTTAGCTTTTGAAACTATTTATTTAAACAATTTTTCTATTTTCTCTCTATTATAATTTAATTGACTAAATAGAAAGTCAATTATGGAATCCTCTTAAATAACATAATTACAACAGCCAACATTATCAAAAATTATTTAATATATAGTTTAATAGATTTCTTCTACTAAATAAAATTGTTTTTTCTTTTTAATCGAAGCAACAGGTTCAAATTTTTATCTTGCAATTCTTTAGGCTGTTTTATCGCTAAAACTTGATTCTAATTTAATTTCTTAATTAGAAATTAAATTAATTAATTATTGCAATTTTATAAGCAAATCTAAAATATCATATTAACATAAATTTAATTAGTTTTATTTTGTCTCTTAAATTGAATTATCTTAATTTAAAAATAAATTAATATTATTTAAAAGTTTTTAAAACTAATTGATTTCATCTTATAATTATTTTTAATTATAAAATGCAATATTATATGAATATTTTAATTCTTTATCTAAAGCCCAATCCTATAAAAATATATAAAATTCAACTATTCCAAAATAAAAAGATTAAATTTTATTAGCAGCCATAGCAATTTGATAAGGACCTCTAGCCACTTTAAAAAGTATTTAATCATATTGAGTTTTTAAACAATTTGTATTTATATTTATTTCATTATTATTTACACATTAAATAGTATAAGTTTAAAATTAAGAAAGTTATTAATTTTCTTAAATTCTGAAAATTCTGTAAAACTCTCCTAAATTTATCTATTATTCTGCTTTTTATAAGTTCTTTATTTAAAATTCAAATTTAGGTTGTAAATAATCATATGCAACATGTAATTCTTCATTTTCTAGATACAAGAATGTTCCTGTTAAAACATTTTTAATAATATAACTTTTTTAAACTCTATTTCGATCTTTTTTATTATTTTATTATTTATAAGATTAACTTGTAATACTTATCAATTGCCAAAGAGAATTTACCTATAAATTGCTTTCTAATGTAATATGAAACATTTAATCTAAACTTTATTATTTTTTAATTTCAATAAGATTGAAGTATTCTTATATTATCGGTTGATTTTTTTTAAATATTTATCTTTTTTATAATAATTTAGTTGATGAAAATGATCTTTTAATACTTAGATATCCTCCAAAAAGTCTATTTTTAAAAACTATAATATCTCCATTCATAATAAAATTGTCATTATCGTTTTCTGGATATTTACAAATTCTAAGTGTTGAAGCAATTTATGAAGCATGAACTTCAGAGAAAGGACTTGTTTATTAAATTCCTAATCCCCATTAATTTAAGTGAGCAACATTGCTCTTTAAAAATAGAATATCTCCATATAATACTGGTTCTCCTTAACTTTTAGTATTAGATTAAAGCATAAAGTTAGAATTAGATGTAATATTTTATTCTAATTTAAGTTCTCTACAACAATTTTCTTTTGCTAAGGCTTAACTGTTAAGTGTTAAGAAACATTTTGAATAAAGATGTAATAGCTAAATTTCTTAACCATAAATAATATTAGTTTCACTTTCATTGGATTCTTCATTTCCTTTTTAATCCTCAGTAGTAACTTCTTTCTTTGCTTATTCATAAATAGATCGATTGCTATCAAGAATTCTAAATAAGCACTTAAAAATATTCCATTCAGCTTGTTTATTACACAAATCTTCCGTTTTCTTGATTAGTGTCGGTTATTCAGTTTATTTATTCCCAAAATACTCATTTGAATATTTTTAAAGAAGAAGACATTCCAACTTATTTGTTCCAAATCCTTCACCACAAATTAGACCTTTGTTATCATCTGGTAAATATGATTTTAAATATATGATATCACCTTATCGAACATTATTTTAACTATTATTAGAATTTACAATATACTTTTCATCCTCCTAAATAATTTATTGTAAACTGCCCCAACATTCATCTTAATCCATCCTATTAATGATAATATAATTAATTAATTAATTAATCTAAAGGATAATGATAATTATAAAAATTAATATGTTTTTGTCATAGATTTCAGATAGCATTTGCAGTAAATAATTAATTAAAAAACTTGATATTGTTTATAAATTGTTTTACTATAAATTTTTTATATGATAAATTAAATGGAATCTAAATCAATGACAATAAGTGCAAAATTGTAGCAGTCAAATTATTCTGCTATATCAAATCTACCTAAACATGTTATTAGACAAATAAAATGTGAAGGTAAAATCTATATAAATATAATCGCAAGGCGAGTTATATATTTAAGCTTCTGGGAAATGTTAGAAAATTTGGAATGAGATGAGAAGGAATGATTTTGTAACAGATGCTTAATTAAACTTTATAACAGTATAAAGAATTTTTGAGATCTGCAGAACAGAGTTTGTTTAATTATTGAAACTGTAAAATGACAAAGATTTCTTTGAACTTTTTGATTAAGATAATGATGGGTATGTTATTAGATATTAAATTATTAGTATCTTAAATGAAGATGAGTAAATATTAGTATTTTCAGTCATAAAAGAAAAAATGCATTAAGTGGCAACAGCTTTACTAAAAATATAGGAATATATATTATTTAAATAGTTGATGAAAGAATTAAGAACATTAGAGTCTAATATAGCATAATATTAGAATTAACTTAGATAAAGAATATCAGTGAAAGAAAGAAAAGTTTATAAAGAAATTGGGTAAGAGAAATTAGATGATTTCTATGATTAATATTATTAGGAGTTTTAATAACTTACTAAATATAAAATAGATAGAAGGTATATATTTTATCATAATTGAGAGCACAATTAAAATAATCTTAAGAAAATGAACTTGGTTAATTGGAAGATCGTTTATCAAAGGATACAGAATTAATGAAAGTGAAACCAAAGAAGAAATTAAAGGATTTACAAACATAAGAAAAATTGGTTAGTTTAGAAGAGAGAGTTGAGGAAGCCTTAGATTTTAGAAAAGAACTTAAAGATTTAGAAAAAAATGAATAAGATAGAGTTTATAGAGTTTAAAAATATAGATTAGAAAAATAACATAGTGATTTATTGTTTAAATAAGAAAAGGAAAGAGAATAATTAGAAGGTAAACTTTAAGAAACAGAATATAAATTAATAATTTAAATGAAAAAAGCATATGATGTATTACTAAAATAAATTAATTTACATAACAATGAAATAACAAGAATTTAAAGTTTATCAAATAATTTAGCAATGAGAAAAGGTTTATATGAAGGAGAAGCAAAAAGATAGAAAGTGTAATCATAATTATAAAATGCAATTATTGCATAAACTAAAGCAATTGTAAATAAGGAAACAAAAGTAAATGATTTAGATGAATTTTAAGAATCTGAAACAATAAGAAAATTAGAAACTAGAAAAAGTATATAAATTGCAGGATCTCCTGGAAAAGTAAAATTAATTTATATATTAAAGCCTATTTTTTCTGAAGAAAGTGATAAAACACCTATGGGTTAGGCATTAAATGGGAAAAATAAGAATTTTTATCAAATTAGAAAAATAATAAAAGAATCAAAGAATATTACTTAATTTTATATAAAGAAAAAATATGGAGCAGTATATAGATATTTTTAAGATTAATTTAGGATTTACCAGTTAATTTTGTAAAGAGTGCACATAATATCTAAGGTGATTAACATGAAAAGATTGAAAGATTTTTATCAGTTAAAAGAAAATCTCATCATGAAATTTTACCACCAATAACATAATTATATGATGATGATATGTAAGAAAAAGTATGTTATATTATTTATAAGTTAAGCAAATAAAAGGAATTAGAAAAACTGATGAAGAAATTAAAAAAGAAAAAGCATTAAAAAGAGCATTTATAAATGAAAAATTATTTAGGAATGATTGATAAATAAAATAATTATTCAAATTATTTTTAATACACTTTCTTTTAACAATTTGTATATACTTATTCTTTAGATTTTATTAAGTGTTATATATTAAATAATTAAATATAATTTTTATCAATATGTCATCTAATATTAATAAAATATGAACAAGAATAAAGGTGTGAGTAAGGATGTTTAACACCATAATTTTTAGAAAAAAAACCTTAAAATCGTTCCTTAATAAAATTTGAATGCAAAGATTAAATAACCAGATTTGAATAGAAAATTATTAGCAATGCCTATTGATGCTAAATATAAAGCTGTGCTTGGACCAGATACTGATAGTTTAGTGGCTTATCTGAAACATAAAAAAAAGAAATAAAAAGCTATATAAAAATATAAAGATTTAGGATAAATATTAGAAGAGCCAAAGTAAGAGGTTGATAAATTATTACCTGAAGAAATTTATGAAACTGATGAAGGTAAATTAAATGATGTTAATGGAAAAATTATACATAAGATCAATAAAAATATTTAAAAATTATTAAGAAAGGTAGAAGCGTGAAAAAGTTGATAAGATTTCAAAAATTCAAAATATTTTAAATAATTCTTTAAATGATAAAGGAAGATTCTTAGATAAAAATTTTTACATTACAAAGCAGTAATGCAAAAATATAGAAATGAAAATTGTTAGCATTTAATTTTATTGAGAATAATAATAAAAATTAAGAATTAATATAACAAGGTTCAATTTAGATGATAAAGTAGCTGAAAAAGAGACATAGAATTTAACAAGTACTACGAATTAAATAAATTTGAAAAGAGTTTGTGTTAAAATGAAACATCATGATCTGATACCAAATATAGAATGGTGGGATAAGCCATTATATCCAGAATATCAAGCAAATTATATTCCTATAAATATATATAGTGAATAAGAACATAAATAACCTGCAACAGCTCATACTTAAGAAGAAATTCAAAGACAAATAACTTTTTTATAATAATTATAATATACAGATACAACTATATTATTAGAAAAAATAACAAAATTACTTGAACATCCTAAACCATTTATTATAAGTGAATTAATATAGAATAGAGAGAAAGCAGCTCTACCTTCAATTTTAACAAAAAAAGAAAGAAAGAAAAGATTGAGAAAAATATGTATGGATATTTAGAAAGAAAAATAAGATAAAATTAGATTAGGTTTATAAAAACCATCTCCACCTAGAATAACTTTATAAAATATGATGGCAATATTAAGAGCAGAAGCATAAATAGATCCAAGTAAGGCTGAATAAGAAGTAAGAAGATAAATTTAGGCTAGATTAGATAAACATATTAAATAAAATAAAGAAAGAGAATTAACTAAAGAATAAAGAGGAGATAAATTAAAATTAAAATGGTAAAAAGATGCTTCATAAGAAATTAGAGTTGCTGTATTTAGAATTGATGATGATTTATCATCTAATAATTTAGAATCTAAAAAATTAAAATTTAAAGTAGACAAGAATGCATAATAAGACAGCTTATGCGGAGTATGTTAAATTGCAAATTAAAATGGATAATCAGTTGTACCTTCTATTGTTGTAGCTGAAGGTGGACCTAAAGGAATTAAATTTTATAAACAATTACTCTTAAATAGAATTAAATGGAAATCTGATGTTTCAAAATAAGGTTGTATATTACTTTGGGAAGGAGTTGCTAAATAGCATGCATTTAATAAATGGAAAATTATTGAAATTAAAAGTGAAGCTGAAGTAAAAAGAATATTAGCAGAAAAGGGAGTTGAACAATTCTGGGATTTAGCAATGAATAATCAAAATTGATATAGTTTATTCAAAAAATAATTATCATTCAATTCTAATTATCTCCTCGTATAATAGATTGATCAACAAAATTTTATCTTATAAAAAAATATATTTTACTTTATTCTTATCATGGGTTGTTGTTCATTTAAATGTTATAAAGAGGAAACAGGTATTAAAGATTTAAACTTAAGTTTTAACTATAGAAGAAAGATAATTAGATTAGATAGAAATTGTGATTTCTAATCAGAATGGTCCAAATGCGACAACAAAAATATTATTTCAAGATAAAGAAACTACAGGAATAAAATCAAGTTCTTTATCTAAAGAATAAATTTATTAAAATGATTTAGAATAGTAGTAAGATTAAACAAAAAATAAGGAAGGAAATAATTCAGAAATGATTAAAAAAACAATAAATGGAACAATGAAATTAACACCAGAAATGTTAGTTAGAAAGTAATGTATTACTGAGAAATTTCTCTCTCATTATGAAATTATAAAAAAACTAGGATAAGGAGGATTTGGTGAAGTTTATTTGGTTAAACATTTATCAACTAAAAATTTGAGAGCTGCAAAAGTGATACTAAGAAAAACAATAAATTGTGAAGAAACATTATTAGAGGAGACAGAAATTTTAAAAACTTTAGATCATCCTAACATTGTTAAAGTATTGGAAATATTTGCTGACTTTAAATATTATTATATAATAACTGAATACTGTAAAGGAGGCGAATTATTAGATAGAATAAAAACAATAACTAATTATAGTGAGAGAATAGCAGCAAAATATATGAAATAAGTATTTTCAGCAATAATGTATTGTCATAATAAAAATATAGTACATAGAGATTTAAAAGTATTAATTAATAAATAAAATTTAGCCAGAAAATATTTTATTTGATTCAAAAGATCCAGAGGCTAATTTAAAGGTGATAGATTTTGGAGCAAGTGAAAAAATGGTTAATGAATCTAATTTGACAAAAAAGGTTGGAACTCCTTATTATGTTGCACCTGAAGTAATATCAGAACCAGAATATGATAAAAAAGTTGATGTATGGTCTTGTGGTGTTATACTATATATTTTGATGATAGGCAGACCTCCATTTAGAGGATAAAATGATATTGAAACTTTAAGATTAGCTAAATTAGGTAAATTTAATACAAATCATGAACGTTGGAATAGATTAAGTAATTAAGTCAAGGATTTAATCATAAAAATGATAGTAGTTGATCCAAAATAAAGAATCAATATAGAAGAAGCTTTTTAACATGATTGGATTTAAAATAATTAAAATAATGGAATTTAAGATTATAATATTATTAAAACACTTAGTTAATTTACTGCATAAAATAAATTAAGAGCAGCAATCATTTAATTTATTTCAGTTTAATTGGTTAATAAAGAAGAAAGCGTTAAATTATCTTAAACATTTAAATCTTTGGATATTAATGGTGATGGTACATTAAGTAAAGAAGAATTATTAAAAGGAATTTTAACTGCTGATATTGATCATTTTTAAGCAGAAACAATGGTAAATGAATTAATGTAAGAATTAGATGTAAATGAATCTGGTAAAGTTGATTTTACTGAATTTTTATCGGCTGCTTTTGTACTTTAATAAAAAATAACTATTAATAATATATAAAATGCTTTCAAAATGTTTGATATTGATGGAAATGGTGCAATTAGTAAAAATGAATTAGAAAATATTTTTGGAGGAATAGAAATTGATAATTAAGCATGGTAAGATATTTTAGATAAATTTGATTTTAATAAAGATGGAGTTATTGAAGAACAAGAATTTATTAAACTTTTGGAAAATATTTAATTATGAATACCATCTTATTTTTTTGTATTTATTTCTTATTTTATTATTTTTTATGTAACCTAATTTTGAGGAATGTCATGAAAAAAAACTTAAAAAATATCGATAAAAATTTGAAACTATGCTATACGGATATTAAACTGAAAGAAAATCATTTTTTAACAATTATATTGATAAAGAACCTAAGACATGTAATTAAAGTCCAAATTAGACAAAAATGGAAAAAAATCAATTTTCTCTCTCAATTTGTAATCCATAAACTTAAAGATCTTCTATACGATGTTCTGTTAATAAAAATTAACAAGTGAATAGAAGAATTGTTTAGAAATAAACTTAATAAGTTATTTCAACTAATAAAAGCTTAAATTATGAATTTTCTTTTCCAAAATGGATTTCAGAAAGAAGTGACTTCTAAAAATGGAAATCTCATAGGTAATGAATCAATTAAATGGTTATTAAGTGATTTCGATATTAATTTAAAGATAGTATCAATATGTAAAATGGAAACATTTAAAAGAGATTAAGCTTAAAAATAAATAGTAGCATTATATTTACAAAAATTGAGTTTATTTAAATTAATGCCTTTAGTACTTTTATAAGAATTGGCAGGTAGATTAACCTACAAATAAATAAGATCTGAATCAGATTTAACTTTATGTAAAATAGGTGAAATTGGAAATTGTATGTATATTATTTTTTAAGGAACTGTGAAAGTAATAATTAAAGTACAAGTTTAAATTAAATATGTTAGGATATTTGTGTTAAAGAGTTTCATGATAATGAACATTTAGGAAGATAAGCATTAGAAACTGATGCTCCTAGAAATGCTACTTTAATATGCACTTAAAATTCTCATATTTTGATATTGAGTAGATGGGATTATTAATAATGTTTGAATAATCTATTTAAAATAGAAAGACCAAAATGGATTAATTTTATTAATTCAATACATTTTTTTAGAAACTTTTCGTCTTAGAAAATATAAAGGTTATGTGAAGATTTAAAAGGAAAATTCATGTCAGCAAAAGATTGTCTATATAAAATCGGAGATCAAATTGATAACTTTTATATAGTAAAGAGCGGAGTTCTTGTAAAGAAAGTTGTTGTTAATTTAGAAAAATCTAACAGATGGCCAGTAAAAACAAAAGTATGGTTATAAAATACTGTTGCAACAAGATAGGAAATCACTATAAAATATGAAAGTTAATCATTATTAGGATATTATGAAATAGTCACATAAGAAACACTTGGATTAAAATATAGAACTGAAGAAATTAATGCTTTTGAAGATTGTTTTTTATTATTTATTCCGAGAATTAAATTTTAAGATATTTTTGATTTGGATGATCAAAAGCAATTTCAAGAATTGTTCTTAAAATTGTATCCTACTACATTTGATTAACTAATTAAAATGGTTAAAGAATAAGATCAAAAGAAAAAATTAGAATTTAAAACAATAAAAGATGCTTTGATTGAAGGATTATAAAATGCTGATCAAATAAAATTATAAAAAGTATATTAATCTTAGTTATCATAGAAAACAAAAAAATATAAAGAGATTTTACTAAATGCGAAAAACAGATTGAAATAATATTAATAAACAAAAGGAATCATCTAAACAGAGATAAGATAAAAAGTTATGAATTCAATTTACGAATGATATTTTCACTATTTTTCTATTTTACTTAATTTTTTTCTTTCAAGTATTCTATTCATTTTATTGTATTTTGAAAAAAGAAGAAAAATTTAATAAGTTTGATGCTTTTCTATTTATAATATCAAATAATTTTTGAGAGTAGTAATTAATCTAAAATTTATTTTAAAATATTAGTAGATATTTTATAAGAATTTTAAATTTGCTCTAAACTATTTTTTAATACATAATTTCTTACAAAATTGTTTTCAATTTATTTTTTGTGTTATTTAAATATAAGCAGCAAAGTCTATATTTTTCAGATTTTTAATTAACTCACAATAATTCGCTTATTAATGATTTTGTTAACTTAGCATTGGAATTAGTTGTGTTATTGTATTTTTAATTTGAATTTTTATAGAATAAGAAATGTTTAAATAAAGAATTTACTCCGATCTTATTGGTTTACTTTTGATAACTCAATTCATTTATAAATTTGTAAAATAAATTAATAAAAAATTTATTTATCAATAATTTTAAAATCATTTATTAGTTAAATTAAATTTTTTTTACTGAAAAGTATGTAAATCTTTAAATAATGAAAATCTTAGATTGTATTGATATTTATTGTATTCGTATAAAATTTAAGTATATAAAAAGAAATTGTTCTATAATGATAAAATTGAATAAATGTATTTATATAATAATTTGAAATAGTAAATTAATTTTTGTCAGAATTATATAATAATTTATTTATATTTATAGATACGATGGACTTGATGATCATTTCCTTTTTGTTAATCTTTCTATGTTTATGTAGTAAGATTATATAAGAAAATTGTAGATTGGGAAATATATAAACATGAATTATTTGATATTGCTTCTAGTATGGAATGGTTTGGATTGAATTCAGATTAAAGTCTTAGTTCATTAACATAAATTGATCCCACTCTTTGTACACCAACATCCCCTACTTATCTAGCTGGAGGAAGAGATAAAATTTGGAGAAAAATTCAAATGCCAACCAATAGAAAATTCTCTGCTATTAGAATCGAATTAGATTTTTATTATATTGAATAGATGAATGAAGTTTAAACTATGGTTTATTTGAATTAAGTAATTATTAGTGAAACTCTTTAATCTTAATCTTTTTTAAGTACTCCAACATCTGTAATTTATTGCAATAGACCTGCAAGTAATAACACTGCTGATAGCTCTGCGTTTAGATTAAATTATTTTAATGAATTTAGAGAGAGTTAGATTGAGATATTTATTGAATAAATAGGACTTTAGCCTATTAAAATATATGCCTTATCAGGATTTTATTTATATGTATAATTTTGTGATCTCTATTGTGAAATATGTAATGAATAAGGATAATGTGAGAGATGTTAAGAAGGTCTAAAATTAATTGAAGGATAATGTAATTGCTCATATAATGGTGAAAGTTATAATTCACTATTTTAATTAGATACACCAAATATATAATGTTTAAATTCTTGTCCTATAGGATATGTTCCTGATACATAAGGAATATGTCAATCTGGAATATCAAATTTATTATTTTAAGATCTATTTGGAGATTTCAATACTTATTTATTTTATATAATAAAAGATAAATACTATTCAAATTTAACTGATAATTCTAATAGAATTGCATAAATTGGGAATTAAAAAATGGCAGGCCCCTTTTTTTATAATGAATAGATAGCATATTCATAGTTATCAATAATTGGTAATTCTGAAATAATGATCAAATTAAGAATATATTTCTTAAGATATCAATAATCTAAGTAAGTGGGAGGACAAATATGTTTAAAATTTAATAATTACACAGTTTTATAGATTTATGATTATAGTTATCCTGTATTACATCATTCATAAGGAACAGCACATGTAAATAATATTTAGATTTGCAATTTTTAATAATCTGATAATTGCTATTAGAGTGATATCTATTTTTAGATGTATTTAGATTATGAAATTAATGAAATAACATTTGAAGGATAGTTTACAATCATTTAACCACTTAGAGGATGGTGTTTATCTAATTTTGAGATTCTAGAATAATAAATCACAACGAGTGTATACTAATGTATTGATAACTGTTTAACCTGTCCATTTAGATAACCAAAATCATGTATTTCATGTAAATCTGGATATTTTAAATTTGCAAATAAATGTTTAATTAAATGCCCATTATAAACTATGTTGATAGGAAATGAATGTGTAGAAAATGGTATGAGTGGGTAATTTGATTACATATTAAATATTTTATATGATGATAATAATTATTAGGATGAAATTTAGAATTTAAGTTAGAATTATGAAGGTTAATTATCTAAAACTAGTAAGTTTATGTATAATTCAAATATATATTCAGTATTAGGAGGATTCTCAATTTGGAGTTATGAATAAATATCTCATCTAATTAAAAATGATAGACCATTCTACAAAGCTTTTATAAAATTAAATGTAGTTTGCATTGATTTAATATTTAATGAGATATTTCAAATATTTGTTAATGTTACCGGAGTGACTTATAAAATTACAACTGCTACTCCAAATTTAAATGAATTTAAATTAATTTCAGTTGGAAATATAATGGGTTCAGCATAATGGAATGAATATATAGCTGAAGTATTTATTGAATTTGCTTCATTCTAATCAATTGATAATTTGTTATTAACATTTTCAATATCATAATTTAGAAATTAATCTTAATACTATGGAATATTCAATTATAGAGTTATGGTTTTACCATGTCCCTAATTTTGTAATTAATGTGACTCTTCTGGAAATTGTCAAAATTGGATAAAACATATTTCACTAGAATCTGGTAATTGTGCAAAGGGATACTTTTATGATTACTAATTTAATTCTTGTTCTTAATGCTTAGATGGATGTTATGAATGTTCAAATTCTTATTAATGTATTTAATGTTTTCCAAAATATTCTAATATACATGGTTAATGTTATTGTTCAACAACTTAGGAATTAAGTAATACTTGTACTTATAAATATCCTTGTAATAAGGGATGTTTACTTTGTGGATATAATATTGAAGATAATCTAAATAAAATTTAAAGATGTTTAATTTGTGATGAATCTAATCATTATTGGATGAATATTAATAAATGTAGTTGTTTAGAAGGATATTATATGGAAGATTAAATTTGTCAACCCTGTTCTGAATTATGCCAAGCATGTCATTAATACCCTAGACTTTGTACTAAATGTGATCCTTCTTTAAATAGAATTTTAAAGTATTAATAATGTGAATGTTTATTTGGTTATTATTCATAAGAATCTTTTAAAGAGTGTTTTAAGTGTAATATAACTTGTAAAACTTGTTAATTATAATCTACTGTTTGTACTAGTTGTTATATTGATTAATTTAGAAATCTACTTGAAAATTAATGTTTATGTAAAGATGGATATTTTGATTCAGGAAATGAAATTTGTACTGAATGTGATAAAATATGTAAAACTTGCTTAGATATAATTACATGTTCATCCTGTTATTAAGAATAAAATAGAAAATTAAATTTAAATAATACTAAATGTATATGCGAAATTGGATATTATGAAATAGAAAATAAATTAGAATGTGTACCTTGTCATTTTTCATGTTAATTTTGTTAAAATTCTGATTAAAACAATATGTGTATCAGATGTCCAATTACTAGAGAACCCTCAACAAAAACTACTATTTTCTCATGTATTTGTAAAAGAGGATATTATGAATCAAACATGATGGAATGTTTAGATTGCAGAAATTATTAAAATCCTCCAGATACTCATTACTGTTATAGTAAATGTGGTGACAATATTATATAATGGAATGAGGATTGTGATGATGGAAATCATAATCAAAAAGATGAATGTAGCTTTTGTATATTTTCTCATTCATATTGTCAGAATCCGCTATGTAAATTATGTTAAATGGGATAATGTTAAAATTGTATAGATGGTTATTTTCTTAATTAAAATAATCAATGTGAATAATGTGATTAATCATGTTAAACTTGCAAAAATAAATCAAATGATTGTTTGATTTGTAATTTATTAAATGAAAATGATTTAACTTGTATTATTTGTGATAGTAGATAAGGATTTTAATTAAAAGATGGAAAATGTATAAATATTTGTGGTGATGGTCAAAGAGTTATTAATGAAGAATGTGATGATGGAAATTAATTCTCTAATGATGGGTGTTATAATTGTTTAATTGAAAATGATTGGATATGTGAAGATATTTGTTAATAAATCAACTATCCATATCTGATATTTGAAGAAAACCCTTACAACAATTTATTTTAAGAATAGAGAAATCTCATTTTCAAGTCAAGTATTCCATTAAAAAGCTAAAGTTCTTTTTTAGATATTTGTTAATTTAGTACTAAAAATGATTAATAAAAAATTGAAATTTTACAATTACAAGATCTTACTGATTATTTTGATGAATATGTCATCCTTAAAATCCATGTTTAGATCTTATTAAAGGATAAAAATGAAAATCCTATCCTCATATGTTCTATTAAAAATCCTTAAAACTATTAATCAAAATAAGGAATAACTTTTAAATAATAGATCTTTTATATTTAATTATTAAAATATCTTAAACCGACTTAACAAGTGATAAATGCAACAGAAAGTCTAATATATCTTAATAAATATGTTTTATATATCCTTTTGGGTTTAGCTTTACTCTCTATTATTGTAGGAGGATTGCATATCTTTTGGAACTTATTGGATGTTTTATAATTGATTTCCTATTTTTAATTCTTTAATATTCTATATCCATATAATGTAGATACTTATTTTTAACTATTTGATTTTGCTCAATTTGATTTCCTTAAAGTTTTTCTTAGTATTGAAGATTTAGTTAATAGCTATGTTATATCACCTGAACCTCATTATAAATTTGTTCTTAAAGGTTATTCATCTACTTTTTACATTAATGCATTTACTGTTTTTATAACATTTATGACTACATTATCTATTTATATCTTTTGTATTATTGGATTTAAAATCGTAACTAAATTAATTACATATTATACTTCAGATAATCTATATATAGATTATGAACCTAACTTTATTAAATATCTCATTCTTCGAATAATTAGATATGTCTAAAAAATCTTACTTAAAATTATTTATTTTCTTGGATCTGGATTTTTAAGAACTTTTATGTCAGTTGCATATGATTACAATCTTGCCATATTTCTACAGTTATAAACATACAATATTTAAAATTCCTTTTTAACTTCAAGTCTCATAATGAGTGTTTTATTTTTTTCAATTCAAGTGGTTTTTATTTTTTAAGGATTCTCCATAATGAATAACCATCCTTATCATTTTAAATAATAATAGGTTATATAAAAATATGGAGCCATATTTGAAAGTATTAAAATAAGAGAATCAAAACCTTACTCCAAATTTTATAATCTCATTCTTTTATGTAAAAAAGTGTTTTTCATTTTTATTTTGGTATTTTGTTATTGCGAAACCTTATTCACTATATTAACTTGCTCATTATTAAATGTTGCATTTATCATCTATTTACAATTCAATAAACCTTTAGAAGATATTTATGAACATTATAAAATTATTGGTTCAGAAATTATTATTTTTTTAGTTGAAATAGTAATAGTCATATTATTTTGTTAACAAAAAAAAGAATCAAATGAAGACAATGAAATATTAATTGGTTGGTTCATAATCACATTATGTACATTTTTAATATTATTTTAATTCTTTCTTGATGTTAAACAGCATTTTGATTATCTGATTAAAATTTATTAAGTTCTTCGTAATATCATCTCAAGAATTAAGAATTATTTTACAAAACCACTTTAAGCTCCTTAAGAATCAAAAGCTTTTTTAGAATAAACTACAAAGTCTTAATAAATTATTTTAGAATAAACTATACAGTCTTAAAAATCTTAACAGTTTAAGTCAAGGAAGGTTGTGACATTCAGGTTAGATAACTGAAAATAAAGTATAAAATCTTTTATTATTTCATTTTACTTATAAAAACAATTATTAATTAAACATAATTTATTCTACATTTTTGTCTAAAACCTTTTTTTGGTAAATCTAATTTTCAATTATGAAAGAAGGTTTTATTGAATTCTTAGTTATTTAAATTTATTTTGTTTTGCAAAGATTCCATTGATTATAAATTATATTACTATTTAAGTTTAAAATTGATTAATTTTCATATCGCAATCTATTTTGTTAGATGTAATTTACAATATTCATTTTAGGAATGTTAAAGAAAGAATTTAATAATTGGAGAGATAAAAAAAAGAACGCGAAGAAGCAGAACAATTAAATAAAATGTCAAAATCTACTTAGATTAATTATGGTCAATAAGGTTCTAATTTAATGTAAAAGTATTTAGTGTATATAAATTAAATATAGTTAATAAGAATAACAAGAGTAAAATTAAACAACAAGAGAAAATGATGTAATCTAAACCTTAAATTAAATGTTACATGAAAATCCAGAGGTTAGATAGAAAATAGAGGGATAGTTATAAAAATAAATTGAAAGGTAAGCTTAATAAGAGGAAGAGTCAGATGAAGAAATTGAGAAGAATGATTAATTAAGTGTCAAAGAAATAATTTAGAAAGTTAATCATAAAGAATTATAAAGTGAAGATAGGATTTATGTAGGTATGATAACAAATGAATTAACTACTGAAATTAAAAGATCATAAAGATAATCGATGGATTATTAATAAATAAGTTTATAAGATAGATCATAATCAATTTTGAAATCAAAACTAATTATTGATTATAAAAGTTAATTAATATTTGTAAGAGATGATGATTATTACTTAGAATAGATTGACAAGATTCTATTCATTTAAAGATTTATTAAATAAAAACTTGAAAAAGATAGAAAGGAAAGGATTGAAAATGAACTATAACTTAAATAAAAAATGAATAGATATAGAATCAATGTACTAAATGAATTAGTTTAATCAGAAGATAAATATGTTTCTGATTTAAAGATTTTAAATACAGTTAAAAATTTATTAGTTGAAAAGTTTCCATAAAAAGAAGATGAGATTAAGATGATGTTTAACATTCATGAAATTCTAAAATTTAATACTGAATTTTTAAGTGAGTTTTAAAAGTAAAATGATCTTAAGGATCCAAATGCTATTGTGATGTAAAATATAGTTCCACTTCTTAATGGATTTATATTTTATTATGAATATTGTAAGGCTTATGATTAAGCTAGAAAATTGTGTAGTTAATTTGAAATTTAACCTGGCTTTATATAATTTATGAAAGATATTACCAAATTAAATTTATTAAAAGGCTTATCATTAAATGATTATACTATTAAACCTGTTTAAAGATTACCTAAATATGTACTTTTATTCAAGGATTTGTTAAAACATACTCTTCCTTCTCATCCTGATTATTAGAATGTGAAATATTGTTTAGAAACTATTGAAAAGATTAATGATAAAAATAATGATGAAATGAATGTCTATTTAAAACAAGCTAAATTAATTGAATTACATTAGTAATTTGAAAATATATAAAATTTACAAATTTTAAAACCTAATATGTGTTTTATATTTGAAGATATTTGTTCAATATTTACAAAGAAAATTGAATAAAGAATAATAATTTATGCATTTAATAATTTACTTTTATTTGCAAAGTAAGGCAAATAAAATGTTCTGAAATACAAACTACATATTCCAATTACATATCAATCTTATCTAAAAGATTTAAAAGATTTAGTAATTTTAAAAAATTCTTTTGAAGTTGTTTCTCGTAATGAAACAATTGTTATTGTTAATGAGGATAGTGATTCTAAATAATAGTTTATGATGAAAATTTAAAATATCATTAATTAATAAGTTGAATTGTTTTAATCAAAAAATGATAAAAAATAAGAGAATAATATTTGTATTAAAGTAGAAATTTAAGGGACTGAAATAGATTAAAAATTAAACAAGAAAGTAACATTTTATTAAACAATTTTTACAGTTGAAAGCATTATCGTCAAAACTCAAATAAGATTTAGTTAAATGAAAAATCTCTTATAAATTATCAATAAATATGATAATAAACTGAAAATTCCAAATTTAACAAAAACTTTATCATCAAAAAAAGAAAAAATAATTGATGAAAGAAAGTTAAAAATAGAATAATTATTGTAAATGGTTCTAAATTCTCCTAAGATTTTTGAGAACATTGAATATTAATAGTAGGTTTTGGAAATATTATATTTAGATCCTAGATTGTACAATTTTCCTGAGCTTAAAAGATAAAATCCAGAAATGTTTTAGAATATGTTAGAATTAAGATAAAGTTAAAATTAAAAGAATTCTTCATTAGAGCTTCTTTAATAATTGCAATAATAAACATATTCCTCAAATATAAATAAAGATGATTAATTAATAAAAATTGGAAATGAAGCTTAATTATAGCCTTATTATATTGAAATAACATTATTGACTGAATAAACACTCTAAGTTGGATTTCAAAAGAATACACGAACGTGGTTTATTAAAAAAGCTATTGCAAATTATATAAATTTAAATTATTTTGTTGATTTTAAAATATTTATTGTAGATACTGGAGGAATTATAAGAGTAGTAGATGATGAAGAAAAGATATCAACACTTTTAGATAAAAGTAAATAAGGTTTTTTTTAAGCATTAAAAAAGATTTTTCATAATGGAACAAAGTTTCAATTTATATTTCGAAAATATTTATATTTACCTTGGAAGTAGGAAGAAATTTAATATCAATAAGATCAAATAAGATCTAAATATTTAATGTTTGAAATTGTATTTTAAGCAAGAAATGGAGAAAATCCTTTTAATTTCTTAGATTTTTGTTTAATAATTGCATACTATATAATTGCAACCTAGTAGAAAATTGATAAAAATTTATTAAAAAAAGCAATACCAAGTTCTATAATTAAATAACATTCTGAGAAACTTTGGTTAGAATAGATTTAAAGGTAAGTGGCATAAATAGAAAAAAAAATAGCTGAATTTTCAAATTAATCAAAGTAAATGTAGCAAAATAAAAAAAATTTGAGCCTTTAGAATTTATCAAATTTATTCATAAAAAGTTGTTTTGAGGATAACTTTTTTTTTGGAATGTAATTATTTTTTGTAGAATGCCCCAAAGAAGTAATATAGATGGTTTAGTAGGGAAATTTTGGATTTAAATTATAGGCTCATATATTTATAGGTATAAAAATTAATAATAGAAGGATTAAATTACAATGGTTTACATTTCATAGACTCAAAAAGCCGTAATCAATTAGGTAGAATGGAATATGATTAGATAACAGAAATAAAATCATTTCCTATTGAATTAACTTGTAAAATAAAAAATTAAAATTTTAAATTTAAGACTTAAACCCCATTTGAAGTAATATAATCTTTCAATATATTAGATTAAACACTTAATTTTAGAATATTAAGAAATAATAAAAATATTAAATTCTTGATAATTAATTATAATTATTTTATAACATTCAATCTTTTTAACGTAATAAATTATAATATAAAATATTTGAGAATATCAGATTTAATTGATTAATATGTAATCATAAATCATAAAAAATCAGTTATAACTCTTTATAGTATTGGAAACTGAAATTAGTTTTCTTATGTAATATTTTCCTTGAGGAAGATATTAAGATAACACAAAAGAAAAATATTAAAAATACGAAAAGTAAGAATATAAAAACATTAAATAAATAATTATATGTAAGAAAATGAGTTTGTTATCTAAATTTGTGTTCCCTCTTTTAAAAAGAATGATGATGTTGTCTAATATCAATTAATGTAAGAATTTTATAAGATTTTTAAACATAGTTTCACAGAACTTAATTAAAGATGGACTTTTTAAGTAGATTATCGATATTCCCATTTAAAATTATTGCATGAATCCTTACAGACTCTTAAAACGAGTTTGCCGAAGTTTCCTTCGTCTAATTGGTGGAGATCCACCAATAACAATGAAGAATTATTAGAAGAGAGAAGAATACAGTTAGATTATTTCTTCAAAAATCTCTTCTAATGTTAAGGAGTATGTAAAAGTTTGATTATGAAAAATTTCATTCTCAAATCTCAATGTTTATATCTAAAAAAGATTGATAAAGTATTTAGAATATATGTAATATAAGTAATAACGTGATATCTTGAAAAAAGAAAGAAAAGCATAAGCAGCATCTTCTTTAAATAAGTAAAAATCTAAATCTCAAGTATGAATATTTAAAAAAGTAAATAGTTGATTACTCCTATATGTGGACCTGCTGAAGATCCAATAGAAGATCCTCGTGAGAGATCTTATTCTTGGGAATATAAATTAAATTAAAAGAAATCTCAATAAATGTTTGAAAGAAGTTCTAATTAAATAAGCAATGTAAATAATCTAATTCCAATTTATTAGTTAAATATTGGTGGAGTTCCCATATTCAAAGGTATTCTATTGAAATTTAAATGATAAAAATAGAATTTATATAATATTAGAAAAATAATTATTCTTTATTTAAGATTATTTGAAATAAAACAAGAATAAAATCAATATAATCATTTTATAATTTATTTTGAGAATGTCTAACCTAAACCTCTGGCACTATTAAAACTACAAACACTTTTTTAATTCTTAGAAGCATGAATATATCTAGCTGTTGAGGCTGTCTAATAAGAGTTATTCGAATTAGAAAGATTAAATGCATTACTATACCATAAATTGATATCATAAGCATTATTATCTTTAATTAATCTTATTAATTCTAGCACTTAAAAACTTGATGGTCTATCAAGTGGATTAGCTCTAGTCATAATTTTAACTAATTCGAACAATTAAGTATTTTCATTATTTTGATATGTTTTATTTTTTTGAAAACTAAAATTAGAGCAATTAGATTATGAAAATTTTGTTCCTGTTAAAAGCATATATAAAACACATCCAGCTCCATAAACGTCAACTTTAAAATCATAGTTCAATTTAGTTAAATGAACATTTAAAACCTCTGGGGCAACATACCCTTCTGTACCACAATTAGGATTTTCAATTAATTATTTACCATCATAACAAGCAAGTCCAAAATCAATCAATTTTAATTTATTATTATGATACATTATGTTTGCTGGTTTGATATCTCTATGAAGTATTGAATTACGATGAAGAAAAGTTAAAGCTTCAAATAATTACTTAATTATTATTTAATTTATACTTGCATAATTTCTAAAATTTATTCATTTTTAATTTGGCTTAATTTATTTAATATTTGCTGTTTTAAATTATCACCTTCAATAAATTCAGTCACAATTTAGTAATATAATTCAGATTTAAACACTTCATATATTTCAACCAATTTAGGATGTTTAATTGATCTCAGAATCTATATTTCATTTTCTATAAGTTTTTATTGATCTTTTTTTCCATTAAGTAATATATGTTTAATAGCCACTTTCTTATTATTAAAATAACATTCATTTGTTGTAACCTATGAAATAGTTATTAAATATAAAAACCTAACCAAACGATCCTGCTTCTAACGTTGAAAGATATTTATAATTTTAACTTAGATTGAGGAAAGTCATTTTATTACCTAATCTCTATCTAAGTTATATGAGATCATTTTGATCTGAGTAAAACTCTTTAATTTTCCCCATATAAGGAAATTTAAAACCTACTAATCTTTATTGTTTTATTAACCATTAAAAAGTAGTGCATTCTTCAATATTCATAATATATTTTGGATCATCAATATTTAAGTGCTATAATAAATGAATATGAGTTACATATGTCATGGTGATTTAATTATTATGTAATTTTAACTAGTAAACTCTATCCTTGAAAAAATGTTTACGAACAACTCTACATTGAAATGGTACTTCAAATTAGCTTTACAAAAAAGGTTGAGATTCTTGTTTTTTTAACATTTAGATATTAAAAATTAATTATTTTAAATTATTGAATAAACTCAAATAACTAATTTTTATCCTCTTTAAAAATAAATTAAAATGCTAGAAATATTATCTTTTCCATATTCAGATTCAACATTCTAAGCAACAATAGAATCACAAATTGCTTCTAAGATATCATTCAATGGTTTTCCTTATTTAATTCTTTCTAAAATAAGTTCAGTGATAGCACTATTTGTCCAAGTTTCCCAAAAACCTAAAATTAATCATCTGAATAAATATAACCATGACTTCCCATTAAGATTAATTCAGTATCCTCTTTCTCAACATATTTTATGCTTGGTACAGAAATAAGTAATTATTTGTTTTGTTCTAAATTAGAATTGGCTTTGTATTCAAAATTTCCTAATCCTCTACTATATGGAAGATGAGCATTTAATCTATTTTCCCAAACTTCTCCTCCAGCTGCAAGTATTCTTTACTTTTCAAGATCGTTCATTGGATAATGTTCAACACTCATTACTTTATGTTTACCTTCATATCTAATAACGCATCTCGATAACTATTCTATTAAAATAGACATATTACTCCTGCATTTGCTACATAAATATTTTCATTAGTTATTAATGTTAATAATAAAGTTAATCCCTGATAACAAGTACTTTCTTTAAATTAGTTTTTTAATTAATTATCTAATCTTTCATATAAACCAATAATTGCTTTGTCATAATTTTTTTATTTATATTCTTAATCATTGACTAATGCTTCTACTATATGATCTTGAATATATTTCCCATATTCTATTCCACCATATTGTTCTACTATACAGAATAAACAATTGTCTTGATCAAATTTCTCTTTAATTATAATAAATTCATCCTATTGAATTTACCAACCTTATAATGATGTTGATGTATAAGCAAAATCAAATAATTTTCCTGATTGAGTTAATTTTGTTGTCTCTGGTTTTGTTAAATACAATCCCATTGATAATAAATTAATTTATATATAAATTAGTAAAATTTTATAAATCGTAATAATAATTTTATTTAAATTAAAATATTATTTATTTCCATTTCTAAATCAAAAATAACTAATAGCTTCCAGTTGCATAATTTGTTCTGAATCAAAACCATTTTATGATTTCCCCCCTATATAATTTCAATAAATCACACATAACATCAAACAGTTATAATGGTAATATATCAACTCACTTTTATTTCTCTACATATTTTTTAAGTTTCCTTGAAAATTATATTATTATAATGTAGTAATAAAGCCATCTATTGAGTGGCTATTCTATTATAATATTTTATATCTCTCTATTAACTTCAAGAATCAAATTATTTTAAGTTCTAAATTCACAATATCGATATGTTTCGAACCATACTTATTTTAAATAATATATTCAAAATACTTAGGATATAGATTATTTCATTAAAAATATAAACTAATCTAAATTATTACCAAAAAAAATATGATATACTAAAATTTTCAATTTTTTTAATCTTCTAGTATCAAAGTATTTTAAATCTTAAAAAATTCATCAAAAGTCACAAAATCTACTTTTCTTTAAAATAATTAAAATAAAATTATTACTAATTATTTATTATAATATAATATGACATCATCATTTTTATGAGCAACTTTTGATTAATTATTATAGGATCTTTGTTAAATATACTTATAGGCAACCCTAAAAATTATATTGACGATTATGAATTCATTTATGAATTATAAATATTATGATTATTTCTAGAATATATGTATTAATTTAATTGAAAGATGAGTATATTTTGAGTCTAAATTTAGAAATGAGAAATAATACATATATTCTCTCTTTGTATCAGTTTAGTTTAAAAACATATTAGCAATTGAATAAAACTAAAATCTAAAAGTTACAACTTCATGAAGATATGTAGAAGTTGTTTAAGGTTTAATATTATCATTCATGTTTTCAAAATCTTGATGAAATTATCGAATTTTTAAATGAATTATAAGTAAATAGGAAATTATTCATAATTTATTTGGTAAAATAAAGGCTATAAGTTGTATTGTCAAATATGTTATGAATAAAATATTGATAATATATAGAAAGTATAAAATTAAGAAATGACTAACATATATAAAAAAAGTTGCTACTCTAGCTAATAGAAAGCAGAAGATCTGTGAAAAATAGGCGAGTTGAAATAGTAAGGATTATGTAATGTGTTTTGGAAACTATTTCATATTATGAAATTATCAATTAATATCTTTTTGCACATTTTCTTTGAATGTGAATCTTGAAATACATTAATTATTTGAATAATATTAACTTATTTTAGTTTAAAACAAGATATTAGAAATTTTGAAGAGCATAATATAATTAAGATAAGATTAATTATTAATGAATGATACTATCGTAAGAGAGATAACAACTACAGAAATCAGTGAAAAAGAGAAGAAGATTATCCAATATCTAGAGGAAGAGTTATTATTAGAGTAATTCACAGATCCCTAATAAAAACAAATCAACTTTGAGTTGTCGAAGAAAAAAACTATCTTCTCATTTAGATCTATGGATTCTGACACTGAGATTTCTGAAGCCACTTCTTGTTCAACAATAAAGAGTTGTACACTACAAATGTGTAAGTCACCATTGTTTAAAAGAAGGCTTAGTACATTGGTTTTAGACTAGTTATCTTGATAATGTATTATTTAACGTAATGTGAATCTCTATTATTGGAAGAAAAAATAACTATTCCTATTTATTTTTCTAATCATTTATTTGGTTTTTTGTTAGTAAAATAATTGAAATATAAAAATTTGCAAATATAACTAATGAGACCTGCTTCTACAATTTCAGTATTACCAAAAGTGGATCAAAAGACGACATCAAGAAAAAAATCAACTCATTAATCACTTTTTTAGCCTATTTCAAAACCTTCTGCTTCATCAATTGAAACTCCTGACTAACAATTAAAGAAAACTTAAGTTTTGGAGTCATTAGGATTCTATGAAAAATGTAGAATTTATTTTAAGAATAGAACTGATGGCTTTAAAAGGAACTAGTTAGTAATAGAGTGAAGTAGAGGCTATGTTTAAACAACTAAACAAATTTGCAATGAAATTAATAGAAAAACATGGACTTCATGAGACATGTATAATGATTCTTTAGTGGATTATATAACATTAATCATTTTAAGAAATTCCAACTCAGATGTACGTATGCAATATCTTATTTTAATAGTTGTTTAGCCTATAATAATTTAGGTTGTGTTTATCGTAGGATTGGATAAACACAATTAGCATTTAATGCTTTAGAGAATGCTCTACAATTAGTCTAGATGTATGATTAGTTAAAGTTAGAGACAATAACATATTTGAACATTACAACTGTTTTAAGTTAAATGAATATGTATAAATAATTTCTATGTATGAAAGGCATGATAAAGCTTTAAAGGCTTCATAAAAAGCAATTTAAGCTGGTAAGAAGGAATTTGATCCTAATTCTATTGAAAATGTAAGATATTTGGCTTTGGCTAATTTTAATTATGCATTTGAATTAGAGTCATTAGATCATTTGGAGGAAGCTGTAAAACAATATAAAAGATCATTATAATTTGTACTTGAACATTTAGGTAATCATGATCCTTTGTTTTAAAAATTTCATAGTCAACATCATTAAGCTAAGTAAAAGTTGATTATAACAATGAATTAATAATAACCAGGTCTTTTTAAAACAGTTTTATAACTAAAGAAATAATATGAAGTTCCAATAGATGAAAGTTTTTAATAAACTACTCCATAATGTTAAACTAGAAAATTTAACCTTTAAAAAAAAAATAATTATATGGAAGATTCTAGTTTTAGGAGAGATAGTAGTGCAACAATTAAAAAAGGAATGACAGATGATGAATTTGTTTAACATCAAAAACCTATGGAAATAAAGGAAGAGGTGAAATAAATGGAGATGAATTTAAAAGAGGAAGATATTCAATAGAAAAAATAAGTTTAGATAGTTAATAAGAAATTGAGTTAAATAGAATAGATATAATTGGAATAATGGTCAAATTCAGAGCCATCTGATACAGAGATTAAAAAGTAAAGACTTAATGAAAAAACTTCAGAAATAAAGTTAACTTAAACAAAAACATTTACTAAGGAATAAAGATTAAATTTTTTGAATAAATAAAATACGTCTAAATAAAAAGTAGATGATAATTTATTAGAGAAAGAATAATAGATTATAAGAGAAATTGAGGAATAGATATACAATGCCAATAGTATAGCAAAAATTTAAGCTTAAATAAGAATGAAAAAAGAGAGGAAGAAATATTATTGTCTTAAGAAAGCTAAGAAGGATTAAGGAGAATTATTACCTTCAGATGAATTAAAATTAAAGAAATTTTAGAGATTTATAAAAAGGAAATTATAAGAGTTGAAGATGAGAAACATTACAAGAAAAATAGTTTAAAAAAATAGATTAAAGAAATATCCAAATACTGAAAATTAGGCTTATAAGCGAATTATATCTTTATTAGAAGCATATAAAGCTTATAAACGAATGCTCTTACACAAATATATACTTAAAACAAGATAATTTTAAACTTTGAGATAAAGTTTTTGTCATCCTAATTAAATGATTCATGAGAAAATAGAGCCATTAAAGGATTCTTATATATTTACTTTTGGGATTACAAATGATGATTCTTTTGTGCGTTTTTCTTTAGTGCATGGAGTTAAGAATAAGAGAAAAGAATAATCATACTATTTTGAGATGGATACTTAAAGTTTTTTAAAATCTCTTGGTTTATTACATTAATATATAGATGAATTAGAATGTTTTATAATAGAGGAGAACTAATTATTAAGGAATCTAAAGAATCTATAAACAGTATCATAATAATTTATAATAATGAATGAAGTTGATGGAAAATATGTAGTAAGATGTTTAGCAGAATTTTAAACTTAATTTCGATTGGCCCTTTAAAGAACAGCTGTGATAATATAAGAATTAATTTTGATTGAAAATAATAAGTTGTATATATAGGGGATAAATAATTTTGAGTATAATGATTTAGTTCCATTTGAAGAAGAGATTAGAGTAGTTAAGCCACCTCTTTATACAAAATAATTGCTTTAAAATGAATTAATAGCAATAAAATTTATATAATCATTTATGAAAGGATATTTACAAAGATTAAGGATAAAAAAATGGGTAAATTAAAAATAAAAGTAAATTTATTCAACAAAATTAATAAAAACAGTAACTGGTCATTACATAAAGATTGTTAAAGCATAACATATGATGAATAAGAAGCATTATTTATATATAATAAATTATGAAACACAAAAGAAATCAAATGATTTGGAAATCAAATCGATAGTATTTTAAAATTTAGGTGAGATAAATAAAGATAATATATATGAAATATTGAAAATAGATTTGGATGGACCAAGTATAGAATATAGTGATGAAGCTAATTATTGGGTGTAAAAATAGGAAGATTATTAGAAAAGAGGAGGAAAGGAAGAGTATACAACAAAGAATAAAGATGAATCTATAGTATTAATATAGAGAGCAGTATTACGTTACTTATTGAAACGACGATGTTTGATAAAGAAGATAAATAGAAGTAGATTTAATGTTGGTGAGTAAAAGGATGTAGAGAGAGAAATTTTGGTAAGAAGGGCTATTATTTATGGATAAGATATGAATTCAAGGGCTTGTTTAACAACATTATATTTGGAAATAGAGAGAACAGATCCAACTACTTCTTTGATGGGTTAAAGTGAATATTAAAGTGTTTTAATAACTTCAAAAAATTTAGAACATGTTTATGCTTTTGATAAATGTGTACCATTTTATTAAAAATTATTTTATCCATTATCAAGAACTGAAATAATAACAGTAGCTTAAAGAATGGTAGAGGTAACACGAATAATTAAAAATAAAAAAGGAGAATAAAAGGTTGAATGTAAAAGTGTTGATTAAGTTCATGGTGAAATATTATCTTTATAAGGAGAAGAGGATGATGTTAATTAAAAGAAGGAGACAACTCTAGAAGCAAGATTGAAAATTGGATCAACTTTAAGGGATAAATATTTATTATAATACGTTTCCTGTTTAGAAGATCCTCCAGAAATGAGATTAAATCATTCAGCAGATGATAATAAATAAAAAAATTTTGTATCTGCTCTTTAGAATGTATTTCGGGATTTTAAAATTTAACTTGCTTAATAAATTAAAACTACAAAACATGTAGATGAGGAAGATGAAACTTCAATTAAAGCTTATGTTTAAAATGTTTTACCTACTACAGAATATGGTACTAATCCTAATTTATTCAATGATATAAATCCAGAGTAATTATCTATTAATGATGTTAAATCATAATTATCAACTAAAGAAGATATGGAATTTGTAACTGATTTTAATCTAACATTTTATGATGGGTAATTCAAATTGTAAATCTTTTATCAAATCAATACTTAATTATTTGTAATTCATGGAGAAAATATTTATACTGCTAAAACATATAAGGCTACAATATTAAAATCAGATCTTGTTAATAATTATGAACTCCCTTATTCATATATTAAAGAAAATCCTTAAAATACTATTTTACCATTAATTGATTTTCAAGATGAGAAGTTTATATTCTCAAAAGATGAAATTAAATTATAAAAAATTGTTGATGACTATTTAGCATATGAATTCAATGAAGCTAAATCTTCAAAAAAGGGATAACCAATTGATTAAGAAATAGAGGAAGTTCATCCTGATCAAATGACTGATAAAGTTGTGATTGCTATCTATCAAAAAGATATTAGTACTTTATTCTATGAATTTCATAGAGAATAAATGATTGTTAAAATAATCATTCATTTTAATAATACTAATGAAAAACGTGTGATTGAAATTGATACACATCATTTTTAATCTAAATATGTTGATGAAAGATTAAAAGATTTAAGTAATAAAAGAATTATTAAATTCTTTAAAGAATTCTCTAGAACTATTACTAAAGTAATTACTATCAATGAAAAAGATCATAGTCATAATTTTGAAGAGTTAAGAGGTGATTTATCTTTATTTTTAAGAGAAAAATTTGTTTAAAAAATTTAAGGAATGTTAATGGTCAAAAGAATGGTAGAGAAATTTAAATTGTATAAATAATTAAAACGTTCTAAAATTCATATACATAAGTTTATTTTAAATAATGGCTAACATTATATAGAAATTGCTTATTTTTTAATTAAATAATCTGGTAATCTATAACTCAATATGCGTGAATTAACTTTTGTTACTCCATAGGGTCATCTTGTTGAAAGAAGTAAAACTCTAAAGAGTAAAAGAAGATTAAGAGAAAAATAATTTATTATCAATTTAGATAAAATATCATAATAAAGTGATTAATTAATTAATTCATAAACTAAAAAATAAGATTAATTAGATTTATAGAGAATTGATTTTGCAATCTTCTCCCATTATGATAAAATGAAAACTATTGAATATTATAGATCACTAATGACTCCATTAATCTTACTAATATAAAAGAACCTTGTTGTCAATTTCAATAAGTTTCAATTTTCATTAACTCTTCCTATCACTATGATAGAAAGCCATATAACCAAGAAAAAAAAGAAGAATCAATCTCATGAAACTAAATTTTAATTAATGACTTTTGCAGTTATTGCTACTCAATCTACATTTAGAAAAAAACTATTAAAGAAATGGTTATAAACTAAGTTAGCTAGAAAAAGATAAATTGAAGAAAAGAATAAACACTTAGGAGAATTTATTAAAAGATCTTTTAAATAAATAAGAGAAGATGATGAAAATCATTTTTATATTGTAAATGTATACAAATAACCAGGTAAGATTCCAAATTAAACAATATATACTTTTGAATTAATACCTATAAATAAAAGTTAAAGAAAAACTAAAATGAGAGCCTCTTATCCTCATGATAATTTTTAATTAATTGATATAGGTGCATAATCTTTAGTAAATCATTTTATCAATAAAATTTATATTGAGAGAGGTATAATAAAATTTGATGAATATGCATTTTAAAAAGTATAAGATGATGGAATTTCAACAACATTTGATGAATTTGTTTAAAATGAATAATAAAATATAATGGTTGATGAAAAAATGATTGAAAAAGATGTATAAGAAATATTAGTTGATTAGGAAAAATAAGGAAATACTCTAATCAATATTGTATATACTAATTCAAAATAAATATTAGAGAAGAAATCATATGATGATTCTTAAAATAATGTAACCAAATTGTAAGTTGATTTATCAAGTGTAAAAAAGTTATATCCGAATTTTAATGTAAAAGATACAAATACAGTTAAAATTTTAAGTTAAAATTTGATAAAAGGAGTTAGAATGGATTAATTTGCAGGAAGTCTTCTTATTGATAAAAGTAGAATTCAATCATCATTAATAAATCCTCTTAGTATTGGAGGAGGTAGATTGGAATCATAAATCTAATCATAACTTTAGATTCCATCTATGATTAATAGAGGTATGCGTTTATCTTAAAAACCTTATGCAACAAATGTGCTTGCAAAAGAAACATTATATTACACTGGAAAGAAATACTTAATTGTTATAAGTTCAGTGAAAAATAAGATACAAAAAATATTAAATTAAGATAGGGATTCAGTATTTGAAGATCATGAAAGAATATTAGAAATCAAAGCTCAAAATTTAAAAGAAAGATAGGAACCATTTTATTGGTATTTGACACCAGATGATGCTGAGATTCTAACTCATGAGAAGAGTCCAGAAAATATGGCTAAGATTTTAACTAAGAATTTATAAATAATAAATTCAAAATTTATATATTTATGTTTTAATTAATAGGATTAATAATCAGTAAAATTGAAGGCAGAAGACAATGTAATTTTATTTGTTGAAAGTACTATAAGACCTATGCAAATGAAGTTTAGAAATAGGAAAATCTAATCTAATTATAAAGAATATAAAAGGATTTTTGTTAGATGTAAGGCGGATGGAACCTTAATTTTGAGAACTATAAATAATTTAAATACAACGAAGAGTGTGTTTGTGATATTGTTTATTGAAGAGAAGGAATCGTTTGTGTAAATGAAAACTTGGGATGCAACAGAATAGATGTATTTCTGTGAAACGGAATTGAATTTAAAAAAGGTAAACGTGGTTATATATTATATTAGTATATATCGATTTATTTTTAGGATAAATAAAAATGTTTGAAAGCTTTATTACATTTTTTAGAATTCCGTAGTGAACAGAATAAGATTTAGTTTTTGCATCCAAAACCAGAATAAGTTTAGGATTATTTTGAGAAAGAAAAGAAATTATCAATACATTCATCATCAAGAATAGGTTCACCAACAAAATCTGTAGATTAAAACAATGAGCAACCTTTATAATTCTTTTAATAGGAACATACACCATTGTAATCACCTATGGTTGTAATTGATAATTTAAATGATGATGCAATTGAAGAAGGTTTAGAAGAAGAAAAGAATAATGTTATTTAAGAATGATGAAAAACAATTTATATATATTTATAATATAATAATAATATTAATAATATCCGTTTTAATGAGAATTTATGCACTTTTATGTATAATTGCAATAGCATATTGCACATAAACTACAAAGTAATCTTGTCAAAAATATGATTAAGCTAGGCAAGTATGTTTGAAGAATAGTTGGGATAATTGACAAAAAGTAAATTAGGAAAAACTATTTTAAATATGATATCATTGCAATAATTTACAGAAGTGGATTTTAGTCCATTATTTACAGCAATAGATGATATAGTTGCATCAACATAAGAGGCAAAAGAAGAAGAGGCAGCATAGTTAGATACTTACTATTAATAATTTTTGAGTGATTCAGAGTTCTATTAAAATCAAGTTACAGAATATAGTACAGAAGTAATAATATAAGATTAATTTAATTTAAGGTTGCATAACATTAGAGTGATATTACAACATTTAGAAAAGATAGAAACAGTTTATAATAATCATTATATGATAAAAGTCAATAATTGAGTGATGCTTAAAGAAATTAAGGTTAATTGTAAAGAACAGTCTAGAATAATGATTAAGCAACATCAAAAAAGACAGCAGAATACGATTAATCAATATCAATAGTCGATTAAGTGATAGCAAAATTACAAGTTATTAAATGTAAATTAAACTAATAATTTTATTAGAATCATCATTTATTGAAGTAAACTAAGAAGATTTGGCAGTTTCAGCAGCAACTTTTTCAAGAAGATTAAGTGAAGTATCTCATCTTCCTCATCTTTTTGAACCATTATCAAAAGTATTAATCTAAATGAGTACATAAGGGTAATTATAATTATTAAATATTATAGTTTTGCTGATTAAGAATAAGCAGGTAATGCTATTAAATTACTTCATAATTTAAGAGAAGATTTAGTAGCTACAAAATCAGCTTTATTAATGAATGCTTAATTAGAAAAAGAAACCAATAATGGACTTTTGGCTTCTTTAGAAGAAACCATCAATTTATTAAATAATGAAATTATTCCATAATTAAAAGGAGACATTGAAACAAAAGATGGAGAAATTGCTACTAAATAAGGATTATTGAAGGATGCACAATCAAATTTAGATACTGCTTAATCCAATCTTGATAATGTAAATTCTGGATGGATATCTAGGTATTTTTACTTTTTATTTCATTAGATAAGAATAAAATAAATAACTTAATGATGGATGGGATAATGAATTAATGCTATTATCATAAGCAGAAACAGCTTTAGAAAGGGGTGGTATTAGAAGATAATGAAAAATATTATTACAAATTTATCAATAATATTTATAAATTTTATTTGTGATGAAAGGTTTCTTTGCAATCACAAGAGCTTTTATGGCTCCAATTGCTAAAACTACTTTTAGATTCTCTACCTAATAACATAAAATATAAATGAGAATGTATGTCATATTCTTATATATTAGTGTACTCAATCAAATAAATCAAATTATTAGATTGTCTTCCACTATGTCAGGATTAAGAATAGCTAACCAATATGATTTATCATTATTTTCTTTACTAGAAGATGCTAAAGGTATTTCTAAATTATTATTTTTAGGTAATTCATTTATATTTTATGAAAATTAAGATGATTCTGCGGAGCTTGACATCAGGCAAATTGGTTTGCACTTAGGATGTACCAATACCTTAAATTGAACAGAATATTAATATATAAATATTATCTAGCTAAATATTCTTAATAATAATAATATTGATAATGATAAAATAATAATTATTTTTATTAATTAAATGTCTTAATAAAGTGATTTCGCTCTTGGATAAAGTGAAAAAGTGCTTTAACATACTGAATAAGAAATTTTGGATGCAGATGTTCATTTAAATAGGTGATCTATCATAAATAACTTAGATTATTAGTAAAATCTGTTACTTACACAAGTATAGGATTATTTAATGGATCATTACTTTCCATTTTCTTCAAAAACAAAGTAGGTGTTATAGCCTATTGTTCAGGGATCGGCTTTGGTTTAGCATTGCATGAATATAGCAATGGTCTCTTCGATAATGTACGAAGATAAATTTGATAAAATAAAGAAATTATCATAAAAAAAACAAGATTATATATATCTATATCTATATATATAAATATATTGTTCTTTCTTCAATACTTAAATATAATTTTTTTAAGTTTTAAATTTCAATCACAATGAATCATCACGAAAATCTTGAAGAGAAATCTGTGCTATTGCCATTTTAGGTTGAACCTGAGAACTATTCTGACCATATCGATTATGAGGATCAATAACCTTAAATTAAGATCAAAACAAAAATTTCCTTTTTATCTTCTGTTATCAATTAAATTGAATCTTTAGTTATCTCTAAATAATAAGTTAAAAAAACCATAAAAAAAAACAAAAAGACACCAAATCCAATGAAAGATGTGAAGTAAAAGTAAAAAGGGAAGAATACTAAAAAACAAACCAGAGTTTCCCTTAATGAATTTAGTGAAGATGCTTCCTAATATGAGGAGTAGTTTTAGAATTATTACATTGAAGTAGATAATAATTGATCTAACCTTCACTTTTATTTTATAGTATATTAATATCATTAATAAAGCAAAGAAGTGATGCCTATGTTATCACCTAAACCACATGTTCTTTGTGGATGTGGGTTGATTAACACTGGGGAAATACAACATTCACTATTTTATCTATAATCAACCTTCCAACATGTGCTCATTTCATAAATTAAATTGTCTTAGCTTATGGTATTATTAGTAGGAAATAGAGTAACTTCTTCTTATTCCAATAATATCTATAGAGTAATCATTTAATTACTTGAAGATGTGATGTATCTTGAAATAGATTATCAACTTTAAAATCATTTTATGGTTTCATAGCTTAAATTAATCCCACAAGTATTGATCGATGCAAAGCTGGTTTAATTTCTCCCCATGCTTAATTTGAACAAATCATTTAAATAGTTTATGAATGAAAGTGCACTCTAAAATTAATTTAAAATCAATACCTCTCTATTTTCAATGTTTAAATTAATTTAATCACAATCTCTATCTATTAATTTGTACTTATCTGTTTTTATTCCAATTGACCTCTTGTAATGAAATTATACAATAGTTATAATTCTTATTCATTCATCCCAGTAGAATGAACATGCGGTAAAATATGTTCAATTAAATACATTAATAGATTTTCATCATTAAAAGCACCCATTTCAAAATGAATTTTTAATTGATTCTTGCTTTTTACTAAGATCTGTTTTAACTTTAAAATAATCTCCTAATATTCTTTCTTAGGTTTTTAATTCATCAATTAAAATCCTCCAATAACCAATAAATCAGGATGTATTTTTTCAATATCTGCTTCTAAATATTCTAATCCTGGAAACTTTAAATTATCCTAATCATTCTATAAATACAATCTATTTGTATGCTAACAGATTATTGTATCAAAAACATCTCCTTCATCAAAATTAACTACTATATGCACATCTTGAATATCTTCTCTTAAAAAACTTGAAGGTATCATGGTTATTGATTCATTGAATAAGTTCTTATAATAATGTTTTGACATAATAGCTGATAAATATACATCACCACCTTCCTTATATGTTAATAATATATATATACTTTAAATGCTCTTAAAGCCATTTATGCTGCATTTCCTCCTAAATCTTTGGATGTTGAAATTCTCTTCGAAATTTCCACGATATTTTCAAAATCATCAGTAATATGTAATTCAGATCCCAAACCATTTTCAAAGTAAAATAATATATTTCCACATATATTCTTTTTATTTATATCCTCTTTACTGCATTATAGCTCTCTTAATAAACTTATTGCTTAAACTTAAATGTCTTCATCACTAGAGAAAGCTAAGAGAATTTTCTTCCTTTATGGTTTATAAGTATTGTTATTCAGAATTCTAAGTGATCTAGCCACAGAATCCTCTACATTTACCAAAAACCATGCAAACAATATGGCTAACAAAATTTAGAATAAAATTTTCATAATAATATCAAACTGGTACTTGAGGAGGTGGAAAATTTTAGCTAGGCAATGCAGAATATCCTACTATTATTATAAGAAAGCCTGCAAAGATTATTAATAATCCTACTATAGATTCATGAATAATATGTGAATCCACAAAATTATCTATCATTAGGGTTCCACAGCTTAAATTATTTATGGGTTTTACAATATTATAAACATGCCTTTCCCACAATATTCTATCATAAATCCAAAGTATTCTTTAATCAATTTTACATTCAATTCAACCAGGATTAATAACAACCCAAAAATACTAAACTTTCATCAACTTTCTTACATCCAATATACAGTCCAAATCCCTATTAAAGTAGGAATATTTGGAGTAAAGTAAAATTTCAACACTCCCAAAACTATTAATGCTACTGCTACTAAAACTGATATGAACTTTATAAAGATATTAGCTTTATGTTCAGAACAGGCCATTTTAAATTTAAATAATTTATATTATCAATTATATAAAAATTTTATTATTAGTATCATCATTATATTCCTTATATTATCATTATAACACTAGCTTATTAAAATTATTATATATATAAAATATTTATTAAATGGCATCTCAATAATAATAATAATAATAAACTACTCAATAGCAACCAACTTAATAAAAACAACCTATCAGATAACCAGATGTTAAAACTTAACTAAAATAACTTTATGATAAATCTAGTATTTAATTTGATGATGAAACAATTGAATTGTGTCCATAAATTTAAATCTTGAATAACCTAGTTAAGTAATATTTATCAATATATAAAGATATGAGAATCGTATAGATTAAATGATAAAAAATAAGCGAGTTGATTTATAAGAATCCTTTATTCAGCCAGGATAATATCTTAAAAAGACCCTTAGAATTATTGTCTACTCTGAATTAGTTTGTGATGAATGGAATCTTTTCATCAAAGGACAAGTGATATCAGAGGACAAGAAACCTTTTTCTTATTTTATCAGACAACTTGAAGTCCAATTTGATAAAACATATTATCCCTCTTAAAATGTTATCTAATGGAGCAGGAATCATATTCAATAGCAATAACAATAATAGTCTTAATAATAATAGCAATAAGAAACAAGTGGCTTTCATATCAAAAGAAAAGGGCCAGCTTGCGATGTGATCATATCTATTAGTCTCTAAACTTATCCATAGAAATACAAATTGCATAAAACATTGTAATAATTACTTGGAATTAAAGAAGGAACTAGATCTTAGATCTTGTATTGTTTTTGGGAATATGTAAAAGTATATATTCCTTAATAATTTATTAGTTAAATAATCTGACAGATAAGGAAAGTAAAGATTATATTATTGCCGATGAATAATTAAAGCAACTGTTTGGATAGGAACGTATTCCTTTATCTAATCTTAATATACTATTAAAAATGTTTATTGAAAATCCAGAACCAATTGTCATAAAACACCATTTGGGAGTTAGCAATTATATTGGATTTGATGTTGTAGTAGAGTAAGAAATGAGTTATCAACCTGNATTTCAACACTCCCAAAACTATTAATGCTACTGCTACTAAAACTGATATGAACTTTATAAAGATATTAGCTTTATGTTCAGAACAGGCCATTTTAAATTTAAATAATTTATATTATCAATTATATAAAAATTTTATTATTAGTATCATCATTATATTCCTTATATTATCATTATAACACTAGCTTATTAAAATTATTATATATATAAAATATTTATTAAATGGCATCTCAATAATAATAATAATAATAAACTACTCAATAGCAACCAACTTAATAAAAACAACCTATCAGATAACCAGATGTTAAAACTTAACTAAAATAACTTTATGATAAATCTAGTATTTAATTTGATGATGAAACAATTGAATTGTGTCCATAAATTTAAATCTTGAATAACCTAGTTAAGTAATATTTATCAATATATAAAGATATGAGAATCGTATAGATTAAATGATAAAAAATAAGCGAGTTGATTTATAAGAATCCTTTATTCAGCCAGGATAATATCTTAAAAAGACCCTTAGAATTATTGTCTACTCTGAATTAGTTTGTGATGAATGGAATCTTTTCATCAAAGGACAAGTGATATCAGAGGACAAGAAACCTTTTTCTTATTTTATCAGACAACTTGAAGTCCAATTTGATAAAACATATTATCCCTCTTAAAATGTTATCTAATGGAGCAGGAATCATATTCAATAGCAATAACAATAATAGTCTTAATAATAATAGCAATAAGAAACAAGTGGCTTTCATATCAAAAGAAAAGGGCCAGCTTGCGATGTGATCATATCTATTAGTCTCTAAACTTATCCATAGAAATACAAATTGCATAAAACATTGTAATAATTACTTGGAATTAAAGAAGGAACTAGATCTTAGATCTTGTATTGTTTTTGGGAATATGTAAAAGTATATATTCCTTAATAATTTATTAGTTAAATAATCTGACAGATAAGGAAAGTAAAGATTATATTATTGCCGATGAATAATTAAAGCAACTGTTTGGATAGGAACGTATTCCTTTATCTAATCTTAATATACTATTAAAAATGTTTATTGAAAATCCAGAACCAATTGTCATAAAACACCATTTGGGAGTTAGCAATTATATTGGATTTGATGTTGTAGTAGAGTAAGAAATGAGTTATCAACCTGAATTAATGCCATTTTTAGCCCAAAAAGTTGTTACAGAAGATAATTCAGAGAAGAAATAATAAAGGGCAGAACATCCATTTATATAGTTAAATTAAAAAATCAAGGGATTTGAAAAATAGATTTAGAAATACATAGAATAAAGTAAGAGCCATAAATTAAAGAGAGATGCTTATTATGAATATCAAAAGAATCCTAGTTTGTTTTTGGAAAATTTATTTTTGCAATAAAATTCTTATTTAGAACTTATGTAAAATGATGATGAAATGCGAAATGAAGATCCAAAAAACATGAAATTCCTTATGAAAAATTAAGAATTAGTTGAAAGGCAGATTCGTAAATATTTGGAATAGCAATAACAACCTTAATAATGAGTTATGGATATATTTAATGTTTTGAACATATTATAATTTTAATCATTAAAAATTGCTTTTTATTTCAAGACATACAAAATCAGAAAAAATATAATTAAATACAACATTCTCTGTAAGTATGAACTCTTATATAAGTTTATATTTATAAGGGTTCGCATAAAAAGTTAAAGTATAATAAATTGATAGGCAAATATGATGGATTGAAACTAAGTATAATAAACTATTATTTTATCATATTAAAAAGAATTTCTTGTAGATTTGAAATGAACTCATAATCCTATTTTGGAAGCAGGATTTTATTTCCTTCTATTTTATTTGCTTTATCGAGATAAATAATTCTCAGTGTAGTTCATTAAAGCTGTTGATTAAAAGACATTAAAACTATTGAAAAATTTTGAAAGCCATAAGGTCTATTGAAATAATATTTTTAAAGTTATGACATTTCAATTAACATATTAAGAATTGAGAAGGCATTAAGATTTTCTAATTTGACAGATCGAAAAATAAATAATAAATGTCCATTTTAATGAATATTATTTATAATTATTCGACGAAATAGATATTAAAGATTTTTAATGACAGAACCTCAATAAAACATTTCAAAAAGAATTAACAATGGTGTTAGTATAGTAGAAAAAGGTAATTCATCATGATTCATAATAATTTTTATGTTGTGGTAATAAGAATATTTAAAGATATTAAAAAATCATAAATATACTATTGATAAATAAATATAATTTAATCTTAAATTGGTATTTTAAATTTGAGGATAAAATATATAGAAAAGTTTAGGAAATATAGAAAAATGAATTTAAATTTATGAATAGGATCATTCAATTATAAGATATGAAATTTTCTTAATTTTATCCAAACATTCTGATTCCCCGGTTCTTTAAACTTAAAAGAATCCATTTTCACCCCATCCTGAACCCCATGAATTTTAGACTTTAAAATGATCCTTTCCATAACCCACTATTACAACTGCATGACTTAGTTTCTTCGAGCCAACATAAATGCAAGTGTCAATAATTCCACCTCCGTATTCAAACCATGATTTTTGACAATTAAGTTAAATCTTCTTTTCCCTTCAATGAAAGCCTGCTTATATCTATTGTTGATTTAAAATTAATTTATAATCTAAATTATATGCTCCAGCATGATTGTGTTTCTATCAATAAGCATAGCATTTTCTTATTCAATGCTTTTCTTGTTTCTCATAAAAATCTACATTCTAAGTATTGCTGTAAAATCATTATAGTAAGATTTGCTTTATTCTAACATCCATATTACGAAAGAATTAATTGTGTTCATTTATGTGCTCATTTTCCATTTCAAGTAATCAAATTATCTTATACTTTTCTGTGACTTATGGATAAACAAATTCCGATACACAGTTCAATACCATGCACTTCATATCTCTTAATTATAAAAATAAGATTATTAAAAAGGTTAAAACGAATTTTAATCGTTTAAAATTTCTTCTTCAATAATTCATATTAAAAAACAATATATTTTTAATATTTACGAACAAATTATTGTGATATATAATTGAGAATTATATAACACACAATTAAAATTTTAATTAATTTACATTATTTATACCTCTTTTATTTTAATAATCTTTAAATTTAGTTTTTTTTTGCAATTTCTATTTAAAATACTTATATTTTGTAAAGTATTCATTATACTTATTAAATATTAAACTTTTTGTATCATAGTGACTGAGTTTTAAAATTAAAACAACAATTTTAGTATTCAATAATATAAATTAGGTAATAATTAATTTTATGAAATTTATTAAGAAAAGCTTGAAATATTAGAGACTTTAACTGTAATATTTGATAGGGCATTCTTAGGTAGTGTTAGAACAAGAAAATAAATTGTTTTGGGCTTTATGCGAATTTATTAGGATGTTTTAGACCATAGCCTTAGTTTTGTTATATCAGTAAATAATTCGAATGTTGAATACAAATTAAAAATTTTTAGAACCATCATACACTTAAGATAAGATAGAATTAATAAGCAGAATAACTATGCCAACGATATTAATTCTAGAATATTTATCATTAGAACAGATAATATATTTCCAGTTGATATTTTTGGCTTTTCTTTTTCTTATGTTGTTGATCAATGTACTTGCCTTAAGAATGGAATATCTTCATTTTAAAGAGATGAAATTTTAAAACAAAAAGCAATTTTGCAAGACAGATGGAAGTAGTTTTTGTATAATTATTTTTTGTTATTATTTAGAATCTCTCAATTTATTAAACAGCACTTACAATGACAACGATTTTATTGAACATTTTTTGTTAAAATAATTAATGATAACAGATAATGGTTCATTAATTGAAATGTATTTGTATAGGACATCTGTGCTAACTAATTATTTTACTCATATCTTATTTTTGCCATAAATTTATTGGATAGCAATAATATTCTATAGAATATTTACATCATCTGACTACTAAGTTGCTTTATTTGCTTTAAATTTTACTCTTAATTCTATTCAATTATTTTTTTTAATAATTTTAGAAGCATTATCATTATATATGCAACAATCCTATAGATTGAAAGATACTAATTATTTACGATTAAGAGTCACAACATCTTTTAAAATAGGATAAATTTTAAGGATTGTACCTACGGTATTATATTTTAGTGTTTTGTATTTTATGGATCATGATAAAATATATGACAATTAAATATTTTAATAAGTAATAAGTTGTTTTGTACTTTTGAATCTATTGTTTGATTTATAGGATTAATCACAAAATGTTCCTTTTGTTTAGCCATTCAAAATATACGTCTTTCATTTTGCCTTTTCATTCACTTTTGGAATTATTTTTACAAAGTTGTTGCAATTTTCTATAACAGACACCATAACATTAACTCTAATGAGTATGCCTTGTATATGTAAAATGCTTAATCAATTGACTGATTACCATTTCAAAAATATTGTTATGAAAACATTACGTGCAGAAAATATGCCTTTAAAATAAAATGTCCTAAAAAGAAATTCATAAACCATAACAAAATCTATGGCTATTAATGATGAAGCTCATTAGATTGAAAGGTTGATTTGGATGCAGAAGATTGAATAAGTGAATACTATTAGATTTAGTAATAACAAATATTTTTTACAATTTGTACGTCTATATGAATTGTAAGGTATTTAAAAACAATAAGCATATTGTCCTACTGATGTAATAAATCCAAACTAATCCAAATTTTTAATGCAGTGTATTATTTTAATCAAAACTCATATTGAATAATGCAATAATCTCTATTGCTTTTGTAGAGGATTTATGGGTGAAAAAAAATAGGGTTTGGAATTAAATTTAAAAAATCAGTAAATGAAAATATTTTCTGACTATTCTTAATAAAACTTATTAGTTTCAGTTGATTTAATTGATAGATATATTAGATATTACATAAAACTGATTTTGAATATCGAAATTTATGTTACCCAACCAAATTTAACTTATATAACCTAATTAATTAGTTATTTAGGTCAATCAGATGAATGCTATCAAACTTGGTTATAAATTATGGAAGTGAAATTATAACTGTAAGAATAAAAAAAGCCAATCGATCATGTTGTTATTAATTTAATGACTAGTTATACAAAGTTTCTGACTCTTCAAAGAACATAATCACATTTGGATGAATTTTAAATAAAAAAAACCATTTAATATGGAGATTATAGGAGTACTGAACATTAAAGAAATCATTTCTTCAATAAATTAATAGAATGTTTATATATGAAACAAAATTATTTAATAAAATTAAGTAGTAATTAATTGAATTACGAAGAAGTTTAAAAAATTTACATTGATTAAAATAAAATCCTTGATAAATTGTAAGGGAATTTAATGCAATTTTATAAATAATCTTAGTGTAGAACTTCAACGTTATTATTGATGTTTTTTTACTTAGAAGTACGTTGTGATTACTTTTCATTTTAGCAATTTAAAAATGTAAAATATATTTTAATATTTTAGAGTCTTAAATCTAAAGAGATTAAGTTTTTTGAAATCTTATAACTTTCTCATTAATCTTAAATGGTAAGTTATCTAAAGATTAATCTCTCTAGATTTTCTAAATATAAATGTAGAGGAGAGATCTTATCTCGTTCAGATAATTCATATAATTTTTTTGGTTTTGAAAGCATGGATGATTTTTGTAATTAAATTTAGACTGTTCACTAGTTAGTACCACCTTTAATATCTAAAGTACATAATACTATAATGGAACTATTTTTAATGAGTAGCAGGCCAAATGTTTTGAGGTAGGAACGCCATTTAATAGCATAAAAAGCAAATCAAGAAATTTTATTTGTAGAAATGTTTATTGATGTATGTTTTACCATTACTGCTACATAATTTCCTGTTTATTGTTTCCTTTAAGAATTGAAACCAATTGGAAAATTTGAAAATATTCGTGGTCATATAATAATTGATGATTATGAAATAATTTAAGGTATAAGCTCTTATGCCTATTAATCTTTTTTTCTTGATTCCACATAGGAGATTTGCAATAAAGAAATCTCTAAATTTTATAGTGACTTCAATGAAAATGTTTAAAAGCTTAATTTGATGATGGATTCAAAAACAGTGCGTTAAAAACAGAAAAAAACATAATTAATGCATAGTCCTGTAATTAAGCGATAGAAGATGAATAAATCAGTTTATAATCACTATAAATTAAGATTGGAAGATCAATTATTTGTTATTAATTCATAGAATAAGTTTCTTATAGATTTAACATTGACTCTAACTTATGGAATAGTCAATACTAAAATTTCTAAAGTATAATTATTGATTTAATTTATAATTTATATAGTTTTACATAATAGAGTTTAATAAGGTGCATTAACTTGAGCTTACAGATAACAATCCTAGTGATTATTCTATCAATCTTTAAGATAGTATTAGGTAATCTTCCAGAAAAACTGATACTCTCTAAGATATTTAAGAAAATGAGAAAGCAAGTAATGAATCTTCTATTAGAATGAACCAATACTCTTTTCCTTAAATTAATGAACAATGTATTACTGAATCTTAGAATTAAATATAATAATTGAATCAAGCTCCATTTAAATAAAGAAAAAGATTGACTATAATAAAAGCAGAAAGAAAATCAAAGTTTTTCTCTAACAAAGGTAATGCTCGCATATCAAATTCAGATAATTAAATGAATAATGAATATTACTCAAATTAAGATTATTAGTCAGCAACTTCTTAAAAATAATAATCTGAAGGATCAAGATATCTCTTCAAAGGTGTCTAATATTATGAATTTTGTAATTCAAACAATGAGAAGATATTATATACTTTGCATCTAATTAATGCATTAATCTTTGTTATTATTATAACATTCTTGCTCATGTATTTACTAAAATACAGATCACAGTGTGAAATTATAATTCCAACTTTTGAAATCTTAAAAGCATTTACATCCACAAATTATGTTGATAGTGTCTAATTATCTTTAATTTTAAATAGTCCAAATACTCAATAAATAGGTCTATTTCATTAACATTTGAATCGTCTTGTAAGAGAACATTCATTAAGCTTTATAGATTAACAAAAAAATTATTTATTAAAATCCCAAATATAAGATGTATTGATAAATACAAGAAGTTAATAACAAAATTAGAATTAAATAGATGTTTTATATATGACTTTTACGATATTGTATGATTAATTAGATTTTGTTCAGAATCAAAATTTGATTTCATTTGATGAAGTACCTACTTTCGTTAATCTGCTCAAAGAATTTCAAACATATAAATTGGTTTATCAAGAGATTAATTAACAATTAAGAGAGTAGGTTTAAGCATCAATTAATAATTTTAATGATTCTTAACGTAGTCTTATATTTGCTTTTGTTTTTTTAAGCATTATTGTTTCATTTGTATCATTATTTGCCTATTATAATTATTTTAAATATTTAAAGAAAATTACTAGATGCAGTGAATAAGTTTCTGTAGACTGTATTGATAGAGAAGTCAATTATTGTATTAACATAATAAATAATAAATAAGTAAGATATTTTTTAATTAATAGTAACTTAATATTTATGAGCTTAAAATGGATTTTACATAAACTTAAGAAAACTAAACTCATTATTCAAGTTTTAAACCATTAAACAATACTGGTTTATAGAAAATTAAGAGATATTTAAATTTAAAAGATGTCATCACAATAAAACGAACACTAAACTTTCTTTATCCTTTACTATGTTTAGCTTTCGTTTTAATTTATCTCCTATTAACATATTTTGATACTCTTTAAGAAATGTAAACATTATTAGTTAATATTGAAATTTACAATTAAAGTATTCAATATTTAGAATCATTTTCTATTTTGTGTCAGAGTAGCATGGTCAATGAAAATAAGAATTATTTAATAAATAATAACTATCTAACAACCTAGTAATTACAAGAGTATTACAACTAAATTGATTCTTCATTAACCGATCTATAAGAATCAAGTAAAATTATTTATATTATTTGTAGGTTTCAGGAATACTCTAAGTAACGATTAATTATAAGTTAACATTTGCAGCATTCTGATTGCAGAAATAGATATTGAAGTCTGCGAATAATTGCATCAAGGTTTATTGTAGAATGGAATATTGGAATCAGTCCAGTATTATCTGATACATTATATGAACAATTATATTTCTAATTTAGAAAATTTAATTGATTATTCTACATCAGAAGATGCAATAGCTATAAGTTTCATAATAAAAGGAATAAATAATTTTGTGGATTAATAAAAATTAGATTTAGAAAATTTTATCAATCATAATTAAAATAATAAATTGGATTGGTTTATTTTTATAATTTCAATAGCCATAGTTCTTTAAATTACATTATGGCTTATTTAATCTTGGAATCTATAATAAAAATTAAGATTATTAAAGAAGTTTGTGTTTTTATTACCCAGAACTAGTTTATATATGAATGATAGTTTTTTGAAGACACTAAATTATGTTTAAAGACATTAAAATGATATATGTTAATGAATTTTATTGTTTTTATTATTTGATTATTTTTACATAAAATCTAAATCAAAATTATGAATCCATTTATTTTCGATATTGTTTTTATATTTATTCTAGTTAATTTTCTATACTCTTTTTTAATAATTTATTGTTAGGTTCATACTTAATTAAATCTTCTAATTAAGCTTTTAAGCCTTTAATTAAGATTTTAGGTAAATTTTTTGAATTAATTTTTGAAATTTACTCATAAGATGGACAACCATCCCTTGGTCTGAGATCTAAAGTATCACCCTATCGATAAATTTGGTATATGTACAGCAGAAGTTCTAAATACCCCTTTGTATCCATTCACTTCATAAACCTTTCTGAATCCTATTTCATTAATTTCAGATTCTCTTTTAAAAACAGATAAATCGACTTTTCTCAATTTATATTTAGACAAGGCTTCTTCATAGTCAAAATCTGAAGGTGGCCATTGATCAAAGCAATACCACCACCTACATAAAATTTCATATCTCAAATCATCTGTATCAGGATTAGATTTTATCTGTTTAACTCTTTATTCAGGCTGTTTTTATTTGGTGATTTATGGATTGGGAATTTTCTTAGGCTTCTTTTCTTAATTGAATTATACATTTCAAATTAATACCTTCCTACTACTCAGAGGAATCAGGTTCAAATAAGAATTTCCATGTTTTATAATCAACTGTAATTGTTTAGGCAATTGGTGATTACTGTTATTATTATTATACAGGTTATTATTATTATTATTATTACTCTTCTTCTTCAGAGTCAATATATTTATGTTTTTTCTTTTGTACTCCTGTTTCATTTGACATTTTTTATAAAAAAAACAAATATTAGATTTCTAATTCAATTTAAAAAAGTTTTTATAGATAATTCAGTGCTATGAGTTTTTGGTTATCTTCTTTCATAATTACTCATCAGACAGAGTCTTTATGGTTTATTTCTAAATAGGTTATGTTTAGATGATATCATAACTCCTTGATTTAAAGGAGAAAGGTATTCTTTATGAGGACTTGAGATCTCTTTTGGATTATCTTCAATAATATCTAATGATAATAATTTTGAATTAAAGTCTATGAAGTTGGGAAATTTAAATTATTATTATTATTATTAAGAAATACTACTTTGTCTTTCTTGGAAATTTAATGCTTTATTACTAATCAAAGTTTTTGAATTCTAATGACTATTTACTATCGAAGCATTTTGATTTGAATCTTTATCAAAAATAATACTACTGAATCGTCTTTATTCATTACGTCTAAATTCTCTTCTGATTAATGATAATTAAACTTCTAGATGATTTAAAGTATCAGCAAGACTTTTCTCATTTTCAGACTGTGCTCTAAATATAAATATCAAATACTTTTTTTATTCTCTTCTTTAAATTTTTCTAATTTATTTAAGTTACTATGAAGTAGTTTTAATAAATTCCATTTAGGATATCTATTTCTTAGCTTAATAGATTGAATATTTCTTAGGAGACTCTTATGTTTAATGTTGGCTATTGAATTATGATTTAATCTCTAAAATAGGTTAAGAGAGATTAGTAGGTTTCTGTTTAAATTATTCAGAATAATTAAGTCTTTTATGAGTTTTAATAGTTTTGCTCATTCTTTCATCATTTATCTTATGTCTCTATTCATAATGTCGTTTCAACTATTTTTCACATTGTGGATACGATGCTAATAATTTGGCTAAATCAATATAAGTAATAGAATATGCAGAGAAATACTGAGAAGTTACTTAAACTGTATGAATACGATCACTTTATTCAAAATATTCTAATTCTCCGAAATATTGATCTTAACCTAATTCACATAAAGGAAAAAGTTTTTGATTTTCTTTTTTAAATAATCTTACAGTGCCTTTTTTAATTACTATTAATTATTATGGTGTATCCCCAATCTTATATATATAATGACCAATCGGATAATGAACTTTTTCAAATTTATATTGTGTCTCTATAGCTTCCTTGTAAGTAAGATATTTCAAGATAGAATTACTCAATAATCTGGTCTTCTTTCTTATTTTTTCTTTTATTTATGGCAAGCATTACCCAATTAATTATCTTCCAATAATATTTTATAATCTTTTCTTGTTAATACGGCAACATGTAGAGATGTATTGGCAATAACAGTTCCAGTTCTTGCAGATTCAATCAATAATCCTCTCTCTCCAAACATTTAACCTTCATTAATACGTGCAACATATTCATGTAGAAAAACACCTCCATTAAATAGAAATTCTTTATCTTATAATTTCTCAAGTCCATGAGTTAACTTTTTTATTATTTCAACATCTTTATGTTTAGTATCCTATCTATCAGTATGAATAATTGTTCGAGGCTTATATGATTTTGATATTCTAAAATTATTAATCCTTAAAATTACTATTCAAAATCATCTTCTCTTAAATTTATTGTCATTCTTCTAGTTAATAATCTTGGAGGCTAATAGTATCTTACTATTGTATTTGGATGATGTTCAATCTCTTCCTCTGATAGAACTTTCAATTATTATTATTCATGTTCTATTTCTGCATCTATTCTATCCTACTTTTTACGTACATAAACATTCACACTTCCATCTAAAATTATGAAGAACTCATTTGATGAATCACCTTTTATATCAAATATTAATAATTACCTTCCTTAAATATTATATCATTCTTCATATAATGTCTATATACCATCATCTTACAACATTTTTAATGTAACTTTGAATCATGTAAACTCTTAAAAAATTCTAATTCCTTTGTTGCCTATTCTAAAACTGCCAACTCAAAATCCATTCTCTCTTCAGGTGGTGATTTTAAGATACACAAACCAACTTTTAACTAAGTCAAAGGGTCTTTCACTTTTAAAAATGATTAACAAAGTTTCTTATAAGTGTTTTAATTCCCATTTCTCACACTCATAAATTCATCTGCTGAAATCATAACCTCCATTGTATTTTTTATTATTATTAATAATATATATAATTTTATTTACACTAATTATTAAACAATCCTTGCTTACCTTAATTTTAAAACAAAGTTATACTTTATTATTCTAATTATATTAAAATAAAATTATAAAATTTGTAATTAAAGAAATTAAACATTCTAAATAACTTCCTCATACCTACTTCGTAAAAAATAACAGGATTGACAAGTTTAAAGAATTATATTTAATAATCTTTTGCTAATAAACATTTAAATAAATTAAACATTCTTCATAATACTAACTTAAATAAAGAAATTATTGACAGTTTCATTTAATTAATTTCAGAAATTATAAAAAATAACACAAAATGATTCTTAAATTCAATAAGATATAAAAAAGTTAAATATTAATAAAGATCAGCATAAAAAATATAATAATCAATTAAATTGAAATTCAATATCAAATAAATTTTAATCATATTTTTCTTATAAATAGATTCTTCTGTAATAGAATAGTATTAATTAGAAGTACTTAATATTTAAATTTTTGAATTATTTTATAAATAAATCAATACCCTTTATTATTTTATCTTAAATAATCAAATTCTTTTAATTTATTTATTTTACTCTATCTTAAATTTTTTTCTTCAACCATTTTTTATGTAGATTCTACTGTTTGCATAGGTACTTATAATCTTGTACTTTTTCGATTTGCATACATAGTCAATAACTTACTCATTAAAACTCCAACATTATTTATACAACCTTTACAAAGCTATTCTGATGAGCATTCAATATGAAATGTATGTTTACAATCTATAAATATTTTAGATACCATATCTATTAACTTTTAACAGTGTGAACAATAAATATCAACTGATATTCCTTATTATTATTGTTTAAGCAATTATACTAAATATTTATTACATGTTTGTTTTATTAACATTGTAGATTGACCATAAATTGCTAATTCATATAGTTACCCAGACAGAAGCTAAGAAAATGTTGACTTCAACTCTTGAAACTCAAAATATTTCATCGTTTCATTTAAATTCTACAATAAATAAATTTATTACACATTACTTCAAGTAAACTTTTGATTTTAGTTTTTTCCAACACTTCCTCCAACAATCTTGTAAAATGTTAATTAAAACATCTTAAAACAGGATAGAATCTAATTCTATAGAATTCCTATCTTAACTTAGTTAATCTAATTAAAACTTAAAACCAATTATTCTATTTTTTATTTATTATTTTACATCACTTTCATCATCATTTCTTTTTGTATTTGCTCTACATATACTTAATGTTGGTTCTAAATGCTCTTAAATATAAACATATAAACTCTTTTATCCTTCCAATAATTAAGGATTTTTCTACATTTATTATTTCAATCCTTAAATAAATAACTATAGTATATTAATTATTTTTTTACATCAAATTACAAATTAATAGCTTCTAGAACTGATCCACTTCTCTCCAATAAATAAGCTAATCCTTTTAAATTACCATAGAATCTACATAATTTAAGACATTCATCTTAAGGATAACCTCCTTTTTGAAGTTCTGAGATAACTTAATCTGGATGTAATTAGCATATTAATTCAAAATATTCAATCATTAACTTATCATCTTTTTGTAAATTTTATAATATTTTAAATCTCACAATTGGAATTTGTTTATCTAAAATATTTCTCAATTAATCCTTGCTAAAATAATCAAGCAAATACTCTGTCTTAACTGGATTTATTAAGGAAAGTTCTTTTAACTTTTATGATAATATATCAATAAATTAATTGTCTTTTTGTTGCAAATCTATATAATTGAATACTAACTATTTAGCTTATCCTCTTAATTGTGTAAATTTATGAATTATTTTACCTTATTAATTATTATTAAAGTATTATTCTAAATCTTCCAAGTCTTCTTTATCACTACAATACTGCTCTAATAAAATTTTTAATGTTGCTAAATCTGGAGTCTTAAAATTAATTTCTTCTTCAAAATTTAACGTGCTTTCTGCATAAGACAAATATTATCGTTCATAAAGTGTTTTAAATGAACTATTTAAAGGATTGGATTATTGTTAAGGTTAAAATTGGATTTATTATTATTTATCTTGTAAGGCTTCTTATATCAATTCTTCAATATACTATTTATGATCATAAGTTTATAGTGCAGATTCTAATAAAAGATCTTCTTCAGTGATCCCTAATAATTCCAAGATTTCATCTTCTATGTTTTTCTACTTTTTTTCGTTATCTGTCTATATTATTTGATTAAAATTAAATTAAAACGTAGCTAGGCTTTATACATTTGGTTTAATTAAATCATCAATTGTGCAATTAACCTTAACTCCTTAAGGTACCCAATATATGTCATCTGATATCATAATATTAATATTATTAATTCTACATTATAAATATATAAAAAATAGTGCTTTTAAATCATACTTCTTTTTTAAATCATTCATTCATTCTGGTAAGAAATATTATATAGTATTCATCTAATAAAATTCTCCTTAATTTATTCACTCATTATCAGATTAAAAAATATATCTTGTTATTTAAGTCTGCAATAAAAAAAAGCTCAATTCATGATTTTAATGACATTAAAGTATCAGATTGAGAATAAGAATATATTTAGAACATTAAATTTAATATATATAGTAGATTTAAATGAAATAATCTCAATAATATTTTTAATTTCTAATATCTTAAACTTATGAATTTCTATGCTCTTGATTTTGAAGATTAAAATGATTAAGGTATTTTTTAATTTAAAAATTATAGCCTAAGACGCGGTGTAAGAATAGATTTAAATTATTTAAGAGCAAGAATATGGATATGATTAAAGCTCCAACATTGAAATTGATAAAAATAATACTTTTGATGGCTACTTACAAGAAGAACCAGTTTTTTTGTTTAATGTTGAGGAAGAATCTCCTAAAAAGAAATAAAAATCAATTTTTAAAAAATCAAAAAAAATAAGAAAATCAGATACCGAAACAGATGTCTAATCTTAAAAAAAAATGCCAAAATTTAAAATGTCTAATGATTTTGCAAAACTATAATAATGTCAAATGTTAAAGACCATTATTTCCTAAATGGAGACAATTCTTTAAAAAACTCGAACATAAATTCTAAATTAGATAATAAAAAAGTAGCAGATCCAATAATGACTTAAAGAAATTTGAATTTTATAAATAGAGTTTTTATACAATAATTAAATTAAAAGACAGATGATTCTAGTACTAAAATATCAATATTTCCTTGATTCATACATATAAAATGAATTTAATATCTAGAATTTTCTATTGATAAAAGAATTTTTGAAAAATTAAATGAAAAATAATATATTTTTATAGTTCTAAAATATTATAACATAAATCAATTAAAATAATATCTTTAAAATTTTAAAGGTCTCTTTTTGCGTGAATAGGTTAGCATATTGATGTATGAATAGAAAATCATAATATCATAATAAATTATACTCAAAATTTTGGTTTTAAGAAGGTCTTTCATTATTATTATCTCATATTCATTCCTGAAGATTAGGATCTATTATTCACTGAAATCTATTTATCTCTTTAACCTTCTTAAGTTATATTTTGCAACTTTTTCTTTTTTTCAAAATCTTATATAAATTATTGTCTTTTTTCTTCTGCTTCCTTCCTAATAATTTCAGCTTATTTTGATAAATTTTCTCTTTCTCTTCTTACCATTTCAGTTCTTTCATCATCCTTAGAAAGTTTCATTTCAAGTTTTGTTCTTCTTAGTTCACTTAATTATTCCATTCTTGTTAAATTATCAAATTTATCAATATCTTTGATTATTTAAAGGGTTATTCTAAATTTAAGAAAATAATAGTACTTTTATTTTAAATCTTCTTCTTTTTTTTATTCAAGAACTTATAATTTTTATTAGGTTCTATCTAATTTCTTTTAAAGTTCTTATTTTTATTATTCTTACATCATTTCATTTTTTTATAAAATCATTTATATTTTTTATTCTTTATCTCTATATTTTTTCATTTTTTCTTCCATCTATTATCTTTATTATTCATTCAAAATTTCTTTTTTTTTTTAATATTCCTATTATTTATGTTCATAAAGTTATCTTTTTTCTTCTTCTTTTTATTAATTAGTTTGCTAAATTATTATAGATGAAGATAAATTACAATTATTTTATTAATTTACTTTTATTTCTCTTCAGCTTATTTAGCTTTCTCTAATCTAACTTTTTCAAGATATTCTTCAAATTCTTTTCTCTTTTATTCTACTTATTATTCCTTCTAATTATAATCATTTCTTTTCTTCTCAATTAAATTTTCATTATATTATTTAACAAAATGCAACTTTTTTTCTAATTCTGCTCTTTCTTTTTCAGCCTAACTTTTTCTTTCAATAGTTCTACTTTCCATCATTTATATTCTCTTTTTCTCCTTTTATTCTAATAATTGCTTTTTATATTCTAATTATTTCTATTATTCATTTTAAAATTATTGATTTTCTCTCTACATTTATTCTTATTTTTTCTTTCTTTCTAATTCTCTCTATTCTACTTCCTATTTTTATTTTATCATATTTTCAAGTTCTTTTTAACGTCGTTTTTATTCTTTTAAATCATTTTCTTTTGTTTTTTAGTCTTATAATTCTTTTTCCCTTTATTCCTTCTTTTTTCTCTCCATTTCCTATTTTTATCGTAACTGTTCATTTTATTATCTTTTTTTTTATAATTCATCCTGGTATGATTTTTCTTTATCTTATTATTTTAACATTTTTTGAAGAGCAATTTAACTCTTTCTTTCATTAATTTACTCTTATTCAACAATTTTTTCAATTTCTAATTATTATCTCCTTTTAATGTTTTCTAGCATTTTTTATTGTTTATCAGCAAAACTCATGGTAGATAAGTTTAAATTAGATATATGATTTGAATTTCTACTAACATTATTATCTTCCTAAAGTATTTTTTATCTTTAAGATCTGATAATGTTAATTCTTCTCTTTCTTTTATCTTCTAAATGTTTTTCAATCTCTGTTATCATGTCTTCAGTTAATTATGTACCAACTGTATCACGTTGCTTTATTAATTATACAACCTATTCTCTAGTCTTTTTAAATAATTCATTAGGATGGATGCCTTCCCTTCTACATGCTTCTTATAATCTTGGAGTTAGAGTGGTTTGGGTTATATTATAGAAATCTCTATCAGATAGAATCAATATAATACTATTATTCATAATCACTTGACATTAATCTTTTTTTTTATTATTATTCTATAGGCATACTTATTTTTTATTGAAATCTTAAAAAAAAGTTTTGAATATCAAAATTTAGATTCTAAAAACAGATTATCAAATAATTAGATTAAATCTTACAAATTGAAATATTTAATAAGAATTTAGATAGCCATATTTTCTATACTCTATCATTTTTTCAATTGTTACTAGATTTGCTGAATTTCATTATCATTAACAATAACATATTTTTAGGTAATAATTTCTTATTGTTATTTATAATTAAGATTTATGATAGAACAATCATATACAGCTTTAATAATAAATAATAAAAAACTGAAAAGAAATAAATATAAAAATATGATTAATCTGATTTTAATTAAAATATTTTTATATTTATTACTTTAAATTATAATAATAAGATTTATTATGGTATTATTTTTAAAATTTTTATGATATGATATCATTTCATTTCAATTTATTATTCTTTTTCTAAATAGATAAGGTCTATTTCATCATTTCTGGAATTGAACTCAACAGTTTATTACATTTCATCAATTTATTATTATTGATATTCTTCATATTTTGAAAAACTTAATAATAATTCTTCTAAAGCCTATCTGATATTGGAGATTTTCGTAATCACATCATTTGTAAATTCTTCCTCTTTTTATAAAAAATGTAAATGATTTTATTACTGAAGATATTCTGGAGAATTTCTTTTTTCTTCCAATGTTTATTCTAATTCTTTGATACGTTATTCAAGTTTATCATTATCACAACAAGCTATGTCCCAATTATTAAACTATTTTTATATAATAAGCTTACTTTTTGTAAAAGGAATACTAAGAATATGATTTGAGGAGTCTAATTTTATTTTTATTATTAAGAATCAAGTAAAAGCCTAAGCATTTATCGACTATCTTTATTTAGTTCTTATCTATTATAAATAGCAAATTTTGCTAATAAGGGACATAACTTAAATTTTAACTTTTCGTTTCCTTATTATTGTAATCCTTTTTCCTTATTGATAGATATGAAGAGATACTTTCATCCAATTAGAAGGAGCTTCAACTTCAGTTTTAGTTTCTCCCTTTGACAAAACATTTTCAATAAATTCTTCTAGATTGAAAGTCTTAGCTCCATAAAAGAGACGATAACAAATCTTTAAAATTTCTTTTAAATCACCATCTGAAAGATCCTTTTTGATAGTTTTAAGCCAATCTTCAATTTTTTTATGTTTCATTTCACAAATCAAAGTAATCAATTCTTCTTTTTCTTTTTATAAAGTTTCTCTTGAATGTTTATCTTTTTCAACTTAAGCAGAATTAATGGCATTTTCATAATCATTGATCTCTTACTAATTGAAGTAATAGATAAAATAATAATTACTTCCTAAACTTCTTAGTAATATTCAATAGTTGAGATTTATTCTCTAAGTGAATCTAAGACTTCGCAATTCAAATCATATTATTCATCAAGTTCTTTTAATCTTTCTTCTAAGTTTGTTTTATAGTTATCTAATCCACTTTTTGTATCATTTAAATAATTGTTAATTTTGTTAGTTTGTTCCTTCAAGAACTCATACCATACCTTACATTATTTGTCATAGATTGAAATATCTTTTCTTCGATTATCATCCTCAAAATTCATGTCAGATGTTCAATTAAATAAAAATAATTTAAAACTCAATTTATCGTTACTTTAACATTACTCTTGTAAATCAAGATATAAGGTTTAATGTTATCTCCTGTCATATTATATAATTATCCTTCATATCTAGTTTTATTTTCACTATCTGTCAATATCAATTTACTAATATTCTAATTATCAATAATACTTTTCATCTAAATTAATCTTAAAAGCCAACACTAATCCCTTCTTCATATTTTTATGAAACAAAGTTTAAATTGGTTCTATTTTCTCTCCCAATTATTGCTTCATATGAAAAGATCCAATAGCTGCTCCTCTCACAATATCAACAGCACAACATTATTGTGTTTGATACATTATTGAATATGTGGCCATTTGATCTTTAACCAAATCTTCTACAACTCCTATGTAAACTCTATGTAGATGTTGATATTCTTATTATTAAAATATTCCAGAATTGCTAATATGACCACCAATGGTATGTTAAGAGTATGGATTATACAATTAAGGAGAATTATTCACTATTGATGCCAATCCTTCTTATTATTCTTCTTGTTTCGATTATTCATTTTATATGTATTCGATTGCTATTTAAAATTCATAGATTCCCTTAGAAAGTGTGCATGATCCATAAATCAATTATACTTCATCTTGATCATTAAATATAAACTATTTTCCTTTTATGATCTCCTAAATATTAGCATCTTCTTCCTAAGAAAGCAATGATTTATAGAAAAAGATGGCTAAAAGATATAGATAATCTTATTATTACAATCATCTTTTCTCATGAAGTTTTTTATCGACTCTAATGAATTGCAAATTTCACTTACTACCATATCTTTAAATTCCTGAGGTAATCCATCTTATTTTGATCCTTATGTTGATTAATTTTAGCAAACATTCTGTAAGTTTTATCTATCCTTAATTATCTGAGATATGAAATCATTTATCTAATTTCACATTATTTTCATACCTATTCTTCACTTGATTCTCCCCTATTAAATTTTCCTAATTACTCTTTTAACTTTTCAAATTCATAGGAATTGAAGTATGAATTTAAGATTTCTTTATTATGTTTCATTTGAATAGTTTTTTGTTTTGATTCCTATTCCAATAACTTCAATTTGATTTACTTTAAATAGCCTAAAGGTTTGATATATATTAAAAAGAACTTTTTAATGATTATTGTAATTGATTTGAAATCATATTGAGTTTTTCTTTATGTACTAATTCATCCTCAGAAAATTTGATAATTTATTATTCATTTTGAGTATTTGCAAACATTTCTACACAATTTTATTTCTTTTAGATTTCTGAAATCAACACACAACTTTTTATATGCGATTTATGTAAGGAGAGAAGACATTTCTAACAACCAAGTCGATCCTCTGAACATGAATTAAATAAACACATAATTGTAATTCTTTGTTCAGGATGATAATCACAGGTATTATTGTTCATTTAATTTAATATATAAATTTCAATCTTTTATGCTTTCAACACAAGTATTTAACTCTTTTGCTCAAAGATAAAGTAATGGAATAATAAAATTATTGGCATATGGAGTCTTCTTTGGTGGAGCATATGGATGTGCTTGGCATTAATGGAGAGGTGCTTAACAGAAATAACTTTATGAGAAGGTTGAAAGTGAAATTACAGAATGGAAACCATTAACAATAAATGGTTTAAATGCTTCAAGATATCCATGGGCTCGTAATATTAGAGATTGGGAATTCAAATTAGTGAAATTATATGGATATTTCCGAGTACCTATAAAATAACTAATGATAGGATGAAAGATTTTTTGTTAGAAGAGAAAGAGAAGGTAGAGATGGTTTTCTAGTGTTTGCTCCATTTGTAACAGCATTATAATTTAATGATACTGAATAAGATCCAGAATAAACCACTAAATCTTAAGTTATGGTTAATTTAGGTTGGGTACCAAAAGATAATATAAGTGATATCTAAATGGGATAAGAACCTATTGGTACAACTGTATAGATTTTTAATTTATATTAAGACATATGAAAATGTTCCTCATAACGAGGATGATGATTAATTAACAGGATTTAATAGAAACATAGCTAATATGGAAGAAGATTATTAAATGCCTTTTGTAGAATTTGTTGGTATGGTCAGAAGAGGAGAAGAGGAAGATATTTTAAAAGGACGTCGTAATTGGCCAAGAGAAGGAGTCTACAATTACATAGATTTATGGTTTATGTCCAGATTATATAGATCTTTCAATTTGGTATAAAATGTTTGATGATTTTATCATAGACTGATTCCTCATCTGCATACATTGAAAGATTAGTATAAGAATACGATGAAGAATCTGCCAATTTGTATCCCATCCCAGCAACTAAAGATAATTTCGATAAGCCTTTACCAACACCATAAACTCATTAAGCTTATTCATTATTTTTCGGGTTATCATCTATAATGTCTCTAGCCCTATTAGCCATTAGAAGATGAATATCAAGATTAAATATTATACCATATTCCAAAATATAAGCAGTTATTATTTTAAATTTAATTTATTTAACTACTATTTAATGCCACATTACCCTGAAGATATTGAATATTCTGATAAATATTAGGATGACTATTATGAATACAGGCATGTCATTCTGCCAAAGCATATTTTTAAAAAAATAACAAAAGGTATATATAAAATATTCAATATTCTAGGAAAATTATTAAGTGAAATGGAATGGAGAAATCTAGGAGTCTAATAATCCAGAGGTTGGGTTCATTATGAATGTCATAGACCAGAACCACATATTTTACTATTTAGAAGACCAAAAGGAACGGATCCTAATAGTGGATTACCACCATAAGGATTCTCTGCTCCATATTGATATAGTTTAATCCATTTAACACAAATTATTATAATACTCATTTCAAATAAAATCTAGTAATACTCTCAATCTCATAAACTCATCATTATGATGATTCTCTGGAATTTTAAATTTTATTTCCATTACATCTGATCTCTCCTTTAGGTATATTAAGATTGACCAAATATTGTTCTTTAGTTCATTCACCTCTATTTAAGCACTTTTAGGTTTCTTAAAAACTATATCACTAAAATTATTTAATCTAATTATAACATCAATTCTAATTAATTTCTTATTCTTATTGGAATCAATCTTGCATCATTCCAAAATTATTCCAATGTACTAACAAACTTTTTCTTTGCTTACTCTACTTTTACATTATAAATTTCTAAATGTAAAAAATTAATATCATCATCATCAATCAAACCTTTTATTTTATCATTTCTATTTATTAGAATTTTTGAATTTGTTAATTTAAATCCAGACTCTTTATGAGCAATTAATTCCACTTCCTCAATTGGTATTTATACTGATAAAGAACTTAAAATTATTGAGAAAATTATGAAAATCTAATAAAATAGCATAATTATTAAATATGATATATTCAATTTAATTAAGTATTGATTAGTGATTATAGACTTCCTCTTTTTATTTTCTGTGTTGGAGATAAAGTTTAGAATGTTTTAAATGTTGATTACTATATTTCATTAGAAATAAAGCACTATAAATATGGATTTGAATCTAGCTCATTCAATTGATATATAAATTCATTCAAATCTTCATAGATTGTAAAACTTATCTTTGTATATGGAGCAAAATTTCGAAATGACAAAGAGTCTTCCATATTTTATGATTGAGTATCTTTAAAATTAATTTGATTATTTGGTCCTAATTGGCAAACTAAATATTATGCTAAAGGTAAGCCCAAAGTACTAAATGGCTCTGTACTTCCTCTCAAATACATTTCTTAATTCTTCTATTACAATGAAGAATCAATATCTAATAAAGATATTTGACTCTTTGTTGCTTTCTAGGCCTTTATATTAAAATTTTAAATCTAATCACTTAAATTTTAGATATTTTCATAATAGTGATTAACTCCCCAATTCCTTTTTTTATGATCAGTATATGATGATGTTTTTCGTAGTGCTTCTTAAATCTAGTGTGGAATCTTTAAGTTTTGATGTTTCATTGTTATTTTTAAACAACCTCTTTAATGTTTCATTCTTTTAAATTTAATTTAGATTGGAAATCCTTATGGATGGCACTCATATAATACTTTTTCATCATTTGATATAATAGCCAACATAATCTTTATAAATTCAGAAATACTCAGAATAATGGATATCATTTTTGATCTATCTGTTTTCAATATTATATTCATTTTTATCTAATTATTAGTAAATTTTAGATCTTCCTTTAATTAGTTAATTAAATCAATTAATTAGAATTCATTGATTTTATATTTTAATTTACTATAAGTTATCTAAGTTATATTGTATATATTCAAGCTTTAGTTAAAAAGAGCATAACTATTACTAATGGAATTTGTTATCTGAAACATCTATTGAACATTTGCTTTTTATTTAAGGAATTTTAACATATTTATTTAATCCTTTATATAATTTAAACATTGTTTGCTATGATTAACTAATTGTTAGTCTCGCCATTTTAATTAGTGATTGTAGAATTCATATAAATTTTCTCCTTATTCTATAAATAATAATAGAATAGTTGGTTCAATTGAATTGAAGTAAATTTTGGTAATTTAAAATTACCATTTTTTTTAATTGTTAATAAATTAACCTACAAACTTTGTAATTTGATTATTTTAAGATTTAAACAAAAGCTCTTTTAATAATAACTCTTCAAAATTAAATTATTTTTTAGTAGGTCCTTCAAGAGGTTGAATATTTGAATCTCTTAAGAATTCTCTAAATTTTTGATCATTCAAGAAATTAAAAGTATCTCTCATAATTCTATTTATTTTATCTATCTTTAATTGACCCTGTTGTTTATCATATTTAATCAACACTATCCAAGTGGGTAAATATTCTTCGATTAAATTTTCATATTACAATTAAGATCTATAAGCCAAATAATGTTATCTTCTTTTCAACTCAAGCTAATAACGAAAGAAAATAATAAATAATCTAAATAAACCATATACTATTTATCGAACTACATCCCATTGAGATATTGAAACTTCTACTCCATAACCAAGAAGCAAGATCAAAGTTTGGCATCTAAATCGATTTCCCTATAGATATAATACTTGTCTATAATAATTTATTGTGTACTATATTTCATGATTCCCATCTCTATGGATGTGTCATTAGCTTGGTTTTAAATCATATAAATATTTAGAGTAATACTAAAAATTATGAGATTCAAGCCTTAGATTTTCTCTCTTTGAAAAGGATATTTCTAATAGAAGAATAGTATTGTCAATTCTATGCAAAGACAAATTGAAGTTGTAATAATGTAAATGACGTCGCTATTGTAATTGATTAGATTGATTATAAGATAAATTGTGATTGTGACAAGAGTAGTCTCATAAATGAATTGATTTTGTTCAATCATCCATTTTTTAAAAGAGCATTCAAGTTCAGATGATATGAAGTTTAAAGAAAATTTCTTGATCATTTTTAAAAAATATATTTATTTTAAATGAAGCACTATAAGGGTGCTTGCTTTACATCATATCCAAAATCTGAAAAGTTATTTCTAATTGTATTCGAAAAATATATCTATCTCAAGAAATATCAAGTTATTTCATTTCAATTAAAAATAATACAAATTTATATTTCTTTCATTTTACAGTGAAAGTGTTTCAGCAAAATTATTAATAATTTCTTAATATAAATTTTTTATATTCTTTGATTAATAAACGAGACATTAACTTAAGATGATCATTCATTTCTTTGATTATTGATAATGATTAAATAATGATAGTCAAATAAAGTGAGAAATTTAATATATAATTTAGGTTTTATGTTTTTTTAGAAATAATTGAATTTAGGAAATAGAAATGATTTGTTAATAGAATTTAGGAAAAAGAATAAAGGTTTATTTGTAGAATTTTCAATAGCTATAAAAATAAAATAAATTAAAATAAATTAAAATATAATATAATGAATCGAAATATTCCTATTGGGAATAAAATCTGTGCCACAAAGGAAATTTTTTAAAATTAAGTGATATTAAATCAACATCTCTTAACCATGAGACCATAGATTAATATAACTGCACCAAAATAATATGATTTTCTAAAAAGTAAAAAAATTAAAGAAGCTATAAAATAATAAAAGTAATAAGAAATAGAAAGAGAAAATTAAAATCTTATCTCTAAATTAACAAATATAATGTAACAATCATCAAGTAATATTTTATTTTTAATTTACAGATAACTCTATTTCTACTCTTCCAATAAAAAAATCAAGTACATTGAATTTCGTTCCAAAAAAGTCATTGAATAAAGATCATAGAAAAAAAGAATTGATTAAAATCGTTGTGGAAAATCAATAACTTTTAAAGAGAATATAAGATTAAAAGTCTTAATACAATGTAAAAGATTGGAATGAAGAAAGAAAATGGGTTGAAAAACACATAGCCAATATCTCAGAATATCCATATAAAGATTTTAAGCCTACAAAAACTCTAGTTTAGTATTGGACAAACTCAAGAATAACTGAATCATAATTATAGAGTATTGTTTAAAAAAATATAATATCTTAGAAAGAGAGAACTATATTAATAAGAAATTAGATCCTTTAATTGAAAGCAAAAGTCAATAGACAAAGTATACAATATTAAATATTCAAAAAGACAAAGAACACGATAAGACAATAATACTGAATCTAGATAAGTATTATGTCATTAAGATATTCAATAGAGGTAATTATATTAAAATAATCCTCTAGAAGTTTATTTGAATCTGATTTCTAACCATATGAACCATATCAAGATAAGGTAGCCAAAATTGTTAATGAATTGATAGAAAAGCCTTAACATTCTGAAGAAGAAATTAATTAATAAACATCTAATTAAAATTAGACTTAAGAAATTTAGGAACAAAATGTGAGAACTAATAAATCTAACAATGATGAAATTGAAAACTAATAATAATAAGAAATTATTAATTAAGAAACAATTCATATGGATGAAACTCAAAATATTTTATAAAATTCTCAAAGAAAAACTTTGGATGAAAATAATCAACAAGAAAATGAACTTCTTAACCAAAATTCAATTCATTAAATTAATCAAGAAATTTAAACCATAGATTTTGAACAAAAGAATGAATAAATTAAAAATTAATTAAATGCAGAAGAAATTTAAGAATGAATAAAATATAAAATGTTTGCATACTTTTACATATCTTATTAATTTTATTTACTATTCTATCTAGCTTTTTAGAAAATAATTATACAGAATTTTGAAAATCAAAATAAATTTAATTCTATTGATTTGCAAGAAAAATTATAGAATATATTAATATTCTATAACGGAAATTCCTTTTCTTTCAAATTATTTACTGCTGAGTTTTTATTAAAGTAAAATGAAATATATTTTAATTATTTGGTTTCATAAAATTTAATTCAATTTGAATATTTATATTTTTTTTGAGAAAATATAGTATATAATTATTATATAAAATTACTCTTATATAATCGAGAATTACAATTAAAATATCACACTTTTAATTCTAGTTTTTCAATTTAAGTACATACATTAAGTAGTTCATTTTCTAAATCTGTAATTTATTTTTTCAGTAATTCTTTATATTATTTAATTTATTTTTTCATGTTCTTTATATCTTAAAAATTATTTCTGAAAAGTCTTAATTATCTCTCATAATGCGAAAAATCATCAACTTCTAAAACATAATCTTGAAAACTGTATGTGTTTTCTATTTAATTCCTTGAATATTTAACTCTAAACATCTGCTATAGGACATATTTTTTGTTTTAATTATGAATCCAAATTTTATTACTAATTTATTATTTACGTTTTCTGTAACTTACATTACTAAATTATTTCATTTTAATTATAATGCTTTTTTCAATTTTTTTAATGTTTTGATTTTGGTAATTTTAATGAATCAATTATTAATTTTGTGAAACAATTATTCTAGATTCATTAGATAATGTTTTTAAAGTAGTTTAAGTTTATTATTATTGAAAAATCATTGGATGAACTTTACTAATATTAAATGATTGTTTTTCTATTAATTTATTTGCAAATATTATCATTTAAACAACTTTTTTAAATTGTTACATTAATTTATCAACTTTATTTCTTCTATTATGAATTATCTATTCTAATACTTATTGTGTTCTTGAATGCTATGTATCATAAATAATAGATTTTAATGGTTTAATCATACCATCATATCTTATAACATCTATATTACATGTTTCTTTAATTTTTTCAAGTTTTAATGTACTAATAATTTCTCTTTCTCTTTCAAATCTGTTATAAATTATTTATGCTTTCATTCTTTATTCTCTATTATAAGCTATAATAGCTAAATATTAACGTAAGGCTGGAAATGCACTCATTTATTAAAAAAAATATTCTCCATTTAAAATTATATATTCGCACAATTCAATTGCAACAGCATAATTTTTTCTAGAATGTTATTTTGAAAATTTGTGTTTTTTAAAATATTCTTATTCACCAAATATAGATCCTTCGTTTATTTATAAAAGTATTTTTCCAAATTAAGTTCTATATTATAATTTACCTCTAATTAGGAAATAAATTTCATTAACTACTTCATCTTTAATCCAAATTTTACAATTTTATTAAGTTTTCATTAACATCATCTTAGGTAAAATGGATACTGAAAAATTGAGATTGAGTCTAAAAAAATGAATCTACATCATTTCAATATAAGAAACATAGAGAGTAATTTCTTTTTATCTTATAATGGGTAAATTTTAAAACCATTCTTACATACTTAAAGACCAAGCTTAGTTTTATTTTATATTTAATGATAAATATAATTGAACTTTTGTTTAGACTTCTTTAATGACTTCAATTTTTTTAAAGAACAATTTTAAAGTATTTTGCATTTCTACATAAACACATTCTGAATTTAATTTTTTTAACCATTCTGATAGATTTAATAATATCACACAATAAAATGAAGCACCTAAAAACATCCATAAAATTGCCACTACATATTAAGCATAATTTTTAGCTGCATCATTTCCATAACCAATAGTTGAAAATGTTTATAAAGCCCAAAATAAACATTTAATATATTGTGAATTTTAGTTTAGAAACCCTTAATAATCTTAATCTTCTTAATATTCTTCATTATTAATATTTGAAGCTAAATACCATAGACAAGAGAATAGATGTAATCCATAAATAAATTTGACTATAATTCTAAAAATGTTTAATTAATAAGAGTTGAATATATTAAACACATTTTCCCAATTACTAATAACAAAAACTATTAATATTAAATAATTACTATTTGTTTTAATGAAAGGTTGAGACTTTTAAAATACGATTAATTCGAAATACTCTGATAAATCTGGGAAATTTATGATATTAAACATGAAAACTAAATTTTACAACAAATTACTGATAAATCGAATCAAATGGAATAAAAGTAATGATATCAGGAATCAACCAACCTCTCAAATAATTTAAAAATATAGACCATTAGTTTTGAACTAAAGCATTTTATCTATTATAATAGCAAGACCTCAAGATACAAAGTATGTCTGTAACTATATCAATTGATAGATACTCAATACAATAGATAATATCGTTGATAAGATCTAATTCATAAACTCCGAATGATTCTTTATCTATGAATGCTATTCTAAGAGGCAAATAAATTGCAGTTTAGATATAAGTAATCAATAAAATGATGTCCCAAAACCTTCTAGATGTATCACCCTAAATAAATTAAAAGTTTACTGGAAAAATAAGTAAAACAGATTTTTTTTTTATTCCTTCATCATGTCTTTCTAAAACTACTCTCTCATGATGATGCAATAACCTTATCACATTATAAATTAATCTAAATTTCTTAGCTAATAAGTTTCTTAGATGATCTCGTTTTTATTATTATTTCAATGCTTTATCCTTTTATCTTTATATTTACAATAAATCGCAAAACCTTTTTATTTCAATAAAATTAAATAAAGACATATCCTAATCTCTAGGTGTGTTGAGTGAATCAATCATGGAATCTTAATTAACATTTCTCATTGATTTGCATCTTCTTATAGACCTGAGTTAGTTCTACATCAAAACTTTTATAAAAATAAATAGTAATATAATAATTTAAATTTGTGTAAAATATAATCATTTTACAGTTGTTTATTTTATAATTTCAGGCAGAGAAGCTCTTTTCATTTGTTAATTAGGTACTGTTTTAGATTTTATGAGACACTAAATTGCCTCATCATGTTTCGTTTTAGATGGTATCATCCTTATTGTATTAATAGTTTAACATTAAATAGGTTAATATTCTTCTAGATCTATAAATCTTTTTAAGTTAATTAATACCTTGCTCTTATTAAAATTATTGATGATTCAAATTTGCTATTCTTCCATCATTAAGTGAAGAAGATATAATTAAAGAATCATTAATCTCTACAATAGTTGGCAAATATATTGGGTTTAACTATTTATGAGTTTGTTATTGTTTAATATTTTATTGTATAGTAATAAACCATTGATGTTTTATCGCTCTTTTTAATGTTATATTTGGTGACAATAGTTGCTTTATGAGATCTAATTAACTAACTCTATATAAAAATTGATATTGATTATGTTAATAATTTTGATCAGCCATTTAGTTATGAATTCTATTTATCAAATCTAAATCAACATATTATTTAATTCTGTTTGTTAATGTATAAAAGGTAATTTGATATATTAATATTCCCAAATTGTAAAGATCATTTTCGATAGTGTAATTACTATTCTCAACATATCTAGGAAAAAGAATAACTATTTCTAAGGTTTCATTCTCAATGTTTATGAAAACAGATGATAGATTAATATTCCCATGATAAATATTTCTTTGTTGATACTTCTTTAAGTTTTATAAGATCATGTATATAATTGATACAAAGGGGATTTCTCTAAAATCAAATCCATTCAATAGCAAGGTTTCTAATGATTAAAGCTTCATCTTTTCTCCAAGAATATAATACTTATAATTGTCTTCAAATAGTTTTGGAGAACATGGCTTAATTTTTAAAGCATGCATTATAGTAATGGAATTATGAAATATTTGGAATTCTTTAAGATCTTTTAATAGTTTTTTTTCATAAACTTATGTAAAATGCTCTTCGCTTTTATTCTATTATACAAATTTAATTATACTTTGATAGCTTAAGATATTGGCAAGCAATTTTTTTGTAATAATTGATATTTTCCAAAAAAATTCTTATTTATACAAAATCTTTTCATAAAAACTTAAATTCTCTTCATCTGTTATTCATTGTTTGAAATAATAAAATCTTTGCCTTAATTATTCTGCAAGATGATCACATATAGTCCATCACAATTGTTTGTTTTTGTAAATTTGATTTCATGATAACATTTGCTCAATTCAATATATAAACTCTCTATAACAACTCCATTATCATATATCGAAATTTCCTTTAACTCAAATTCTTTACTCTAATGTTGATACATTTATACAATTTCCTTAATTAGTTCTTACTAACATAATTTTTCAAATAGTGTTTCTTATTTTGATCTAAATAAACTGCATGATTCAGCCATTTTTAGCTCCTCTATAAGCTATGAATATTGTGATGATTAAATTTACATATTTTAAATTATTCATTATTTCCCTTGAACTTTCAGTATATAACTAAGACATATCAAATAAAATATATATATATGATATTAGAATTGAATAAAGTTGTTCTAAAAAAGTTTATAAATATTTGGATTAAATGACTTAAAATAGATGATAAGATTAATAGTCTTAATTTTAAATATTGATCTTTATAATTATTTTTAATTCATTTGCCAAATTTAAAATTTTCTTTAATTCAACCTTCAAAAAGACCTGAACTACTGCAAAGAATTTAATTATTTTAAAAAAAATTTTAGTTCTTTAAGCATTTTTGAATCCTATTTTTTTAAAGAAATTATTTATATAACTCATTTAATACTTTTTTAATTTTATGAATGAAAAAATTTCAATAAAATTAACAAATATTCCAATATAAGTTTTTTCATATTCAAATAACTACATTATTTATGTTATTTTTTGAATAAATTTCATATATACAGATAGTGAGGATGTTTTTTATCAATAAACCTTTGATTTTTTTTATTCTTATCTGTTAACATCTATTAATTTAAATTGTTATATTAGTATTAATAAAAATTATTATTTAAAAGTAAATAATAATTAATTGATAGAATTATTTTAAGAGAATAGAGTTGAATTCATCAACAAAAAAAACTCTTTGATTATTTATGAAGAAGTATTAGCTTTTGTTAAGAATAACTTCCTAATTAGTACTAATAAATATTTGATAAATTGAAGATTATTAAATCTTTACTTCTTAATAATTTCAAAATAGAAATTCATTATGTAAAGGAATATTAGCCAGAGAATGATAAGGCAATCAATTTAATTGAATTAAACGTTTAACTATTTTGATTTAAATTGTTTTCCTGATATGTTTTCATTGTTCAATAATTTCCTTATTTATTAACAAAATATGATATTTAAATCAACTAACCAAATTGAAACATAAATTAGTCTGTGAAGTAGATGGAAGAGATGCATGCTTAAAAGTTAAAGATTGATATTAACAATTTTGCTTAGTTTTAGGTATTATAATAGAATTCTTAATATTATATGAATGGAATTTTTTTATAAAAATATAAATTAATTACTAAATGATTAGCGGGTTTTAAACAGGAAAAAATAAAAAAATATAGCTAGTTAGCAATGAAAAATGCAATAAGATTATTATACAATTTGAAGACCTATCAGAAGAAGAAGAAATTTTAAAATCAGAAAACAAACCAACAAAAAATGATTTAAATTTACTAAATTCCCTTTCAAAAGAAGCAATCAAAAATAATAATTAACTCTATCATCCTAGTAAATTTGCTGAATAGGAATTTAAATTTTTAAGTAAAAATACAAGAGATTCATTATCGGAAAAGAAAATCTCATATTAGACAGTAATCATGGGAGATGAGATATAAAAAGAAATTATAACACCAATAAAAAAAATAGAATCTAATAACAATTATGAGATCCTTTAAATGAATTCTATATTATTATCGAAAATAAGCAAATTATCAAAATGTTTGGTAGGAGAAAAATTTTATGAATTATCAAAATAATTAATGAAAAATTCAGTCTTGAAATTTACATCAGTTTGTAGATCATCATAAATTCCTTAAAATTTTGATTGGAAACTAATAAAGGAGTATTTTAAATAATATGATGATGTAGAAAAAGATTGGCTTTTGTAATAAACGAAACTTATTTTTTGGAAATTGAAATCAAAAAATAATAACAGTGATCAAAAACTAATTTTAGAATTAGAATATCGTTATTTTATATAATATAGATTATAAAGTAAAACAGTAATTTAATAAATATGGACAAAGGATTAATCATTAAATTAACATATGGTTTTATTAGTTGTAGCAATAGAATAAAGCTAAGAAAGAAAGATTATAGAGTTATCAGATGGATGGTATTCAATATTTTTTGTTTGTGAATAAAACTATGAATAAATTTACAATAAGATTAAAATTGGACAAAAATTGCATGTAACAAATTTAAAAGAATATCCTATAATATTTAATACTTCTAATGTATAGTTATAGTATCATCTAGGTTAAAATAATATCATAATATCCATATAACAAATTGTTGGTTACTACTAAAATAAATTCAATAAAAAAAGCTTAATTAAATACGAAGTTAGGGTAATAATAAGAAAAGTATTTCCTGCGATCACTTATAAGTTTGAGAAATGGTATCATTCCATGCATTGATGTTTTTATTGTGTCAAAATCTTATCTAATAAAAATAAATTAGAAAAATTAAAGACAAGCTACATTATTTAACTCAGAAACTGAAAATGAAGAAGAAATGTAATAGCTACGAAATTCTAATTTGTGTTTTTGGATCACAGTTATGGATAGCTTAAATTATTTTGATTAAAGAAATTCTAAAATAACTGAATTCAAAGATATATTAGTTTATATTAATGATCCATTATAATACGAATTAATATCTGTTGGTTAGAGAGTTTAAATTATTAATGCAATTTAATTTAATTCCGAAATTACTTTAAAAATAACAAAATCTTCAGGATTTATATTTGAGTTATAATAATATTAGGATTATTTCAGTAAATTGTAATTCCTTAGTAATAAATATGATATATAGATCAAGGTAAATAATCATATTAAACTTGAATAAATAAATATAATTGAAGGTAGCAATGATTAGCAATAGATTGTTAAAATAGAAATACAAAATAATTTTTTTGGTGAAATTTTAAAAAGCTAATAATTGAAAGTATTAAAAGTGACTTAACTAAATAAAATTAATAATGAGAGATTTCAAACCACATAAATTAGTAAATTGATTAATATTATAAATTATAATAAATGAATTATTAGTTTTTGAAATAGCCTTCAATGATTTATGAGAAATCATCTTTTATATCTTCCTCAAAATATAATAGCTCTAGATAGGATTACATGGATAATATATTGTAAAAATAAAATTTTAATAATAAAAAGTGACAATATTAGTGATCGAAATAGTGCAAATGATTTAAGAAAACTTGGGGTTAAAAATAAACATAAAAAAAAATTCAAAAGACATAGCCGAGTTTTTGATGATGATAATCTTCAAAAAGAGAAACGTGTGTTCAAATAAAGTTTACAAAAGCTATATGAGGAGTCATTTGTAAAAAATATAATAGAAAACTCATATATAAAAAAAATAGGCTCATTAAGTACTTATCAAGTTTAAGTACTTGATGATCTTTAATTTGGAACAGATAAATAAATAGATGATATTGATAATGTATTTTACAGTTTCTTTTCAAGTTATTTGGATAAGATTTCTGTAATTTATCCTTAGAGCAATTTTAAAATATTTTGGAATACTATTTAAGTATTGACATTCATTATTATATTCTTTTGGTTACCTTATAAATTAGCATTTGAAACTAATTATATTTCTTAATTTTATGATGTTGAAAAAAATATGAATATAGAAATAGCATTATTTGGAATATGTACATTTGATATAATAATATGTTTGAATGAGGCTTACATTCATTAGGGCATAATTATAAAGTATAAATAAACAAAATAATTAAGCTAGAGATATCATATAATTATGAATTATTTAAAAACTACTGCAATAGGAGATATGATAAGTGTTTGTGCATTACTTTATGAATTAATAATAGTGCATTATTATGAAAATTAGTTTATATCCATATAAATAATATTATGTCTAATTTTTGGTTTGATAAAGACTTTTAAGATGAAATAAATTTTTAATTAGATTTAGGAATACTTTAATATTAAGGGTGTATTAAAAGATTGTTTATAAATGACTCAAATAATATGTGGATTACTTTATTTTATACATTTAATAGCTTGTATTTGGCATGGATTAGGATAGCCAATAAATAAAAATACTTGGTTAGATATAAATAATTTGAGGGGAGCAAATGATAGTTTAAGATATGCAGAATCATTATATTGGGCTGCAATATATCTTACAAATGTAGGTTCAACAGAGATTAAGATAGCTAATAGTGATGAGAAATATTTTGCTGTAGTTATATCATTTCTATCTTTGTTTATTATGAGTGTTATAATAGTTTCTTTGGGTTTCTTTTTCCATAAATCATAAAGAAATTAAATATATTCAGAATCTATGAAATTGATGAATAATTTTATGTCAATAAATAAAATTGATTTTAATTTATAAGTTAGAATTAGGAATTATTTAGATTATATTTGCAAAGTAATTTAATGGATTCTAAATTAGGCAGAATAATCAATGATTGATGAAAATGTATCAAATATTATAAACAAATTATCAGAAAGATTATAAGCAGAACTGAAACATCAATTAAGAGCATCTATTTTAGAATAATGTGATTTTATTAAGAGGAATTTTTCATTGAAATTTTAATAAGCATTAGTTCCATTTATGGAGGAAATAAATACAATACCTGAAGAGAGAATAGTTGAAATGAATAATATTGATGATTGTTCAATATATATAATTAATAAGGGAGAAATGGAAGTAGTTTTTGAAGCTAAAAATAAGATGAATGTTAAATTTAAGAGAAATAATATAAAAGTATTAGAAGTATTAATTGATTTTTTTTGATTTAGAGAAAGGAGAATATTTTGGTTTTTATAGTTTTATTACAAATCAAGCTAGAACAGCAACAGTTGTAAGTAAAGGATTTGGAAAACTATTTAAAATATCCAGAGATAATTTTGTAAATCTTTTAGATTAATTTCCTGATGAAAGAGAAATATTTTATATGATTAAAGATAAAGTGATAATAAATTAAGATTTATCAGATTTACAAATAAAATGTTATGGTTGTAAATCGAATTTTCATATGGTAAATTATTGTCCAATTTTACATTTTAATCCAAATTAAGATAGAGTAATAAAATAATCACTTTATCCGCATTAATAGGAACGAGATGATCCATATTAGTAAATATAAATTGATAATTTTAAGACCAAGAAAATCTAAGTTTATAAATGCTTTATTACAGCAATAAATAATAGAATAAATAGCAAAAGAATATTAAATGTAAATGTTTTAAGAAGAAACTTAGGAAGGTACATAAGCAACACATATTCTATTATAAGATGATGCATCTGATACTGACAGTCGAAGTATTATTTAATGATTAAGTTTAGCATATTCATAGATGAGAACAAGATCTGTATCTAGAGCAAATACTCACTCTATAATATCTATGTAATAATAATCATCTAATTATAAACTTAATTAACCTCATATGCCATAATAAATGGTAGTTTAATAAGGGAATCTTCTACCTTAAGTTGATGAAGATGAAGTTGAAATGATAGAAGATTAAGAAGTATATCCTAACTTTGATGAATAAATGAACAATAGAAAAGAATTTAATAGAAAAAATGATCCTAAACATACTGTAGAAACTGCAGGTTTTGGTAATTAATTTAACAAAGTTTCTAATCATGATTAAGATCTATAAAATTCTATTGAATCAGAGGAAGAAGATGAATATCAAGAAGAATCAAATGATTAGCCATAATAATAAATGGCTAAATCAATTTCTAAAGGATCTCAAAGTCCATAAAATTCTGTTAACTAAACAAAAAATATCTAATAAATGGCACAGAAAGTTACCTTTATTAATTAATCTTCAACATAATAATAAACAAATGGAACTTCATCTAATGTTAGACCTCGAACTTCTATCAAAAGAGCAACTACTCGAACAAATAATACTGCCATTATTTTTGATAATGTTTTAGCAGCACTCTAAGAAAATTAAAATTTTATTATTTAATTTGTAAATTATTATACATATATAGCCTATTATTACATTTCCATCTCTTGGAGATTTTGATAAAATTATGTCCTTTAGAAAATATTTCCCTTAGCATAACATCTCTGCTGTTTTGAAGCTTGTTCACAGATAACAAAAATAAATTGATCATTTCCCAATTTTCTCCCTTTACTCTTTTATCTATACAGCTATCTGTAGAGGAAAAGATTTAAGAAAAAAGGCAGAACTAGCAAAATAATAGTAAAAACATGTGTTATATTTTCCTAAACCTATTAATAAACCTTAAAAATATTTTAAGTATTATTTTATTATAAACTTATAGGAAATAAATTACTTAAAGATAGGTTTGATTTTATAACTAAAATACCATTTATAGTTTTTATTTTTTATAAAATATAATTTTCCTTTTTATTCCTATAAATTTAAAAGTTTCCCAACTTGTATGAATTATTTAGTAGATCATCCTTTTTTAGATAAATAAAAGAAATTAATTTTAATCACAAAGTTTCAACTCTAATATCAAATTCTAAAAATAAAAAATAATTACTTTTATCGTCATTCACAATTATTAATTAGTTATTTATATAAGAATAATATTTGTTTATGAGAATATTTTAAGTAATTATATGAATTAATGATTATTTGTCTTATTTTGATTTTTTGTTATTTTATAAATAAATCATAGTGATGAGTATATTCCCATAAAGTATTTTTTCATAGCATCAATGAATCGCTATTTATATTCTGCTGGGTTGATTATAGTGGGATCAGTTCCTAAATTAATAGCAGTTTTTAATCTAAATTAAAATTTAAAATTTACTTTGTTTCCATTTTTTTCATAAAGTCATAACATTGCAAATAATCGATAATTGATAGTTTAATCTAATGGTTTTGTTTATCTATGATTAACAATAAAGAATAATCTACAACAGCTACATCAAGTAAGAATTGAGAATCAGATTCAAGTGCTTTTTCTAAGAATAGGTAATCTTACTCTTAGATTGGTAATGGCTCTCCATTGCGATCTATAATGTAATTTGTATCCAGAAGAGTTTTAAGATTTTTACGATTCCATCTTTTAGCTTTACTACCTTTAAGATCATAAACTGTCAATTCACCCTCTAATCCCCAAAAAAGATTTTCCATAGCTATGAAATAGGATGTCGCTTTAGAATTTTTAACAGTAAACATTCCATAAATTTTATTCAAGACTGAAGGTTTTTGAGCAAAGATACTTGAATAAATATGTTCAAAGTATTTTGGAGCAAATGATTCAAACATATTAAATTCAGATTCTTTAACAGCTTTGAAAATAAATAAATTATCGGCTGATTTAAAGAAAGTTGAGCCACTTTTACCACCTGCTGAATTCCAATTAGAACAACTTGTAATTGATTTAATTAATTATTTGATTTTTATTCCATTTAATATTCTAATGCATTCAAATTATTTTGGATAAAACAATTATACCGAAATACTTTTAGAAGGTTTTCTTGGTGATTCTGCTAATGTTTAATTCATACTTTATTCTTCCTCTTCTATTTCTTATAAATTATTTGAGCTGGCCTTTTTAAAATATGGAATATTTTTAGCTAATTTAATTTAAAATTCTTCTGGAATTGCTAATTTAGATTGTTCTTTTAAAATTATTGCTGATTCAATTTCTACTTCTTTTAAAGAAGAAGTATTTTCAATTTTATCCAAAAATTCTACAAATTTATATTTATTTTCATATAAATCATAATATTTAGGATGATTGAATGCAGCTGCAATTAGGCCTATATCATTTTGATTGTAAATAGGAATGTATTCATAAAATGATTTGATTTGTAAATTAGATTAATCAGAATTGATGGCTAATCTAGGCCATTTCTCTAATAAATATTTACAAAAATTTTAATCGTTGTCTATTGTCTTTTCAAATCCTATTTCTGATTATTCTTCAGATTAATTAAGATTTTCTTAAGTAGGAGATTCAGGTGATTAAGTAAATTGTATTGGGGAATAATGCTATACAGGGTATTAGTTTTCATTGTTGTTTGTTTATGGTTGTATTAATGTGGAATGTTCTTTTTATGTTTTTCTAATTGAGTGCTTCATGGAGGGTCCACTTTCACTACTTACTAAAGAAAACATTGATGTTTTTGATCTAGAATAATCTGACTCATTCCTTATTCTGTTAATTCTCATTTATTCAGCTACTTCTAATTAATATAAACGTTAGTAGAGCTACATGCTTTCTTACTCTAATTAAATAAAATCAAGAGTTAATGTTTATGATAATTTTTCAATGAAATTGGATATTAAACTTGAAGATGTTTCTTAGGCTGGATTAGAATTCTTTCCCTCAGGAGAAACAAGTGATATTTAAGTTGATGTAGTCATGTAGCTACTTCTAACACTTTTTTCAGAGTATTAAATAAGTTATAACAGTTTTTGTAGAAAGCATAACAACATGTCTTTTCTTTTATCTAATTCATCTTTATCACTTTTTTCAATATGTTATTTGACTTCTTAACAATCAAATTAAAAATTTTTTATTTGATAAATATCAAATAAATTTGTAAAGAGTTTAATTTAATATTCATCACATTCAAATACTCTTTCAGTTAAACTATGATTACATCCATCTAATTTATCTCCTTATTCCTTGATTTCTCCTTCAAATAAAAGCCAATCTTTCTTATTTATCTTCTTAAGTCTTAGAGTATTTTTGATAAGATATTAAATCAATTTGTAGAATGAAAATTCCAAATGATTCTTCTCCAATTTATAAGTTTTCGTTAATTATTTATCACAATTAGAATTAGCACATTTGATATAAGTCACTATATTTAAATCTATTTATTATAGTTATCTAAATTCAGTTTCTACTTATGAATTGTCTGATTATGTTAGAGTCTCTTCATTTAGAGATTAAAGCTAAAGGAAACTTGATGCCTTCTTTAATTCTTTACTTAAATTAGTACTTGCTTTCACTTATAAATTTTATTATTTTTTTTTTTCAACTACACATCGTACAAATGCTCCTGGTCCATATCTTATTGAGACATGGTTGATCTTTTTAGTTTAACAATTTCCACATTTCGATTCTTAAATGTTAGCTTTATCACTAATATACTTCCCTAAACTTACATCTTCTTAATTTTATCCAGAATTCCCATAAAAACTAACTATTTCTTTTTAACAATCACACAATTAACAAAAATATGGAATTTTCTTATTATTAATATTTTTGATATTTTCCTAGATATAATTTTCCAAGTTTTCATCACTGATATTAATAATATATTATTTACTTATTTTTTTTTTGTATATCATGAATCTTACTGATTATAGCTGGATGATAACGTAACTTGCAAATTTTAATAGCTGAGTTTTCATAATCTGTCATTAATTAAACAGAGAAATCGGATATTTCTCCACAAGTAATCATAGGGGAAAGTTCATCATCATTTGATTTATATTTGAGTTCTAAATCCTATTTAATTTTATAATCCAACAGTATCATTTCAAATTCTAAAGACATCTAAAAACAAATACAAAATAATTCTTAAAAACATTATTTAACATTAATTAATTCATTTATTTTAGGTCCACTTAAAGTAATTTAAAATGAATTATTAGATTAAGGTGTGTGAATAAATAATAAAGTTTGATCTCTATTTTTCTTTTTTTCTAGATGTACTTCTAACAATTATTTGTCTTTATCATCCAATTAATTATAGAGACTAAAATTTTATTTAATAGTTTCTGGATCACAACAAACATAAGATGCAGTATCAGCTTTACCAATGCAATCTTTATCACAACGCTTTTTAAAAACATCAATAGCTTTCTATATTCTTCCTTAAACTGCTTGTTCAATCTTCTTGAGTTAAGTTGATTTGCATTGAATAGAAACTGTTATATCTTTCTTAACCAATTCATTCAATAAGATATTGTTTATGCTCTTCTCCACTAAAATTATATTTGGATTAAGCATCTCTATTTACTCCAAAGCTTATTGAATATACTTACTCTAATTCTTTACTACATTATCGAAATTCTGAATGTCCAGATCTAAGGATCCACTCAATAATAAAAATGAAGGCTTTTTGTGATGAGTTTTCATACGTTTATGAACTATGTTCTTTCTTATTGTTACTCCTCTTAAATAACGAGTAGCTGAGTAATTTATGAATGGAATTATTTTTATCTTTATACAACTTACCTTATTTTTCATTTTCAATTAGTTATCTATCTAGTGATACTTCACATCTTCAATCGAATTCGTTATGAATTTGCACATCACTCCTTACCAATTCTCATTTATTCCATAAACTATTGTTCTCCTTTCTACAAACTCTTCAATTTTCTTGATCATTTACTCTTCTAATTTCTTTTATTTTTGGTCTATGTCATCACCTATCGTTATATTCTCAGGAATCTGAAGCTTTTGAACTACCAATAAGGGCTTTTAATCATTTATTGTCTATGGTACTAGTTGTAATGTAGCAGGAGAGGATGCCTTTTATATCTAAAAACAATATATACTTCTTTTGCAGATTCTGGCAATTTCTCATTTAAAACATTAAATGATTTTGAGTGTCTCCTCACTTATTATTAATCAATAAGACCAATATCATTCTTATTCTCAATCAACTCTCCATTTTCTCTTAACTTTTTGTTAATATCAAAATAGCAATGTTAACATAATCGAACCTTATTATTCATCAGACAATCATACTTTATTTTTTTTTATATCTTGAAAGTTTTTAAAGTTAGTTTTATCCATAAAGAAATTCGAACAACTAATTTAAGCTTTAAAACAAAATAATTACCTATCGCAAAATACATCTCCACAATTCCTGCAATGATGTTTCCTTCTGAATATTGCCTTAAATGGAGTTTGGCATATTTTACAATTTTTAGCTTCTTTATCCTGTACCCACTTTTTAGTATATAAAAACTATTAGTTCTTCATCCCGAATCTCTTACAAATATTAATAAATTTTAATCGAAACAATGTAAATCTTTATCGTAATATATATAAAAAGATGTAATGTAATTAATGAGCAATTTATTAAGAATTGATCAAAGTCAATAATTTATACATTAATCTTTTTAGTCAAAATATCACATAAACTTGATTTTCTAAATATTATTTTATATGGATAATTCTTAAAATTTACAAACTCTATTAGTCAATCTAGAGCAAGATGTTGGTTATGAAAAGATTCGAAAATATGGCCGAACTTATGGATTTCATAATATGTATGCTCAATTCAATAATAATAAATAGATATTTTAGAAAATAAATATGGATTAAACTATTAGGAATCGATTAGCAATTGTAATACAATGAAAGTTAAAAATGCCTACAACATGATCAATTATTAAAGGATGTCAATCGATCACTGAATACTATTTCTTAAATCAAAAACTTTAAAGAAATGTATATCCTTTTTTTTAAATATAGAGATCAATTAAGAAAATGTTTAATGGAAGTATTAGATACCATTTTCAGCCAGCATCCCAATTACTCTTATTATCAAGGCTATCATGATGTGGTCTCTATTTTAATACTTGTTTTGGGAGTGGAATAAGGCTACATAGCTGCTACTTATGCTGCCTAAAATTTCTTTAAAGATTATTTAGACTAAGAGTTAGCAACTACAATCACTCCCCAATATTTATTCATCAGAAATCTCTTATTACGATATTCCAGAGACAATTCAAATCAAAAACTCAGATAAATAATGTTAATAATTGAGCATCCTACTTGTGTCATTCCATGGATTCTAACGTGGTTTTCTCATTCATTAGAAAATATAAATGATATTTGCAGAATTTGGGATTTCCTTCTATGTTCTAAATAAAGTACAATTCTTTATGTCTGTGCTGCATTTATAGCCATTCATCATGATAATATAGATGTTAGAAATGAAGATGATCTTATTGGTGAGTTTCAAGAGTTTTTCTAAAATCTTAATAACAAAGACCGAATCCAAAACCTTAAACTAGAGATGGTCTTATAATTAGCAAGAACTTTAGAAACTTAATATAAATTTGAACTTATTTGTGAATAAGAACATATCTAGTTCTCTTAAAAGTTTTTAAATAATTTAATATTAGATCTATTGTATATTAGCATAACTTCAAATCCCAATTATCATATTACTACTCTCTAGAACAACTAGAAAATTCAATCAAAAATAAAGTATCCCGTTTCATGTATGGCAATTAAGACATCATAATAAATTTAGGGGGAATCGCTTTAAGTTTTCTTATCCAATATTGTATAATTAAGAAATGATATAATGTATTAATATAATTATTATTATTTATCTGTTAATGATAAAACTATTAATTCCATCAATTATTGAATGCTAAAAAGCTTTGGAAAACATAAGAATTGGATTCAATTTGTAATCTTTTTTATCCTTACAATCTATTAAGGAGAGATTAGATTAAAAAATAATGGATAAATTATAAATTTTATAAATTTGATTTTTATCTATTCATATTTTTATATATTCTGAATTATAAATTAGATTAAATGCTTTTAAAAAAAGGTGAAGTTGAAAGAGAAAATAAAAGAAACCTGGATGTGATGGTGAGAATAAAAAAATCGGACTGATTAATTTTTCGTAAAAATATTAAAACATTAATACTTTTATATGAGAAGCAATATTATAAAATTAGATGACAATCAAGCTAAGTTTTAAGATTCTTTTGAACAGATGAAATGATTGAAAATATTCTTTCTGAAAAAACGGGCATCTGAGCAAAATCACTTTCATCAATCTGATTTTAACTATGAGATATTAATTTTTAAATTATTCCAAAAAAGTAGTATTTCATTTGTATTATTTTGCCAACAACTTGCATTTCAATTTAATTTACTAAAAAATTAAATTAAACAATTAAATTGTGATTTCATAATGTGATTGCTTAGGATAATTTAATTGTCCACATGGAAATAAAGATTTAAATATTTAATTATCATTTAGATTTTATATGTAATGAGAAATGGATAGGATAAACTTATTTTTTAGTTGAATAATAAGGAAAATAAATATATTAAAGATCTTAACAAACAATCAAAACCTAAACATAAATGAATATATAAAAAACCAATTTTTGATATTTTTACTTAAATTTTTTAAACCTCACGATAAGATTGTAATTGAGAAGAATGGTACATAAATATTTAAGAATTTCATCATTTAGCTTTTCTACTTTTAGCTCATAAAATTAAAACTTATATCAATTTGAATTAGTGTTTCAAAGTTGAAACACTTAGGAAAATCCCAATATATTTTTGCAGCTTATTTGCATTTTTTTATCTAATGTTTAGACTTATTTTTTTTATTAGGGACAATTTCATTATTATAAAAAATATTAATTTTGGAGATGGGATTCATAACAATATTTTTTTCAATTTAAGTTGGAGTAGCATTATTATTAAAAATAAAAAAATCAATATTAATTTATTTTATTTATATATGCAGTGTTTAGATAAATTATTTCTCATTTCAGAACAAGAATTTATTTCAATAATAATCTCATTTTTCGCAAAATGCTATTAAACAATTATTCATAATTTTAATAAATATTTCTCAATTTTTATTAATTGTACAATTTTAAAATAAATTCTAAAATATATATAAAATTGAAATAGAAAAATCTATTTAGCTGGCGAAGATGTAGAAAAGATTAATTTTGCTATAAATTAATTGATTTAAATAACGCTCCATTGATAATTAGTAAATTTACTTATTTGATAAACCTTGAATAGGCGATATTTGAATTTTAATTTCTATCATAATTATGTTAGCTGTATTTTATTAGTTTTGCATTTA